ACAACAAAGCCTTTATTGCCGCTACGCGCCATTTGCCGTGAACTCCTCTAGAGTTTTGGTTTTTGCCGTTGCCACGGAAGTTTAGGCTCATCACCGCCCAGACACGAGCAGTCGATGCCCTGGTCGACAGCGGGTGCACGGGCAGCTGCATAAACCAAGCATTCGTACGAGAACATCAAATGAACACGGTAAAATTACCAAAGGCGCAAGCAGTGTACAATGCTGACGGCAGCAGAAACAAAGGGGGGGACATCACTGAAGTAGTCGAACTTCGAATGACGATTGGAGATCATCATGAAAAAATCGATCTAGCCATGGTTGACCTAGGAAACATACCTTTGTTCCTAGGACACGACTGGCTTAAACGGCACAACCCCATTATAGATTGGAAAACGGGAGCCGTAACCTTAGCCAGGTGTACGTGCCAACAAATACCATTCCTGCTACCGGATGAAGACCCAGAACAACACTGGGGAACAGAGGTGGAAGAGGGAGACACGATTCTCGTAATCAATTTTGAAGAAGCATTTCACGTTCGAGCAATGGGGAGCAAGGCAAACGAGTTGGCCACCAAGGCCAATCAAGCAAAAGAGGCAAAGACGTTCGAAGAAATAGTACCAGAACCGTATCGGGAATACCGGGACATGTTCGCTAAAGAAAATTTCGACGAACTACCACCTCGAAAGCCATGGGACCATGCCATCAAGCTAATCCCTAATGCCAACGCGAGCCTAGACTGTAAAGTCTATCCCCTTAACCCTGTAGAACAAGAAGAGTTGGATAAATTCCTTGACGAAAACCTGGAATCGGGGAGGATTAGACCCTCCAAGTCACCAATGGCATCACCGTTTTTCTTTGTCAAAAAGAAGGACGGAAAGCTTCAACCCGTACAAGATTATCGGAAGCTAAACGAGATGACCATCAAGAACCGATACCCTCTCCCGCTCATCGGGGAGTTAATGGATCAACTCAAGGATGCTAAATACTTCACAAAATTGGATGTACGATGGGGATACAACAACGTAAGGATCAAGGGAGGAGATGAATGGAAAAGCGGCTTTCCGAACGAACCGAGGGTTATTCGAACCAATGGTGATGTTCTTTGGGCTCACCAACTCACCAGCAACATTTCAATGGATGATGAATGACTTGTTCAAAGAGCAAATCGCAAGAGGAGACGTCACCGTGTACTTAGACGATATCCTTATCTGTACCAAGGACAAAGACAGACATCGCAGTATCGTCCTGGGAGGTCCTAGCCATTCTCCAGGGCCAACAATCTATTCCTCAAAGCGGAAAAATGCGAATTCGAGGTGTTGGAAACAGAATACCTCGGAGTGATCATCAGTCAGGGATCGATTCGCATGGACCCCGTCAAGGTCAAAGGAATCACGGAATGGCCTCAATCCACCAAGAAACGAGAACTACAATCGTTTTTGGGGTTCACCAACTTCTACCGAAGATTCATATGGGACTACAGCAAGCACGTACGACCATTGACCCAGCTCACGGGGAAAGCAGAGTGGATGTGGGGAACATCCCAGGAGAACGCTTTCCAAGAAATCAAAAGGAAACTGGCGGAGGAAGTGGTGCTAGCCATACCCAATCGAACGGGAAAATATCATGTAGAAGCTGACACGAGTGAAGGAGCGGTGGGAGCAGTCCTATCTCAGGAACAGGAAGGGAAGTGGAGGCCCGTAGCGTTCCTATCCAAAGCCCTAACGGTTACAGAGCGAAACTATGAGATATACGACAAAGAGCTTCTGGCCATCATGCTAGCTCTCGAAGATTGGAGACATTATCTCATGGGGGCGTATCAGGACTTTGAGATCTGGACAGATCATCAAAATCTCCAATATTTCCAAAAACCCCAGAAACTCAACCGTCGACAAGCTCGATGGGTAACGGAGCTCGCAGAATACCATTTCACTCTTCACCACAAGCCAGGAACGGCAAACAAGAAAGCAGACCTGTTATCCTGAAGGGCAGACCACGATCAAGGAAGCGAGGACAATGCAGAAGTAGTAATCCTGAAGCCAGAAATGTTCCGAGCGCTCATTATGCCCAGCGAAGAAGAAATTCACAAAAAGATATGAACCGCCTTGCGTGATGTAACCCAGTGGGACAAAGGAGTAGAAGCGTCCCTTCACCATCCCAGAGGAATTACCCAACAAGAAGGCCTGATGTACTATGATGGACGGCTATATGTGCCCCAAGATGCCAAACTACGGGGAGAAATCATAGCTATTCACCATGACCATATTACAGCAGGACATCCAGGGGTGGAAAAAACCAAGGAACTTGTTCAGCGCAATTATTGGTGGCCGAAACTGAAGCAGGATGTAGAAAGATATGTAAAAGGATGTGAAGCCTGTCAACGAACGAAGACAAGCACCCAAAAGAGGCGAGCACCCCTACACCCGCATGCAGTGCCCTCTCGACCTTGGGAACATATCACGGTCGATATGATAGGCAAACTACCCGACTCCAACGGGTACAATGCCATACTCATGATCGTAGATCGATTCTCAAAAGAGGTCATTCCCGTACCCTGTTCCACCGAACTAACCTCAGCAGGGTGGGCCAAGATCCTGAGGGATCATGTATGGGCCAAACACAGAATGCCTCAGAAGGTGATCTCCGACCGAGGACCTCAATTTGTATCCAAGTTCATGAAGGAGTTGTACGAAATGCTGCACATACAAGGAAACCCGTCCACGGCGTATCACCCGCAAACAGAAAGAGCAAACCAGGAGATTGAAAAATACCTCCGAATATTCATTAATCACCGGCAGAATGACTGGAGCGAATGGTTACCGCTTGCAGCCTTCCAACACAATAACCGAAAGCACTCGGCAACTGGATATTCTCCTTTCGAAATTAACCACAGACAGAAACCGCACCTAGCACCACTCACGGTAAAAGAAGGGACGAATCCAGCAGCAAGGGAGTTTGTAGCCGACATTCAGAAGGTGCACGAACAGACCGCCAAAGCCTTGGAGAAGGCGGCCGAGACCATGAAACGGCAGTATGACAAGCATCAGCGACCAGCAGTGGAATACCAGCCTGGAGACAAAGTATGGCTGGACTCCACGAACCTACATCTCCCCTGACCAATGAAGAAACTGGGGGACAAACGAGTCGGACCGTTTGAGATACTATCCAAACACGGTGCTTCAGCATATAAACTATGCCTTCCGCCATCCTGGAAAATCCATGACCGGTTCAATGAAACCCTACTCACTCCATACCATCCACCGGAGTTCCCGATCCAAGTACAGCCCACACCTCCACCGCCAGACCTCATAGACGGACAAGAACAATACGAGGTGGAGGAAATTGTAGACAGAAGAGAGAGAGCAAGAGGAAGGGGAAGAAAGCGCGGTACAGGGATCGAATACCTTGTCAAGTGGAAAGGATATCCAAGGGAGGAGAACTCTTGGGTAGATGAACAAGACCTCGACAATGCCCAAGACGCAATCGAAGACTTCGAACAAGTCTCGTTCATCACAAGACCCCCAGCGGAGTGGTGGGAAAATGAAGACGAATCAGACTCCTGGTCCGAACACGAGTCCGTAACCGAGTCAGAAGTCGACCACCCCTTGGTACAGGCGATACAAGAATACCTGGTAAAACCAAATGCACCTTCACTTGTAGGAGCCTACCTCCCAAAACCAAACTACTTCGCAGTCGGGATGACTGCCTTAACAGGGGGGTAATATTACGATTTCGTGCTTTATCTTATCTTATCAGCTCTCTCGTAATCTCGCTATGCCAATTTTCCGGACTTGATCGCATTTCACCACGAGGGTTCAGTACGTTTACCGTACCGTTGCAGACACTTGTAGTATATTTAGCACGACCCAAACTGTATTTAAGTAGCTCGACTGCAGGTCTTAAACCTCAGTCTCGAACTAAAGTTTATTCACCCGATAACTTAGTCTGAACTCACTCTCGCTCAACTAAGCGATAGCTCCCTGCACATAAACCTGCGAGCAACACAAGGCGCCTGACCGAAGTGCAAGTCATGCCTAGTTGTTTGATCTTGTTTGTGTAATCGGTCGCTAACAGGTCTCAAAGGCCTCTACTACACGTAAATGGTATTCTAGACCTAGTTTGAAGTAAAACACATTGTAATTTTGGTATCCTTCAATGAACGAGCCTCTCCCAACCTGTTGAGGCCAGAATTCTTTCAAGCTGGTGGGCGTAAGGGTTGTCCAGGTTGCTAACATGTTGTTGAAGGGTTGCAACAGCCTTCAGGGACCCTTTACAGGAGAGAAGCGGATTGATACACTGACATTGATTCACATCAGTATCACTCATCTCTTCAGCTTCCTCCTCATTACATGCTGTCATCACCTCAACATCCTTCTCAACATTAGTAATGGGGTCAGGCACAGCTGCAGGAGTCGAGGGAGCAGCAAGAATTGAGCCGTAAATCACATTTCTCTGCGTGCGCCAGTCTGCACTTACCCAAAAACAATGTAAACAACAAGGTTCAAACCCACAACAACCCCAAATTCAACACCAAATGTTAACAACTGAGCCATCTGATCTAAATTATTGATTGAGTATGTGGCTATACAGAGGGATTTTCAGGAAAGAGCTATGGGTTATGGGTTATAGCAAAGTTATGGGTTATGGACTCATTTTACCTGCGAACAAGGTCGGTGGATGACAAAACCTATGGGTTACAGCAGAGTATGGGTTACTTCAGAGGCGACTGTACCGTTATATATCCACTCACTATGGCTCACAAGTCACTATAATTCACGCCTTAGCCTCTCGTGTACACGCCCTTCACTTACTGGCTTCATTTTCCCTTCAGTCGGTCATCGTTGCGGGAATTGGGTAGGTACCTCGCATTTTTTCAATATTTCTTTTCATAACGCGGCTCCGGGCATGAAGAATGATCGTACTTGGAACACCGGTCGTAATTCCGACACAATGGAAATGGGGGGCCGCACTTTTTGCGATCATCGGTTTTTCTGGATTTATTGCTCAGGTATTTCCCCTACCTTATTCTGCAACAGGCTCATCCATTCCCAAACGTACAAGGCACTGCTCACGATGGGTCTCCAACGCGAGACGGCAGCCAGGGCCACAACTGCTGTTTATACACGGGTCAGCGCATTTTCTCCGACTAAATTGTGACAGGGTCCTGATCGTTTCAGATCATTTTTGCCGTCATCCTTGAGTACATTTTCTTCGAGTTTACCCCCAACTCGTGGTCAGCCACTGGCATTGCGATCATCGTAACGGCTGCGATATACGTTGCGGTTCGTGTTGGCCGGATTGAAAATGCGTCGTACTAACTATGATGTTTGGCAGTTGTCGAAGCACAAGGACACAAAGGAACCTATTATAGATGAAGCAGAGCCTATAGTGGCGCGTAGAGTGTAGAAGATAATCTGTGCCGACGGCTCGACGTCGAAGAACAACAGCGCTCTACTAATAGCATAAGTATACGGACAATCATATGTACCTCTAATCTAGAGAATTCAGCGGTAGTGGCAAGGTTTCACTTGCACCATCAACCTTCGGTGCCTTCGTATTCTAAATCTTTGCCTGCCTAATGGCGAAGACTACCGACTTATCCGGTAATGTACTGTCGATTTTCTATATCATCTGCGTTTTCTCTCCCGTGCTCCTCTCGTCTCTGCTACCTCGCCATCTACCAGTCCACAACTCTAGTCCCTTCGGCCATGATTGTTGGTGCTCAGGATGAAAGTGCTCCCCTGCTTTCCACCAAGAAAGGCTCAGATGGCTGGCGTTTCTCTCTGCATCAAACCTATGAAAGGAACATCGGTCTCCTTCTCATCACTGCATCACAGTTAGCTTTTTCTATGAGCAATGCCTCCGTCAAGGAGTTGAACAGGCTGGAAAACCCAGTATCCACGCTAGAGGTGAGCATAATGCACTTTAGCCTTTCATTATATTGAATGGCTATGGTACAGTTGGTTGGCGCGCATATGGTGCGTACGTTTGGCCGACCTTGCTTCTGTCTTACTTATGAACTGGCGACCAAGTTCGCCACTTACCTGGGCTGCATACTTGTCATGTTATGGATTGGAGTTCCTAAGCCTTTCATAGGACCAGAAGGTGCTCGTAAATTGCTCGTACTCCGTGGGCTATGCGGGTACAATGGTTTCCCTCTTATCACCGATTAAGCAGTGTTCTCATTCCTTTTACCCGTAGATTTGTAGGCGTCTGCGGTGTTTACTATGCTTTGAAACATTTGTCACTATCGGAAGCTATCGTTCTGTCATTCCTAGCGCCTTTTGCAACAGCTATCTCCGGTTCGATATTTCTGGGGGAAACGTTGTCTGTGGGGCATATCCTAGCTGGCTGTATGTCTTGTGAAGCGCGTCATGAATCCGTTTCTGATAACTGCAGTACTCAATATCTTTGGTGTCATTTGTATCGCACAACCGGTATTCCTGTTTGGACAGTCACCAGACGAGGGGGCCGAAGATCCGGAGTTTCGTTTGTTGGCGGTAGGGTGTGTAAATTATTGTTTTACGGCTACCTGGACCTGAGTTAGTTGATAGCATGTCTTTAGTGGGCGTTATGGGAAGTACAGGCGCTTGTAAGTCATCTTCTGTATTCTCGCAATTGCTCTGTGCTCATGCGGTTCTCGAAGTCACAGCAATCCGTGCCATCGGCTTTCGCGCACATGCACTCCACTCTTTAGCTTCGTATTCATTACAATGTGTCATAGCTGCGAGCATTGGGTAAGAGTTCTAGGTCATTGTTCTCTCCACATCCTCATGGCAGGCAGAATGGTCGTAACTGGTACTCCGGTCGTGATCCCGACACTACCGAAGTGGGGTGTACTGTTTGCGATCCTCGTCTCAACTGGCTTTGCCGGACAGGTATGCCATATCACTAATTCTGAAGCGGCTTGATCATCTTTTTATTGCAAGGTGCTGATTACGATGGGCCTCCAGCGTGAAACAGCAGGGAGGGGAACGACAGCTATCTATACTCAAGTCAGTAAATACCATCCGCCTCGTCTGAAATGATGTTCTAAATCCACTAGATTGTATTCGCCACAATTATCGAACGTATTTTCTTCGACTATAGTCCCAACACATGGTCGGCTATTGGGATCGCGGTCATTATGTCTGCAGCAATCTATGTTGCGGTGTGTCTTTATTACAGCTTTTCACGCTTTCCGGCTAAAAGTTTGGCAGATGTCAAGGCGTCAGGAGAGTCTTAAGGACGAACTTATAATTTACAACGCTCAGAGGGCATCAATATCGGGTACTCGGTAACACGACAGCTAACTGACTGGCATCATCTGAAAGCACTCATAACATTGTCGTATCAAATTCTTAGTACATGGACACTGTATCATTAAAGTAGAAGAATAGAGCAAATGCGTCAAGTTATAATCTTTCCGATTTCTCTGCTGAACCAGATGGCATTCATTCCGAAGCAGTTATATGTTCTTTCAAATCGTCCGGATGGGGAGAAGAATCGTGAGATAACGGGGAAAGCGTAGCCTTTTTACTGAACGGTGTGATTGAAGTTTCAAAGAGTGTCGATATGTCTTCCAGAGAACGACCCTGGTACCAAGTCGTCAGTTGCAAACAGAAATATGATTCGTCCGGGACATACTTTTGTTTCATGGAAGGTGAAAAACACTTGAATAAATGAAGCGACACAGAAAACACCGAATACGAGGTACGTTCTGATGATTATAAGTTGATTTCTGCAATATAGTCGTCATGATGACACAAACTCACTTCCACTGAATGTTTTTGAAAGCCGGAGGAACGAAGAAGGACAAAGCAAAATTCATGATCCAGTTGGTCGCTGAGGTACTACGGTTAGACGGCCCGCGAGAAAGATCTAGTAGAAGAGAAGCACGAACCTGTTGCCAGACCAGACCCCTGTGCTCGCACAGGACGGGGAAATATCTCCGAAACATATATCCAAGAAACCGGTCCCTGTGAGAGAGATAAAAACCCAACAGAACACTCAATCAGAAGATAAAAATACCCAGGTAATTGCAAAAGAAGCCACGAAGAGATAGCTGCATGCAATGACACCCTTGGATGGTGGACCGGAAACAGACCATCGAACATTCGCGTTCCCTTCAACACTATCTACGTAGTGGCCATAGTTGGCGAGTAAGCCAGCTGTTGCAAAAAGGAATGCCGCCATGAGAGCAGAGCCAACGAGGAGGGTCGGTCGACGGCCCCATTTATCAACCCATATGAGAGCTGGAATCGTCATAGCGAAATTGATCACATATTGCTATCCAACAAGGTAAGGAGAGCGCAGGTTAACGGTAGGAAGGACTTACGATTGACGAGGATATCAAATTTGTATTTCCCGTAAGACCAGCCATTTGGAAGACATAAACGACGTAGTACTGGTCAAGGGATGAGAGTGGGTGAGACGAATGAGTAAGAAGTATACCATCATGACGTTCACGCCACATAGCTGGCTGTAAGGATGAAACAGAAGTAAGTAAACGACAATGTGGGATACGGTTGGACCTCCCTCCAGAGTTGACAAGCCATGCCGGCAATAGTTCGGGACAGTAGTTTCTTCTTGAACAAGTCAGTATATCCAATCTCGGCCGACTCCTTTTCAATGCGGAGAGCTTCGCGAATCTCATCTATTTGAAGCTGTACCTCGGCTGAGTCGATGGGCAAATTGTGGATCTTAGCGATGACTTGTTCTGCTTCTTCCATGCGACCGTGGGCCGCGAGCCAGCGACATGACTCGGGACATAAAGGCATGAGAAGACCAAGGAGAGCGCCAGGAATGATTTGTAGGGCCCATGCTGAAACAAAAATCAACACCAGTTCCACAGAGTTCAAGGTTGCTATCACACCCAATCGAAAGGCCCCGACGCCATTTATGAAACTGCAGCCGTAGCTGACATAGAACATCACTAATATCAGGAATATCAATCAGTGAGACCTTGAGGGAGAAATAGAGATCAACGCACCAAGAATACCAATGGTTATCGCAATCTGCTGAGTGCCAACAAGGCGACCACGGATAGCCTAAGAATGGTTTCTGAGTGATGTACCATTTGTAGCAGTTAGAAATGCTCTCACCCTGGGCGATTGTTCCGCAAGGTATACAGGAACTTGACCTGACGTCCATCCAACACAAATACCCTTGATAAATCTCCCAACTACCAGCATAGCAACGTTCTGAGCGGCGCAGCTGAGGATGCACCCGATAGCCCAGCATATTGTTGAAAGTATGATGGACTTCTTGCGCCCAAGACGGTTAGATACGGGACCGGCAATGAGGGCACCGATAAAAGCACCCCCTGGCATAGCCGCCGTTATTCCACCTTGGGTCGTGTCATTGGGATGGTTGAAGTAGTTCAGGTACGAATCGACGCCCAAAAATGCAGAGACGGATGATATGTCTAAGAGAAGACAGATCAACGACGTGGCAGAGAATTCTCAGTCTAATGCATAGTTACCTGTACCAAAAAGAAATCCGCCCAGCGCACTGATGGCCGCGATGGCGTACGGATTATATATCTCGAGCATTTAATACTGATAGCTGAGGCAACAATCGTAAGACAGGACAGATCGGCAGTGACAGACGGGAAAGAAGGAAAATGCTTGAGCATCTATATCGATGGTCCTTTAAAATGCTTTGGCCATCCGAGTCCCGTTCCCAAGACGTAAAGATGGTACCCCGAAGAAGCTCATCGTGGGGTATTGCCGTAGTACTATGACGCCGAATGCTCCAGAGCTCAGTGTCAGAAGGTTGAGGTTCTCTGTGAGAGAACATTCCGGAGATGTTCTCAGCCGCATGAAAGGTAAACAGTTCCGAGAGTCCGAATCCGATCAAAGGAGCAACCTCGGTACGAAGACGCGCGTACCACAGGGCTGAGACCAGTGAGAGTAAACGAAGCTTGATTGGTTCTCTGCTCCACGGAGCCACTGATTGACGTCGCAGCTAGCTAGGAGAACCCAACCGTCTATTTCTTGATGGGAGACGAGAGATCGTCAATCGATGTAGCGAAATTATCCCGCGATGACTGAACAAAGCGACATGGCGGTGATTTGTGCCTCCGGCTTGATACTACAATAGATAGGTTCTAGGTGAGGGTGCGCATTTGCTCACAAATACAACTCCCGAAAGAGAAGACAGGCGATATCCTCGTCAATACTAGAACGTTCGAGTCGCTGTGCATCATCAGAATCCTTTTGGACAAACAGAGAAGGCGCAGTCTTAACCAGGAAGAGGTCATGGAATCGTGATGGCAACGCGCTTCGAGTCTCGTGGCATTCAAACTTTGTACCAACTGGTCTGCCCAGCTGTAAGGGCAATATCGGGTCCCAGATCAGGATAGCGGCGTTCGGCGTCGTGGTCACATAAGCCCTTCCTCGTATCCTCGTATTGACGATTCCCGGTTCTGAGCACGATGGTTTCCACATAGAAGATTGACTTGTGGTGTGATACAGCTAGAATAAATCCCCTTTGTAATATCTATACTCAGTCGGAAGGCCAGAGTGAGGTTGAACCCAACAACGACGGATACTAGGCTAGACAGATTTTCTAGTGCAAGCCAGCTCAAGAAGTTTAGATAGCTCCAGACAGATGTCAAGTGAGCCTTCCATGAGGCACAGTAGGCTAGGCCGGACACAATGAGATGACACAATAAGCCGGCTTGACTTACAATAAGTATGTCATGGTGGGAAGAGGTCAAATTCGGTAGTTTCGGCCCGACTTTCTTCAACTTCAATCTGTATACTATCGGATTATCCATCCCATCTGGATTCACTACCTATCGAGGAATTCTTTGGTGATTCCCAGGACATGACTATCTTGTTTTACATGTTTATATGCCGATAATATCAATATACTACTGCTACTAGATATCCAAGTCCATTGTAATGTCAGTGTCAGATTCTCTCGATGTAGTAAAATTGCGCCGGCCATCAAGATGGTTTTCATCTAATCCGAATCCTTCGATCTGTCTCTCCCTCGCTCATCACATCTGACCGGTTGACATGCATGGAGGATGATACGTTCAACCTCATCCCATCGTTCCCCACCACTGATCACTGCAAGGAACGGGAAAAGGCTATCTAAATACCTCGCAACAGATGCTGGCCGTCCGACCGGTATGCCAGGCGACGAAAATACGCGTAGCCTGTGTCGGAGAACTTGACGAGGCAGAAGCGCATCATTGTCGGGAAATGCAATGGGTATGGTAAGACACGTGAGCTGACGGCAGTGCGTTGCTAGCTCCAGCAAAACGTCGGACGGGAGAGGTACCGCCAACTGAGGGATGCAGATATTTTCGACACCCTTCCATGCTGTAGCAAACTTCTTTTCGACCGTGCCCTGATCCAAAGCTAGGTTACCGGAATAATAAAGTGTCTTTAACAGTCTTAGCCCATAAAGCGGCTCAAAGACGAGTCGCGAAGACTCCCAGTGCTCTTGACTGATCGACCAGTATGGATACGTCAACGAAAGCTCGCGCAGGCTCAGGTTGAATCGTTCGAAAAGTCCGACGTGGAAATCCAGCATGACCTCGCATGCGTAATGATAACTTTGGTTGGAGGAGTTGTCGATGAATGTGAAAGATTCAAGGATATCTGGCGCGATAAGTCTGAGTACACGACTCATAGACGCTATGGGTCCGGTGACGTGCAAAATCTTGAGGGAGGAAAAGCCATCTCGGTCGTCGTGAGGTAAGATGTGTGGGGCAAAGACGAACTGGAGGTGCTCAAGGGATTCAGAGGAGGAGAGCTCCTCGAGGAAGGAGTAAGTTACGGGGTGGGAAGTGATTTTTAGGCAACGGAGGCCTTTTACGGTGAAGAAAGTAGCGGGACAGGCCCGGTCGATACAGCTCGGAACTGTATTATAACCAGCGTGCGTTGCCAGCGGACAAGAGATGATAAACGTATCTCGTCCGGCAACAGCGGTCCGCACAGATGTCGCGACAATATCATCATCAGGGTTGGGTTCCAAAGTGATTTCGACTTCTCGCAAATCGGGGCTTGAGAGTAGAAAGAGAATATGAGGTTCTGCAGCGAAGGATTGATCGACTTCCAAGCGCTTCAAGTTGGCGAATAGGAGAGCCGGGAACTGGGCGATGAGACGCAGGTAGATTGATGGATGGTCTTTGGCACGAGAAGATGCATCGAGCGTCAATGACCGAATGCGTTCAGCATACTTCTTGAACCGGTTCCATACCGGCTCTGGTACATCTCTTGGAATAGTCTGCCAACATTGTGACGTGCGTTAGACATTTACAAGATACTCAAAGACGGTGCTTACCCAAATGCTTCCATCGTGTGGCCCGGAAGCACCCACATTGAGGACGCGTAATAATGGATTGAAGCCATAGATATGTCTCCAGAGTCGGTCAAGAGCCGTCTCGGATACGGAAGTGCTGACTGTTGCCAACGAGACCAGGGGGTGAACTGTGGCTCCGTCAGGCAACGACTGGATGCCAGCACTCCAAAGATTGTCACAGATTACGCTCAGAAGATCTTGATTATAGAGGACAGCTTTCTCGGAGGAACGAACACTAGAGTCCATGCTAGAAATACGGGTTTTTCAGAATGTATGGCTGGCCTTATAAACTAGATACCAGCGCTTAACTTTAGCGCCACTAAAACGAAGCAAAGTTTAAGTGAAGGGAGGATCCGCGAAAGGAGAAATTCGGCACGGGCGGTGACGCATTTACACGATGCTATTCAGCACTAGAAAATAATTAAAGAGCGACTTATCATGGAATATTCGAAACACAATGTCTTCATAGCACAGGAGAGGCACTGGTGGCCCCGTTTGCATTTTCAGAATGAGCGTCGTCGGCGGTGGTCAATGAAACCAGAAAGAAACGTTGATATCCCGATTTAGATTAGTCTTTGTCCCACAAGACTTCTCTCGAAGATCAAGCTTTCCACGTTTTCGCGTTTTGAGTGAGAAAATTGTGCTGCTTTCCTTGTACTGCGGCGCATGGGGTTGTCCTATGACTTGGGTGTATGCATGTGAGTGCTTACAATTACTCACGCATCTCTATGCAATCACCTGGTACCTCTGTTCCTTGCTTTCTACCGAGTACGAGGGTGCAATCCTTTCGGAATCTTCGAGAAGGCGGCCGATCGCGAGAAAAGCCTTCACACTTCAGTCAGCTGAATGGTCTGCGTCCTCGATGGTTTGATTACGAGTGCACACGGATGTTTCTTTACAAGAGACGGCGATAATAGTAAGAAGCACTCAGCATCCTCCGCGGGTTTTTTGAATTATACCTCATATAGACATAGTCATGTGACCATATAACGCGCTTCTAAGCCTGCTGTTGAATCCGACTCGACTTAGTGTTGTCACTTATGTTTAACAATAATTTGTGATATTCCACACGGCTAACACACGCACCATTCGGACCTACTCGGACTAGGCATATTTAAGCATGAGATTAGAGAAATATCACATGATTTTTACGTGACCGTGGTTGAGTTAAAACTTAAAAGACTTCACTTTTCTTGAAACTATCAACATCAACGCGCCTCAGACACTGTTTCTGCTGTATCATCTATCCAGAATATTTGATTGAGACTATACGTCTCAATAATGCTCGTTTGCTACTGAACTCAGCACTTGCCATCGTGTCTTCCCTTTCCTTCTCATACACCATGAAAAATCGCGTTCTTTCTCCCGGTGAGAGCGTCCTATACAACCAAGACCTCTTAACCATTATTTGCGATGACTTATGGACTCCCCCTGTCCAAAAATTACATCCAGCTGGAACCCATATCCATCCTCTGGTTGCATTGGCTTCCACCTGCTCTGCGGTATCCGAGATGGCGCTCAACCGTCTCTGGGAGTATATCGATGGTCTCAATCCTTTATTTGATGTTTTTAAATACTCCTCATATGCAGGTACTGCCGATCCGCCTGGGATCTACCGGGTACGCAGTTTTTCGCCTAAGGAAGAATGCTAACCCGAGCTCGTTTCCAGGTGATTCCGGAAAAACGACCCAAGAAGAGTGGGAGAGGTTAGCGCTACATGCGCAGCGGGTCAAATCCTTGACTCTTAGTGCTTCTTTGCTTCCGGCAGTTCACCCGACCACATACCTTCGTATCGTGGCGCAGTTCCCGAATGTACCAATATTCCCCAACCTCAACAGCATCACAGTGGACGAATCTATTGCCGCAGAACCTCGCATTTTATTCCTGCTACCTAGCCCCAAGTTGCAAAAGGTCGAACTCTCTGTAGGGCTTGACGCAGACAACCCCACCGTGTTTACCGCAGTGAACGCCGCCATTACAGGGCGAAAAACATTCATCGTCTCCTGTCCAACCATAGCGACAATGAGTCATCCCGTTGATGTGACAGCTCCATGCGATGCTGCCCTCTTTACTGGCAAGAGCCTGCGTTTGAAAATTCTAAATTATAGGGTCGTAGATGCCTTCCTTGAAGAACTGTCATCCTCCGAGTCCCTCGAGCACCTCCAAATCACCTTCTCTCCCTGGTGGCGCAAGGACATACGAGCTGGGTTTCGTTCCTTGAAATCCTTTCACGTCACTGGCCCGGTAGCATCAATGAACCGCGTCCTCAGACTCATCGTACCGGGCAAACTAGAGTCCTTCACCCTCATCGACAACACCTCCGGCCAAGGCTACCAGTCCACTTCTCAGGCCATGCGTGTTTTCCACCGCGATCTTCTCGCCCGCTTCGGTTCGAGTATGCGCGAGCTGTCGTTGACATATCCTAGTTGGTCTATTGAACGGGTTGACTGGAATATCTCTCAAGAGGTCTTTGAGCCTTTTTTTGGGCTAACGTCGCTCAAAAAGCTTCATTACACTGGTGAAATTGCGTTGGATCGGGATTTATTCCACGAGAGGCTCGTTACAGCATGGCCAGATATTGAAATGCTCAACATCCCTCGCATTGTGGGGCCGGCTCTCCCGTTCGATGTGTTACCCGTGATAGCCTTGAATTTCCCCAGACTGACACATCTCACTCTGCCTGTTTCGTTTCCCGAGAGTTATGTGGCGCCGCATGATCAGATTCTCCAGCACGGGTTGCGCACACTCGCATCGCCTGATGCCTCAGTCGGGCGACATGCATGTGTTGCTAGATACCTGGATCGTATCTTCCCGTTCCTTACGAGGGTAGAAGGTGGTGAAGGATGGGATCAAGTTGAGCGGATCATCTTGGATGCCTGCCAACCGATTAGACGTGATCATCAGGGTAGACAAGGAGGAGTTTCCAGCTGAATCTGACATGAGGAGAAGGTCGTAACAAGTCGTGGCGGTTCTATTTCATAGGTGAATTTACCCTACATCTTCTCATACATCACATAGAAACCTTGATACATTTTGCTGGTAGGTAGGTAGCATTACACGGCTGTGAACCCTCGGCCTACTTATGTACATTTGAATTCATTGGGAACTGCATCTTTAGCGGTGGTGGAGGGGGATGGAAAGGCATGCACTGGACGGCGTATAATATGGAGAGGAGGTGGTGGCATTAGCAGCTGAGGCGCATGGAGATTTGGAGTAATGGAGGTCTAGGGAAGGTAGTCTCATACTCTGAGTCTTCCTACAGCGATATCTAGCTATTCTTCCAGGGCGACTTTACGCTTGTATATGATTGATACTAAGATCAAATAACTTGCACCGGACGCATTTAATTTATCTGCCTTTCCAATTCTGGGAATGTTTAGAACAATAGGGCCATAAACGAGGGCGTTCTATGCTTTCATCTTCGCTTAATCATGAATCGCCCGTACTTCTGAGCGATCAGGAGAAGGTGATTAGATGAGTGAGATTTCTGCCAGGGAAATTGGCGACGTACCGGTCTATCTCAGTGCTTCGTCATCCCTACTCCATACGAAGTAATGTTTCCGTGCGCCGATAGCTATTGCAGAGAAGGAAAATATGACGTGAGTCTATGGATTACTGCAATGACAACGGTTGTTTACGGATCGCATGATTTCCCAAGCAGACCCCACGGGTACTTTGTTTGATGGCAGGGGCCAGGAGAGCATGCTGAAATACTCCCGTAGCACAGTGACCCCTCCTCTCCAGCATTGGAAACCATAAACATAGTTGAATCGTTCGCGGAGTGGAAGATACCTCGGAAATGAAGTACGTGAGAGACTTTTAATATCGGGGAAACCCCAAGGCGTCATTTCAACTACTTATCAGTGAAAGGTTCTTTTAATGATCGGCTCGGGTTGAACTAACCTGAAATATACCTTTGATTCGCAGATGCTTCGGGGCTGAACGTTGAACCTGACAATAGGTTTGAATGGTGAGCATGGAGACATTCGCCTCCATTCCATTCATTCAGTTATTCCGTAGTACATCACCGGCTAGAAGCATTCAAATATCGTTGGTTTCGGATATGGTGAAGGCTGCGGCGTGCTAGTCCCTATGTGCGAATCAATATGAAGTGAATAGTTGCAAAGCACCTACGCTTCAGGCCCAGGGAGACACAGAGCATTTGATGTTCAGGCGAGAATGGTCGCACTGAAGCTACGAATAGCTTTCGAATTGGACACCGAGTTAAATTCAGAAAGCATCTCGCGAGAATCCAGGGTTCAGATATCATCTCACAGGCACATTATTGAGCTGCATGGATAAAACAGGACTCGGCCATTCCAGCTTAAGTTCGGAATGCCAATGGGCCGTTAGACGTACAAATCGGTGAAATTATGTCGTGATAGTCGCTGAGTGCACATGTGTTTTGAAATGAATAGGTGCTAAGAGAGTGAGGCTTGCATTGGTAAGGAAATCTTACTATATCTTGAGGAATCTCTAAATTCAGTTCGTAAGCAATAAATTGAGGAGAGGAAAGAAAATGCTGGAAAGTACAAAAGTACAGTCAAATCCATTTCCAATATCGCGGCAACGCTGACGTCTGAAAGTTCCTCCGGTTGTCTGCATAGATATTTTGTTGATTTCCCTTGGCATTATATGATTTCGATCGTTGATTCACTGGTCTCTGCACAGTGTATAAGCCTCGGAATGAATAATCCTTGTCTCCCAGTCACCTCGACACTCTGCCATGATATGGCCCTCCTCCTCCAACTACACATTCACCGAAATATACTGTTATTTTATCCATTATTTCAGACTGCTTCTCGTCACTGATGTGAGAGACGGCAGGGCGTAATACGCTGAAGACGCCGACGAAGTCGAAGAATAGCGTTGACTACCAAATCGGGACTTTCTGCCGAAATCATGGTCCCTGCAGGTTAACGCTTGCAAGTTGCTCTTCCATCTCGCGCTTTATTTTTCTGGCGGCCGACACTTTGTGACAGATAAAATTCAATGGGCTTTTGCGCGGGATCCCGCTCTTTTCAACGTGCCTGGTATGCTTTCATCTGTCTTTCTTTCTCAGCTAGGTCTCGTCGATCGTCGATGCGGGGGGGGGGGGAAGTGTGCGGGATATCTCAATTGCTCGCCACGTGTTACAGCTGTTACACCCAAAGCTTTATACATTTGCTGGAAAAACGTCTAGTATTGAGCCGAAAATAGAAGAACGACTGCATTTTCGCGAGATCAAATAATTCAGGAAGATAGGATGAAACAGATATGCAAGTTTAGAGAAAGGAATGTATAGACTTGAGATATCCGAGAGACACAGAAAGTGATGAATCGTGAGGTAGAGTTGTTCAGTGGCGGCGTGGCATTACGGATTGCCCCTCTTCCTGTATCAGAACTTCCGGAATAGGCTGGTTCTCCTTTCCATCAGCGTCGTCCCCGAAGATTCCCTTGATAGGTTTACCGAGCGTACAGGTGACAGTTCCCAAGGGGTAGGGGCCGTCGTACAACGGTATGTAGTCGAGAGAACATATGATAGTGACCGCAGGAGATGCTTTGCTCTTGAGTCCTTGCCTGCTCGATGAATCATGGAGTAGCAATTCCTCTTCGTTCATAAAGCGAGATGCGAGAAGGTGCCGAAGCGGAGAGGGAGGGAGGCAGACAATACGGCGGAACTCAAATGGCGACCGGCGTCGCCCGGGGTACATTTGACGGAAAAGAAACCTGTAGCGCATGACGGGCGTGGTGTAGAGGTCCGGAGATTGTCTTGGCTTTCCGCTTGCTGATATAAAATCAACAAGATATTGAGCCTAAAGGTCGTTCAAATCAGGGTCAAGTTGAGTGCAGATGAGTGACGCACCTCGCTGTAGGGCACCGTCCTTTCTTTACTTCTCTGAACAAAGAAGGTCCCGGATATGGAGCAACAGAGGTAGTAGAACAGAACGACGACGAGGTATAGGGCGACGATACAACCGATGATGATGCCGACCATGACTGAAGGGCGTGATTGAGGAGCGTGAGGTGCTGAGCGAGCGACTGGAGACATATAGCTATCGTAGAAAAAAGCGTAAAAGAGTGACTGTAAAACGAGCGAGATGAATAGAAAATATTGAGCAGGTGCCAGATGATGGTTGAGGAAAGATAAAGTTGCCAGTGGACCAAGTTGATGTCAGCCTCTGTATGTAACCGGCCCGGTGCCAAACGTTCACACGTCGGCGCAGAGTTTACCGCTGTCAGCAATCTTTCCTTCCAACCACCATGGGCCTCACTCTCGAACTTGGAACTCCCGTCAACACTGCCCTTTTCCTCTTCATATTATACTCCGTCCAGCGCATCGTCTTTCCTTCCCCCTCCACCGCTGCTAAAGGTGCTGTTCCCAATGAATTCAAAGGCGGCTACTCGTGGATGCCGAAGTACCATCCGCCAACCGTGATTTTCGAAAACTTCACGCCAAAGACGCTGCAACCTTTCAATGGCAAAGACAACGAAAGGATTCTGCTGGCGATCAATGGAATCGTTTTCGATGTTACCGCCGGAAGGAGTTTTTATGGCCCTGGTACGTCAGTTGCTAAATCAGTAGCGTATTATGTCTGACAGAAGTTTTTAGGCGGTATGTATGGAAATTTTGCCGGACGCGATGCGTCAAGGGGAATGGCGAAGCAGTCGTTTGATGTCGGTATGTAGTCATTGTCCTTGTTATGATTCCCGATACTAATTACTTTTGCAGAGATGCTTACACCCATTGATCAACCTCTGGACAAGCTCGAAGATCTAAAACAGGACGAAATGTACGTTCCTCGCTGTCATTATAACTGCAAACCTGTTAACTTTTGAACAGCGATAACATGAAAGGCTGGATCGACCATTTTTCGAACAAGTATATCATTTGTGGCAAGCTCGTAGAGAACGACGCTGCCTAAATGCTTCTGCTCTTTTGCATATATTACATCTACGATTGTACTAACACCGCCAATATTGAAGTTGCTTTCTTGCACACTAACGACGACGCTTACGAAGTCCTTGACGTCGATACCGTAGTATCGGAAGAACTGCGATACGCATCCAACACTTTTCGATACCTCCCAAGTGTCCACTCCAACACCTTGTTAGCATTGATACACGCAGAAACATTTCGGATTGATATGACTTGCTCACCGCTCACCACCCTGATGCTTACAAGGGTCACTCTGCTGGATTGCCGGTGCCTGATCCTCACTCTTAGGTACCTCTTCAGTCTGTCTGTACGTCTCTTGCCTCCAAGAATCCGTGAATTTGCGGCGACGTCGTGCTCCGTCTTGATGTATGAAGCATATTTCTGGAGTCCAGGGTTTGCGTCCCGGTCGGAAAACTTATCCCGATGTGCCTGCTTTACTAAAGCACCCTGATTCATGTGCATTGCAAGGCTCTCACGTCTCCTTCCATCTTCTCACGTACTTGCCAATCGAAGCCTTGTGTTCAGTGGTATATTAGTTCCCATTCGGCGTTGTGTGCATGTGAAAGCGGGCAAAAATCTGCATGTGAAACTCCTCTTTCCTTCCCTGTGACAGTATCATGTCCTTGAGACGTTATCGGTTCGTCCCTGGTGGATATCTGGCACAATAGCATGGTATTACTATGGTCTGACTCATTTTGTGGTGGGACAGAACGCTGGTGTTCCTCTGTTCCTCCTCGTTTGAGACCACATACCGGTCTCCTAAACTCAAACCCTTCGAATGCACCGACCCTTCCATGAAAGTTTGAACAGCCCTATAGTGGATAAGATGTCTATCTGTTGAATCTACCCCCTACACTTCTTGGTACAGCTCTTGACCCCTACTACCTTCAAGTTGATCGAGATCCACCATTTGAAGTGCAGGGAACAAGCATCATTTTGTTCTGTTCTAAAAGTTATGCTATCATCCTCTAGCAGTCAGGCATGCAGTTTGACAAGCTCTTTCCTCTCGCCTTCCCTCGGACGGGGAGTATCCTCTCGGCGGTGCAAGCGATCACGATATCCTCGCGAAAAGAGGGGGTTATCCTCGACTTTCTTTTTTGGAGTACTCTTCGATGTCTGAGAACCCCACCCCGAGGAAGATGGAAGAAAGCTGTTTTACTCTGCGGTATAAGAGAGGTTGGTTGAATGGATGGTACCTCATCTCAACGTAACAATGCACTTCCAAGTCTTCGCCCTCTTCTTCTTTGCTCTCGTCGCCGCTGTTGTCGCGGCGCCCGTGAAACGGGAAACAAACGCCCAACGTTTTGCGAAGGGGCTCCCTCCTCTCAAGCCGTGGTATCTGTATAAGCGTGAGTGATAACTTCACGTGAATATTATATGGTGACTGACGGTGGATAATTAGCGAGCGCGACAAGTCCTATGAACATCCCTTCTGGTGTGCCATCCGGGAAACCATCTGGTGTACCGTACAGCAAACCGTCTGGCATACCGTGGGGCAAACCGTCTGGCATACCTTACGGCAAACCTTCAGGTATCCCCTACGGCAGACCATCTGGTATACCCTCCAGCAGACCTTCTGGTTGGCCGAGAAAATAGACGTGAAAGTCAATTGGTGTCGACTCTTTCTAAATTTTGTTCCCCGATTTTAGTTGGACTCCTTATATTTATATTCATTTCCTTCCACACCCGTGTATTTTTAACCTATCACATATACATTGCCTCTAGATGCGATATAGTTCATGTGTCGTAACAGTTCGTAATTTGGAATAAGTCGTTCCATGAAATTATGTATGTCAACATATGATACATTGACCTTGAGAGGAATTGCTACCGAGAGAGAGAAAGATTATCGCCCTAAGCTTCTCATCTTTCTTCACTGCTGCGAGGTTGTAACAAGTCTACACGACTTGGGGACGGTCGCACATTGGCCATCTCTATATCTTTTGACAGCTTGGTCGTATCCCCTCTACTGGTTTTATTTCGGCGACACCAGGCATGCAATAAGTCCTGTTAGCTTGTTAGTATATTGCGCGCCTTTGTGTAGCAGCCGTGACACACACCTTTTGTGTGCCAAAGAGTAGTAAGACGGATACGGGCACTAGTACGCAGGGAGGTTAGTGTTAGTGTCATAGAGACGAGGGTCTAGCATACTCAAGGTTAAAGCCAAGTTCCATCCTATGGCTGACGAGTTGGGATCCATTACAAGACTGGTTATTCCCATCCTAGCAAAGAACAAATTGGAGACATGGTCACAGTGAACGGGCTTGACTTACACATTACCGATGGAGAGAAGAACTGTAAGTGCTATCACACGTATGACCAAGGATACTGTAACTGAGGTATTACTTGTCGGAATTGCGCGCCCGAGTCTACGTTTGGTGATGCAAACTTTGATAGCAACGAGAACTACGGGAATTCAGGACCTTCGACATGTCGGTGAGTGAAAGGATACTTGCTAGAGAAGATAAACACAAAGGTGTCGGGTAGCATTGTCGTTATGGTACTTATGATGTACCTGTAAGATGCAAAGTCAGGTGGGTACGAGAAAAGGACGACGACTAGACGAACGGTTGTCCTGGGCCAAATCCATCTATGAAAGCAATATGACAGAAAATGCGGCTCGCATCTCGCTGCACAGCTTCTGGGTGGGCAACTCCGACCTGAAAGGTAGAGCTTCACGTCAGAATGGAAGTTGCGAATGATCGGCGATTGATGCTCACAGCTATAACATAAAAAAAGACAACGATACCAACGGCAGGGGGTATTGCGAGTAACTGCACAAGATGCTGTTGACAAAGAGGTAGACAAGACAGAAGGGAAAATGTACCCAAGACCGCCACTGCTTCATCTTTCTATCTGAGATCGATAGGATATTAAGCTTCATGTGTAGCTACAGAGCCTCAGCTATGTTCTATTTCCACAGGGCTTGCCATACCTCGAGCACCAGGCCCAATGCGGAGATTGTGGTGCTAGATAAAGCTCGTATGAATTCAGTCAGTGTTAAAAATGAACAAGTAACTTACAATGGATTGGCAGCATAGCCGAGGGCTGACTGCAAGATGCAGATACCAAAAGGAGGCTCCTGATTGCCCTGCCGGCCAAGCAATAACAGGTATGCGCCACACCAGAACATTGTACTTCCGATGAACAGAAACCATGTTTTTGACCTTGTTATACGTGAAGAAAGTTTCGCTGTTATGCACGTCAAACCGAGCAAGACAAACGTGCTGATAAGGATCGCATCGAATAATTCAACGATGAACTCGAGGGCATCGGAATCAACTAGGCAGTCGAGTTATAGACGAGATATGGGAGGATTTGTGGGGGAACTTACGCTGGGCATTGGCCGCCATTACTTGGAAAGGAGGACAATAGGGAAAGCGGAGGGAGAGGATAATTTGAATGCAATGGAGGTACCGGAGTCAAGCGACGGGTAAGTCATAGGGCAACTATCATGATTGAAAATTTCGTGATTTTCTGGATCTCTGCGATAATCAGATACAGTTTCCTTCGACAAATATCATGATGCTGAGAGACGAAGTCATGTATAAGACCCACTATTAGAACAGTGGCGGTATATTGTGATTGTAAGTTGCTTCTGAGACCTAGTATACGATAGTGAAGGATGATCAAAAGATCTATCAAGGGACTATGAAAGTTGATTTTACCGCTTTGTAATGGATAATTGGGATAGCAACTGATCCAGTACTAGGTACAATGGCACTAACCGAGACAGCATTGAGCCCAAGAGCGACGATTTATTAGCTTAGATCAACTTTCGTGAGAGACTGTCGGAGAAAACTGCGTGGGACCGAAAATGTCAAGCGCACCTTCCCGTTCGAGGCGACCACGTGCAGCTTCAAATACCGACTCGAGCTCAAGGAAGGCTACACCGAACTGTTTGTCGTACGGCAGGCTTACCCCTTCTAGTATCCCCAGTTCGTTCAGAGTCTTTGTTGCCCGATCATTTCTGTGTACTGCTCCCGGGATTTCCAGCTGTTTCTTTCTGTGATGGTTTAATTCGAGAACCCAGCCTCATTGTTCATCACATTACCGGCGCATCGGTGGGGATACACTCAATTGTCGACTGCATAAACGCCCACTCTACGAAACATCTTCTGGTCGTTCCTGCAGAATTGAGAATAGCCGGAGGATAAACCACAGATGTGCCGTAGCTCGGTGCTGGAAAGCGACAACTGTTGACCACGAATGATGTAGCGCTGGATCTTTTTTGGCTGGGGAAGAATTTACCCTCTGGATTCGATGGTTCATTACAGTTTGACACAAGTGTATGGAATGCTATTTAATTGCAATTATAGAATAGAGACAATGCTGCTGAATAGGAATTGGCATCTCGCGCCGGGTTTCTTCATCTGTCCTCACACGGACGCAGAAGGTCGATGCGACTAGGAGATGGTCGCACACTAATGGCCATCTCCAAACCCTTCGCCTCTTTTCTCGACTCCCCTCTGCTTGCTTTATGGCGGCAGCACCACGTATGCAAGAAGTCCTATCGGGCTCGTCAGTATGGAGACAATCTGATGTCAGTCAACTTTGAATACCATCTGGGTGCCAAAGACTAGAACTACGGACACAGGCACTAACATAAAGAAATCAGTGGCATCTCTCTCAAACAGACGGGGATTTTACAGACTTGACGTCAGGGCCAAGTTCCATCCTGCCGTCGATGTGGTCATCACCAAGCTGGTTATAGCCATGCTGTTGGGAAAAGGGATGGGGGATAAGTTGATTCTGATGCCAAAGTATGAGTGATCAGATCAGACTTACACATTACCGATGGAAAGCAGAACTGTGAGCGCGGTTACACGTATAACCCACGACACGGTAATGCGGGCATTTCCGCTTGGTGGAAGAGCCTGTCCATATCTACGCTTGCTAATACATACCTTGATAGCAACCAGACCTGCAGGAATTTGAGACCCTTCGAATGGATCAATGGCACATCCCTCACCAGAAAAGAGAAGGACGAGGGCGTCGGGTATCATGGTTGTTACGGCGCTAATGACGAACCTACGAGATGAGAAGCTTAGACGGATATGCTGCGATAAATTTCAGCAGGTTGACGAACGGTTGCCCAATTCCGAACCCATCTATATGAGGGATGTGACAGAAGATACGGCTCGAATCTCGTTGGACGGCATCTGGGTGGGCGGCTCCGATCTGAAATGAGTAAGATGAGCCATGCATTGACAAGCGAGCTCATGAAGCTTACACCTAAGACATAGAAGAACACCACCAGACCGACAGCAGGCGGCGCAGCAAGGAACTTCCAAGGCTATCGGTATAGAAGATACATAGTGCAACCGAATTAATATCGTACCCAGGATTGCCATTCTTTCAGTCTTTTGTCGGAAAATGACAGGATATTAAGCTTCATGTGCAGCTGCATCTGAGGCTCAGTTACGTTACGTCTTCCGAATAACAACATCTAGCATACCTCGAGCGCCAGGCCCAAGGCGGAGATCGTAGCTCTTGAAGAACCGTATTGTGCAGTCAAATACCTTAAGAAACTATTGGAAGAGTACTTACATAGGATTGGCCGCATATACCAGGGCTGACTGCAAGAGACAGATGCCGAAGGCAGGGTCTCGGTTGCCTTGTCGGCCGAGCAATAACAGGTACGCGATACACCAGAACATCGTGCTTCCGATGAACAGGTACCAAGTTTTTGACCTGGATATGCGCGAGGAAAGCTTCGCTGTCAGGCTTGTTAGGCCTAACAGGATGAATGTGATAATCAGAATGACATCGAATGCTTGTACGCAGAACTCGAGCGCTTCATAATCAACTAGTGAATTACAAAGTTAGTTTAAAGGCGATAAATGAGGGATTCATGGCACGACTCACGTTGGGCAGTGGACATCATCGCTTAGGGAGGAGGGAAATGGGAAATACTGACGAAGTGGATAATCTGAGTGGATGGATGTGAATGGCAACGGAAACTTTGTTGAAAAAAGTAACTATCATGATTGAAAATTCAATGATTTTTGAATGTCTGACTCTAGAGGACAGATCGTTTGTTCAAATCAGATGCAAGATTTTGCGAACTAGAATCATGATACTAGGATACCAAGTTATTCGTCTTGAAACGGCAAGATAATAGACGCGCCTCCGTATCGGAAAAGAGTCGAGTTGTCAAATCGTCTCAGAACTTGCAGTTCCGTAACCTGGTCCCTTTGTTTGGGCCACATTGTCCTGCGGATAATTCGGGGTGGATGGGAAAAAATCTTGATTGATGTGTCGAGGTAGAATCTACCTAGAGCGGGATAGTGCGAGCAGACCGAGTGTGGTGATGAGCATGGTTCGTTGATTGAAAAGGGCGGCCCGAGAAAATCTAGCTTCCTGATTTGACTCTTCCACTAAGTAATCTTCTGATCCCTTCGTTTTGACTGAACTTCCGTGCGACTCCCCAAATATGACTTCGAAGAAAAGAATATGCTTTGAAATTTATGCAACTACCAAGCTTACAGGGCTGTGTTACTGTGGACGACATCATCATCGAAACGGCGTCTTGCTCTGTTCTTCCCACCATGCTTTCTTACGCATATGGCTCGTCGATATTATGATGCATCTATCAATCTATCAGCGCTGCTTCTGCGATCCTCAAGTTGCATACCAGACTTCCTGGGCAGATTCAACTTCCACTGAATGGGGCACGGCGAGTCACCAACCTGCTTGGATAGATCCGATATCACGCTTCACTCAAATCTCGCCCGAATTGTATTTCTAGCATATAACATGTGTCTTCCCTTTGGATCGTTCTAATTCTTCTCGAAAATAATGATATCACTCCCAAAGGATTTCCTCTCTCTCTCTCACATCTGCACCTCACCCCAGCTGATGCCTGAAAGGCTTCTCAGTAAGACTTCTTTGTTGTCATAACGAACAAAGATGATGCTCACGATGATATGCAATCAGCACATGTTCTCCATATCAGAGCAATCATCTGCTGATCCTCGTAGAAATCATTGGAATTGAATCGTTTTCTGTTTCGGGACGCCGAGCCCGTACTGAACTCTTGCCCAGTGATTAGCGCTAAGAGGTCGAATTCGAAAGCACTGGATTGAATTCCCATGGACTTCTACTTATTGATAACAGGGCTTCACGCCGTGGCCTTGTATTGGACGCTATGAGTCCAATTGCAAGGGATGACAGTAATAGATACCAAAGATACTGAGAAACAGTTGTGCCGCATGAAAGCGGGTGGAAGTAAAGCTTGATGATCTGAGAGACGAAGTAGCGAATCAAGATTCATTTCGGAATCGCACAGTACGAGTGCTGCAGATCAACTAGAACAGGGCAGGCGATCTTAAGACCTCAGGCTTCCGTGATATCGGAAGTCGAGTAAAGGCAGTACTAGTGCCAGAAGACATCAATGAACGAAACAGAAACAGATGTTTTCACCTACTTTGCTGTCCGGTCCGCTGCCAAGCTCCTCGGGCTCATCACCGTCATCGTTACCTTCATACCTGGAATATTTACTGAGAAACACGAAACTAAATTGCACAATTCCTAGACTTGCCTTTCGCAGATAGTGTCAACATCATCGACAGTCGTTGTACGGATCGTTGCAGTGCTGGCATACACCAAGTAAAGCAAAAACTCAAACGAAAGTGTTGTCAACTCACTCTCCGTAATTGCTAGAAAGAGATAAACGGTATGAGTGTTGTTCCAATGCCCATGGATGCTCTTGTGCTCACGAATTGATGCCAGCGAGAACGTCACCATTGACGGCCCATACATCATTTATCTGCAGCATGGGGAAATCAACAGTTTGTCCCCATGAAGAGTCGAAATACCCACTTGAACCTTGCGCTGGTATTGCGTTCTAGAATCGGTATAAGAATGATGGAATGCACGCTTCGCGTTCATGGACTTACTTGCAATTTCCACACTGCGACATCCAGTTAATAAAGCGAGAAAGTTTCACGAGAGATTAAGAGAGAGGCTTACACTTCGGTAAAGCTTTCCAAAATCTTCAACGTAAAACTACATGGGGATGAGTTCTGAGATCTAACGTCCGATGTTTGTTTTTCTTACCGAGTTGATGATCACAGTTCCACCACCATTGTGTTGAACCACTTTGTCTTCAGCGTGTTTGGCCTTAATAAAAATTAGTGGTAAGAAGTGCACTACGTAGCTCGACATACGCCGCCATAGTTGATACGGGAGGTACCCGAAGTCTGTTTAATCGTGATAGCGTCCTCGCAGACGTCCTAAGTACTGATACTTTAGTGGTTGGCATCTGTCAACATGAGGAGAGATGGTTACCTCGAAATAGACGTGATCCAAGGTACACGAACCTGTGGGAATTCTGTTAGATCGGGGCTGTACGAAGTCAAGGTAGTGCATACCGAGGCAATGAACGCCTTCAGCCTGGTTGGCGCCAATGACGACTCGACTCAACGTGGCACCTTCTTGAAGCAGGAAAACAGCATCAGAGTCGCCACCTTCTGCCTGTCCATTGCATGCGCCAGATCCTCGGTCGTACCGAGTGTATGCCTGAGATGGAGTGAATGTCTGTCCAGCAGCGATAGTGATGGGACTGCTGAGAGAGCTGGTTGTTGGAGGCGTCGGGAAGACGTTGGTTGCAGTGCGACGTTCCAACCTGGAACTACCGAGTTAGCGAAATGGGAAAAGGGGCACAATGTCGTCGAAATTTTACGGGTTTGCCGCGACAACTGCAGCTCCGAGGGCTATGGTTGCTAGAACTTGAAGAGTGAGCATGGTGAATAGCCAGTGATTGTGGAGTACAAAACATATCCGAGCCAATTTATACTTCGTAGCGCAGTCATTACTTCCTGGAAGAACGGCTTGAACGCTTATGCGTCCCGGACGGTCCGTCGGTAAAATGTTAGCATGTCGGGGCTCTGAAAACTCAGGACTCTTGGCTTGGCATTTGACTTTGCCAAGAAGCTGAGAATAAGGAAAAAACTGCTATGGGTATCATTCTGAGCACCTAACGAGCAATGAAAACGGACCGGCATGGAAAAATCCACCTCGAGAGGATCACGAGGAAGGGCAGCACACATCGGCGGATAATCCTCGACAGCGAATTCTATGCCCTGTGTAAATGCGGATCATGCATATTTAACAGTAATACTCACGGAGGGTGACCACGACAGGTACTAAAGACTGTAACCATGCAAGTTGATACATGCACCTGACGCGTGTAGACCGAAAATTTCTCGAAGTTAACACTTGTGAGCTGTAGATGGTCTCAGGACTCTTTGGAGAAAACAGAGGAAGAAACGAAAGACTGAGCAAGGCCTCAAGGAAGCACAAATGGGAACGTTCACCTGACCAGTAAACGGTTCCGAAAAAAATGTTGGATTGTGGAGTTCTATGGCAAACAACTCGAAGCAAGGAGGCGCGTCGGGACGAAAGGAAGACTAGAAGTTAATACAAGGCGTAAGTTAAGAAATCATCACGACGCTTTCGAACTGGAAGCATGAAGAACGATCCCAGGAGATGTCCAAGAGATGCTGGCCATCGAATGTTCGTTGAACAACGAAGCATAGCAGAGTTTGACTTGCTTAGGCTCCAATCGTTCCATTACACTATAGAGAGAACGAGGTACCACAAATATGCGGAAAGTCTGTTTCCATTGCTGAACGTGAGCGAGCGAGAAGGCGGTATAGGTCGGAGGTCGAACGTTAGACTCGGAGCACAGCCACCCTCGATGTAACGAGTTGGCCTTTAGCCCAGTCCTTCCCCTTCATTTCTCCCCCTCGTTGTCGCTCCACACGCTCCACCGTTCTCGACACAGTCCATAGCATCTATTTGATATTAGTTAGTAGTATATAAGAGCTACGTACTGCTATAGTAGCTCGGGTTTTTTGCAATAACCAGCCTTTACACCTGTCACACGTTGCGTGAAGCTCCTTCGTGAGAGTACGTGACTTTCGCCACCCTCTCACTCGGACCGCATGCCCGACATCCTTGTTTTCTTTACACACTACAAGTGAACATTGCTAGCAGTCCGAGCTTGCGAGGACACATAGCGAAGAGCTCAAACAGACCAAGAAGGGTCTGCGGATGCGATGGACGAGGTTCTTTGCGGATGATTTGGAATCAAGCTGGTCGGCGGATTACGACGCGTTCCAAAGAGCCGAGAACCTTCAAGATGGCGCTCAGTCGGGACAAGGTTATGAAGCGCTTACGTGACGCGCACCTTCCGTTCAGTTGAGAAGACACAATTGGAGATGGTGGCCTCCAGTTCCTCGTTGTGGTATTTGCATCTTAGGGTTTAGACGCCTCTAGTCGTCGTCATGTCATCCAGCCAGTTTAAACCTTCCTTAGTCTTATTCAATATTCGTCAGTATCAGGTCAGGAAGAGAAATGCGACGGAGTATTGCACTGCTCGACAAATTCTACTCTACAAGGATGAGGATTAATTTTTTTTTGATGAGTGTGGACTGTTGGACATTAAATTAAAATTTGAGGGTCAGAGGGCTTAAATGACACGCCACGTTCCTTAATGGAGGAAGGAATTGTGTTAGAGGTAGTTTTACCGCAGTAGGTACCGATATAATATTGAAGGTAGATATGTATAATTTTCAGCATGATATTAAGAGATAGTGATACATCGTTGTGATACTAATTATAGCGTAGATCAGCATCTATTGGTACAAACGCTGCCAGTAAAAATACATTCTTGGGAGATCTAATCTGCTAAGATTGCGGTACGACTCTTGATCTACGCGAGAAGCTCATCGAAATCCGGTGCATGAATCTGCGGACCTTTCGAGGTCGTAGTTTATTGCTGATCGGACTGTTGTCATCCAACGGAATAATCGGCGTAGATTTCGCTTTGACTGGAATATATCGTGGGTTCTCCCTCCGAACCCTGCCTTCGCCACGAAGTCGGTGGATAGCATCCTTGTTTTTGCGTTCATAATATTCACAAGCATCAAGAAGGAATTTGGCGTCGAGGACAGTTGCGCGATGAAGGACTGATATAATTTCTTAGAATCCATTCAAAGGATGAATGACGGGAAGAGGCTTACTATCATCAAACGTTACCGGGTTGATGAAACTCCCTCCGATGATCCTGGCTTGGGTAATTTCGTTTAGTTCGGTGAAACCCCAATATTGCGACAAGTCTAGGATATCTAGGAGAACAGAAAGGCCAATATCGTCAAAATCAGGTGTAGTTCCGGTGTATATGAAGTCTAGAGACAGATCAGTGCTGATACAGGGCCCCGGAGCACATCCTTACCTAGTACGGTCTTCAAACACTTTCCTGGATATTCCACGCTGACTTCGATCGGCTCATCTGCAGAAGCAGGGCCGGCTTCAGTGAATTCTCCGCAAAATAAGTCACGTAGATATTCGCTCATCGGCGACAAAAATGATCGGTGCGCAGCAAAGTGTTGATCATCCTCCGTAACAAACACAACATCAGTTAACTTCTCTTCGAGCCGCATTACGTTGAATCCCTCTCTCAGTTTAGAGAACTGCGCTTCGACCGACGATAGGACGGGTTCAGGACGGGGGGGATCACTGATACTCTCTACGCCAGAGACGTATAAAAGATCCTTGTACGGTTCCAGAAATTTGTGAACAGTCTTGAACTCTTCGGTTTCGGTGATATTGAAAAACATTTCGTCAGCAGAGTTCCACATCCAGACGTCGCTCTTCGGATCGTCAACATTTAAGAAAAGACGTTCTTGATGAAGCTTGATCATTTCCTCCCCGACTTCATCTTGATGTTCGTCGAGCCATTTGTATGTGGCCTTCAGATCAGATAATACGTGCCTATCAAAAGTATGATCTCTTGCTACTTCCAATGCAAGCACACGCAGGTGTTGGATCTGTTGTTTCAGTAAATAAGAAAGGATGTTGAAGACTAGAACGAAGACATACCACGTCAGAATTGGCCGGCTTCCCGAGACCAGGATTTGCGAGGAGAACCCTTTCAGCGGGCCGAACCGTGCAAATAGCACGTTGAGACCAGGCAATAGGCTCGTACTCCGGTAGTATCATCTCGTTTGGGGAGATCACCTCAGGCAATTGTTTGACATAAGGAGAGAGTTCTGCGATCCCCATTGACTTTTGCCTGAGAGGCAGTCGAGGAATAAAACGCAGGTTATCCAACTGTCGCCAAGACTGGTTTTCGTTGACAGCAATACGAAGAGGTAGGTCTTCGCAGTAAGCCATGAATACTAGCCTTGCTCGTCCGTCTCGATCTCTACCGGAAACGTCATCGTTAATCGAAGTTGCGCAAATCAAGAATGTATCTGTATCTAAATTGTTCGTGCTCTTTAGTCCAAATGGCCCGAGTCGAGCTTCAAGGTCGATAAATTCCTCAAGCATAAAATGTGCTTCGGACGACCCGAAGGCAGCAGTAAACAGGGGATCGCGAGCATACAATGTGTTTGACGGAACAAGTCGACGAGTGCCATTGGGAAGGGGTATCTCCCGAATTGTGAAGGACTGGTCAGATATAAGAGCAGTGACGAGCCGCTTATAAGCAGACGTATTATCTGGACCAAGTTCTTTGGGAAGTTTGAGCTTTTTCCACAAAGTATCCAAGCCCACTGGCGACACGCCGAGATGACGAAGGCCTTGAGAGAACTCGACACAGGAAGAGCTCATGAATGGACTGATGACATCATGAGGAAACTGGTAAGGAACCATGGCTATTCGTTTCTCCTTCGCAGCAAGGTACTGCTTGCCATCCTGCGAAGGAGAGGGCCAGATGGGAAGCGAGCGAGCTGCTGAAATATTTTCGGAAGAACATTGACCGATCTTATCTCTGCACCATGCTGTAAACTTGGCGAGCGTTTCGTCATCCAGTGCTTTGAATGAAGAAGTCTTGTGCTCAAATAGTTTGATGATTTGGTCAATATTGACGACGGGCTGAGCCAAGATGACAGTGCGTACCGACGTAGGCAGTCTTTCGTCGTTACGCCGAACAGCAGATATGCCTAGTTTATCTAGACAATCTGGGAGCCAATCAGGCTCAGTGATACCAACCGTTACGACGTCAGGAAGGTTTTTGCATGCCTTCATGGAAACGTAATGTCCAGGGCGGATGGTGGGAATCACTGGAAAGTCTTGGGCGTGGATATCGGGATCCATGTTCAAGCTGGGAAATTCTTTCCAATATTTTTTGATCCAAGCCTCGTCCTTGGCGCTCTTCGCATTGAATATGTCGGCCTCCGTAATGAAGGGACGCATCAAGTTCGCAACGTCTGATGCCTGAAGCTCTGAGACATTATAGCCGTTCTGCGTTAGCCGGTTTGCATCGAAGTCTAGATGCACTAGGTCCCCTGAGTTGAAAAGCGTTTGCTTTCTGGATGATAGCTTCCATATATAGTATTTCTTCTTGTAATCAGCTGGATGTAGAGGGACAAGCGATCCGTTTGCCAGAGGGAGAAGAGGAAGATCCATTAAACTGATAGAGGGATCTTCTAACAAGTAGTCAAGAAGACTTTGGATGTCATTTGTCGTGAGTTTTCCCGTCTCAAATCCAGCAATTAAACTGAAACCACGCAAAGCAATCTCGTCTCTCAAGACCTCTTGATTAAATGTTTTGATGTGTCCTGAGCAACGTTCACAGATGATAGGAGGGAATGCGACATATCGTGGCAAGCGAAGAAGCTCGAGCACATGCGTCACTGAGGCAGGCTGGTTCCCGAGGATCACGGCATCTGAAGGTCGAATACGAATCGAGGGATTGAAATGACTGGGACAAATTAGACGCTGACAAGAGGGAAGAGCGTCTGTGTAGAATCGGTCGACAAGAAGTCGAGTGACGCTGTCCTGCTGCGTCGTATTACCCGGCCACCATATGTCATTACGTCCGACCACTACAAGTAGATTTTCAAGAAGTGTGAGATAGAGAGGCGGCGCTACAGTAGACAATATCCACCGATTATACTGTGATTCGAGGTTGTCATAATCGTCAAATCTGATGTGTCGTCTATCGGGTGTAAGGATGAATGACGCTGTGAGATGACATGGTAGCGTGGAGGTCATGGGCAGAGGTAGTGTTGAAAAGAGATTGTGACTGCTCGGGCTTCGTGCGGTAGTCCGTGCGGCAAGTCCTACGATGATGGGAGACCGCAAGCGGTGGGGTTCTTTCAAAGAATTGAATTCGGAGGGTAAGCTCGTGACAGGGAGGGATGTCGTCACCACCGTCCAACGCTCTTGTACTGGTTCGACCTTTGGAGATGCATATCCAATTATATAGCGATTGCGAATAGAAAAATCCCCGTCGGATGTCGTAGAGTCATCTGCCTTGACTTCTACTTTCCAACCGCCACTGATACGACCTGACTTGTGCCGATAGTATGTGGAGACACTTCTCATTCTGGTAAACAACAACGACTGTTGGGCCTGTTTCCAGTAGGGCCAGACGATATAGTCCCGGACATAGTCGGCAGTTTGACCACTACGCAAGATGGAGCAATCGTTTAAGTGAGAAGCGTTTCGGAGGGGTAATCGGAAAAGGGTCTGAGAAGAACATGAGTGACTTTGCGTCATACAGAAACAACCGGTCTTACCCCGTCATAAGAAGTAGTAGACGATAACTTAAAGCCGAATAATCCGTTAAGCGCGGCGAGGTGGTCTGAGTACATCCTGATTAATAAAGTCAGGTGCAATATTAACCTCGACTGCAAGATACCCACCGCTGCATCTGTTGAAGGGGCAGGAGCAATGAAGCCCAATCGTCAAACGGTAGGTGTGTCTTGGACGGATCGAGGAATAGAACTTTGTCACCGGAGACAATCATTGCCAGCTGCCAGGAACATCAGGGATATCACTCGCACGATATGTTCAATACATACCTCCGTGAAATGAAACATAGAAAGAGCCCCCAAACCAAACTGTCCAATTGTACTTGTCTCGCCTTCCTTTCCGCCCACTCCAGTTTTACAGATGCCTTCAAAGTCCGTCTGTGTGAACGTACTATTGTTGTAAACAATCAAGGAGGAGCAGCGCTGGAACGGTGCCATAATGGGTGAAAGTAAACGCTCGCACGGAGCGTGGCGATCATCAACCAAGATTTTGAACTCCGTGGCTCCTGCGTCCGAGGCATTAGCGAAGAACTCGGTAAGTGTCTGTTGTTCTGTGTACTGCTTCAGAACATTTCGAATGGTGGTCGTTAGCTTCTCGCCCATATCTACAGCCGGTTTTTTCAAGTGAAGGAACTTGAGACCCAGTCTGCTCATGTGGAGACGTTTGGCTATCTGCTCATTCAACTGGGGATGCGCCAGTGTTAAGTCTCCGGCCTCGATGAACGCCCGATCGCCTAGGTCGTTGAAGTACACCTCGCTTGAGGGACGAAGTTGTCCGGACACATCAGGAACGAGGATCTTTGAGCGTTCTTCTTCGGTCATACTGAGTGGGAGAGCTTTCAATATCAAAAGAGCCTGCGTAAATCTTAAGCTGAGGAAAAACTGGATGCGGGAAAATGTACGGTACCATTTGCGTTTTGTCTGGGCTAGCCGGATACTTATGCAGATTATTGAGTTCGGACACAAGGATATCGATCGAGGGCCTATAAACTCGATTATCAACTTTCCTCAACTACGGCGGACAGATAGTAGATACTCACCTCTCCGTACATCCCATCTTAAACAGAAATTCACGGATTTCAGGACGATCAGCTAAAGCCGGAGGGATTTCATGGAATCCTGCTAGAGGAAGTGGAAGAAAGAATACTGCATGACTGGTAGTAGCAATATAACGAGAGTTTATCGGAATCCATGCACGACTGTCGGTAATATCCTTCAAGGTCGCTAGATCTTCCTCTGAAAGCGCCCTTTGACTGAACTCCTTTATGATAACCCTGAGCTTCTTGTAGGCGCTATTCGTGCCGCGTGCACTGATGACGAGGCTAAACTGCTGGCTCAAGGTAGCAAACGAAAGCGGCTTATCCCAGCCAAGTGCCAACCGGAGAGAATGAGAGACGCTTATAGTCTCCTCTACTAAAGGATATACTTCGTCAAACAGTTCTGGACGGTGCAGACCACGATCCAAGCACTCTTCATGATTCAACAACCCCTGGTTTGTCGGTAGCCACCTTGCGTCCACGGGTATCTCCAAGTGCGTGCAGTCGAACCCAGAAGTAGATAAAAGATCAACCAGGCGAATGGATATCTCTCTGGCGTTCTTCGGATGAGAATCACGTATCGAAGATATATGCTGTATTCTCTCGAGGAGGATCTCTGCCGTCAGAATTCCTCGAAGTACCCCTAGGAGCCTTAGTTGCTTCAAAACGAAGCCTGCATCATCATCCATCGACCTCGGAACACGATCTCCACTGTTTGTATACAGAGTCATCACTGGCATCGTGGGGTCAATTACATGCTCTGCTGACTGCAGGGAGCCGTCAATGACAGGTATAAACTTCGTCGTTTGGAGTATCTTTAGCAAACGAGGAGGCAAGCTATCGCGCTGTTGGACCATATACTCCAGGAACGCGTGCTGGAGGAACTTGGACTGCTCGCCAAAATGTTCCAGAGTAAGAGCTACAACGTCGATCTCTGAAAGCGGCACACTGTTCTCCGACTCGATATGGGATAATATTGCAAGGTCAATGTTTGATCCATCGAGATATACAACGTCACGAGCGAGTGGAAGGAGGAAGGACGTCGAGGTCATCACCCCGTAAACAGTAGCACCATCAGGAATGGAACCAACAGCTTTCGTCGTGTTTGTCTTTGGGGCCTTCAGCGGGATACCCAGAAATCTGGACGTCTTTTCAGGTTTGACCGGGCTTTTCGAAGGGACAAGCATTGGAAAGATCGGTAATGATCGTAGCTTGTATCTTTGGCTATCGCTAAGGCGTTCGGTACGGCAGAAATCGAGGATAGAAGGGATCAAAAAGTCCAGGATGACGGTAGCTGTCTGCTTGTCTAAGTTGGAGCCGATAGGGAATCGTATACGGTCGAGGAGAGAGTGGATGTCCGCGTCTGGCATTCGCAGTGTACCGGGTACGTCTTTGAGGGCATTCCGAGCAGCAACTGAGAATTTCGGATGTAGAAATTTGATCTGCAGCAACTGAAGCGCGGACTGTACTGACGCCTCCAATGCTTCCCCTGAGAACAGTCCATCACCAACAAATTCTAGTGACCCGTTCCTTGATGGCAGAAGGCGGAACTGAGAAATCACCGGCAATAATGCCTCCTTCTCCTTCCACTCTTTTAACCATTCCCAGAACTTCGATAACCACAGAACAGCAGTCTCGCTGAATTTCTCAGCGGTCGAAAAATCTATTCCAAATGGAGACATTCGCAGATAATCCACAACATGTTCGGGACGAAGGTGCTTCAGGTTGTAGCCGTCGGTACCCTGTGTAAGCAGAAGCTCTCCAGTAGGGTTCGAAAGCTTGTCCAAGGGTACAGCTGAGCCATCAAACTCCTGGAACGTAGCGAATTCAGCCTTCTCTAGTAGAACATGGACGTTTGGGGTGTCATGCTGAAGCGTTGCGAATTTCCCGCTGACTAATGGGATGATAGGGAGGCCAAGGATGAGCGTAAGGTTCTTTGTCGATAGAAGATATTCCAAAATGGCTAGTGAGGCACTAGCATCTGAAGCGCCGAGCTGTTCCAGCTCAAAAACATGGTGCTGTTAAACATAAGCCTAGATGAATACCATGACAGCATGAGACGGAAGCGACTTACGAGCAATCCAGCATGTGCGATGTCCGGAGTTAATGCCGTATGATTGATATCCGCCCTCATGATATATTCAGGGGGCTGTATGATATTCAATCCTGCATCTACCAGGGCCTGAAGGGCCTTGACGTCGATTGCACTGCTTGCTACGATGACAGATCGCAGATTCTGGAATGCGGCAACTGGTGTATTCCGAGCCCTATTCTTAGGGCTGCGTGGGACAAGAGGCCAGACCATAAACCCCGAAGAGACAACGGCTGTGAGGAGATGACGAGGCAGGTCTTGCCAATACGTGCTATCACCCGTTTCCACGATAGGTTGTGCAGCCGGCCAAGCTCTATAGATCTGTTTGAGCCCATCTTGCTCAATGAGAATAGGCAAAAGTGTTGCCCAAGCCTTGGGAAGGTACTTCTCGAAGAGTAATTGATTCCACTCGACAAGGACACTGTCGTCGCTTCCACGGACAATTCCGATTTCTGTCTTGTTGCTGAGATTCTGCCTCGATTGAGTCAGCGCGAAGAGTCCGTGGACGTGACATGGGAATCCGGTGCGGATGGGAAGTGGAAGGTATGTGAACAGTCGACCAGATGTCTGTTCGGCCGTCACGATGGACATGGGAACGGCGAGTGATATTGAAGGCACCAGCTTGTGCTTCGAAAGTAAGGGATGTGCGTCTCGTCCTAATCTATACGATATCAATGACGCCGATTCGGCTTGATCGAATGAAGACTGGAGTATGCGCCAGGTTATGGCATCATTTCGGGACGGTGATGTGATGCTGATGGTCTCTATCAGTGTGCTGTGGCTGCCGTCATTTACCCACTGAGAAGGTGATCCCTTGGATATCGACACGCCAGCGAGAAAGGTTTGAACTCCCTGCTCGTCGATCTCGTGAATCTCAATCTTGGAGACGTGCTTGAGAAATAGAAGAGAAATGTCGAGCTCTTCTTCAATGAAGTCACGAAAGAGGGTGCGTATTTCTCCTGGAGTGACAACTTTGTTGCTGATGCTGCTCTGGGATTCGGGGGTGCGAAGGGGAAGTCGGATTATAGACCCCGAGAAGGGTGTTCGAGAGTTGCTGAGCGGCAGAAAGAAGTCAAAGCAGGACAAGTGGTCAGCGCATGAGTCTCCGAGCTCAGCAAAGTTTAATTTGGTTCCGCCTGACTCGCTAAAATGGTGATGGGGGTCCAGGATAGCAAGGGATGTGCCGGAGAGGATTTGTGGATAGTCTGTTATCTGAAGAAAAGGTCGAAAAAGAAATAAGAAAGAAAGAACCCGGACGACGTACATGATAGCAGGAGCGAAATCCGATACCATACTTTCCAATCTTCCTGTGGCATGATAAGAAGCGAAGGGCCTGCAAATTGAAAAGACTGACGTATTGTCGGTCTTCTTGGAAGACCTATGAATGCTTTGCAAGGCTTCCCAATCCTCCTGCGTGAAAAGCGCATCGTTGTACGCGAGAAGAGATGGGCCCTGCGTGCCGGCCAACTTGTCATCGAATAGGGTGTCTGTCGAATGCTTTCTCAAATCCAAGACAAAGACCTTTGTGACGGTTTAGTATTTCAGAAGCCAGAAAAGATTGTTGTATCGACCTGCTTTGAGGCCTTGGCGTCATCAGAGTTCTGAATCAATTCTCGAAAGAGACCGATAGAAAATGGATATGTTCCTAAGATTGCGGCTATTGTATCGGTGGGTCGAGCATACTAATGGATTTCTATCAGTTAAATCCTGGAATACTATCGTATGCTTACCTCCCCAAACGACTGAGCCATGGTAGGAGCTTACTCTGTTGATGAGAAGATGGGGCGCCGCTGTACGTCACTGCTGGAGTTGATTGCCCTTTTATCTTCCACTATCCATATTTCAAGTCGTCGTAATAGATTTGAGAGTCAAAGAACTTGTCCTGGTTGCGGTGAAGGATAGATCCGTACCAATTCATGGTCTGAAGACACAAGGCGGCCGGCAACTAATTTAGACAAGACACGCGGCTCCAAATGCCGTTCGGTCCTGATCAATCCTGATCAGGTTGTCAGAAATTGATGATGCAAACCTTTACCCGATATACTTGCATAACTCTTGTAAGGCCCGCTTTGGGGCAAAGCCTGCTACGTTCGCTCCTCATGAAAGTATTCAAAAACTACCTCGCTTATACAATTCACCCACAATCACTGGGATCGGCTCTGATTCCAACTCTGAGGTTCAATCATGAATCAGTTAGTAAGAAGTTATGATCAGGACTTCAAAAACTAACAGCAATAAGGGTGCTGCTCAAAAAAGCCTCGCTCGGTGGCGGCATCTGCTGCCACCAGCTCGCATTTTCTCTCAGAAACACTTTGGAGAGCTGAATGCAAGTTCGGCCGCGCAATTCCGTGGAGAGCGTGATAGTAATATGAGTCACAGTAAACAAAGTGACAAATAAAGCAACAGCCACACCGAGAATCTGACTTTAACAGAAATTTATGTGTGGCACGCCGTTCAAATTCACCATACATAGAAATTCCGATGACAGACGGCTCGGGGAGCTGTCAAAAACTCGGCTACCATCCATCCTCTATAAGACCTTCTACTAACGTAGCAGGAATTCCAATCCTTCACGCTTTTGTAAAGCTATATGTTCTGAACAATTCCTGCAGGTAGTAGTCCAAGTAGAATGGCGGGTTTCATGATACAACTGTCTACACTTTGTCCAAAATTGGGTCTTTGTCATGAAAGGAGGCATCGTCGGCACGCCCAGACAGGCTGAGACATGGTATAGCCCCCAAAATCAGAGTGCTGTGAACCACCTTCGACTGGACAATATGAAAGAGTATCGACGATATTCATAGCTTATAAGTTGCTACTTTAATTATTTAACAAGAATATACATAGTACCGTTAGTCCATTTTGACTTTTATAATTTATAAGCGACCAGACCTAATGCAGTTCCGGACAGGCAAGCTGACCGATGGGCACCTCTTCACAGCTATTACTGGTCACAGTGTTTCCCATTTTCAGGAGGAAATAGATGTACATCGTTTGGCCAGCTGGCGCCCTAAGAGAGTTGTATTCTGGTCAGGAGGAATCCGGTGACCCTCCGTACAGCCTTTCAAGGCACTTCAAATCTAGATGAATTTCAAGTCACAGCATTTCCCGGAATCTGAGGGTGAGTATTAGTATGAATGCGAAAAATCAAATCAACGAAACAACCATGGCGATTTTTGTCATTTCGTCCTCATTTACAGCTTATGAAAAGCAAGAGAGAAGTTCTACACGAAGAACGCGGAGACCTCAACTGTATTTGAATCTATCGCTGCTTGAGAATTAGGAGCTGCTGGACTTTCTCGACTTGGAGGACTCGCACTAAAAATGGAGAGATTCGGGATTACCCGCAAAGCCGTCAGATGAGGTAGCGGCACAGCCACGCGGCACTGGCGCTCTCTCCTGCCGCCATGTCAGTGTACCCTGTTCTTCCTTCCAGGCCTGTATTGCCTCACATCCAAACGAACTGCCAGAAATGCAGCGCACATCTTGAATTTCTCATGCCTACACCTCAGCCACGACCAGGAACCCTCTTACAGATCCGGTGTTTTTCATGTCAAACGATACTATCTCATGCATTCTATCCGGCTCAAGTACCCTCGCATGCAGCACTGAATACCCCATCATCAACTAACAACTCTAAGCCTTCATCCAGCCAGGCTTCTTTCGCAAGGAAAGGCAGGAAAATTGGGACCCAAGAACGCCCTTTAGAAACGGGATATTACGACATCTTGGGCGTCCCAGTCACTGCCACGACAGATGATATAAAGAAAGCATATCGTACGTAGGATAACCTTCGTTAAACGCGTCTCATTTCCTTCCAGGCCGTCTCGCTATCAAGCATCATCCCGACAAGAACCCAGATGATCCTAATGCCGAGGAGCGTTTCAAAGAAATTGCTATTGCCTATCAAACCCTTTCTGACGATCAAGTAATCCATCCTTTTCTAGCTCTTATTCTGACTTGCCTGACATATTTATTTAGTTGCGGAAGAAGTACAACGAGTTTGGTCCTAAGGAGAGCGCTCCAGAGGGAGGCTATGTAGATCCAGAAGAGGTGTTCGGCGCTATATTTGGTGGTGATCGCTTCGCCCCGATTATTGGTCAAATCAGTCTGGCTAGAGATATGAAGACTGCGTTGCAGGAAGCAGAAGAAGCAGAGGGGAATGAACCGAAGGACTCCAAAGGGAGGCCAATATTGAGCGAGGAAGAAAAGGCGAAGAAGGAAGAGAGAGACAGAAAGAAGGCTTCAGAGGTAGGCCCCTCTGTCGATGGCGGCGGTCATTCTCAGTTCCTTCACTTCTAGAAAGCAGCACAAAGAGCGGAACGGGTCCAGAAGCTGGTCGAAAACCTTGGGCGCAAGCTGGGCATCTTCACGGAGTCCGCGACCGGTCCCAATGACGCCGATGTCACGCGAAGTTGGCGGACAATATGCCAACTTGAGGCCGAAGAGCTTAAGCGAGAATCGTACGGCGTTGAACTTCTCCAAGCTATTGGATTTGTTTATGCATCCAAGGCAAAACATCATTTGGCTACCAATCAGACCTTCCTTGGCGTCGGTGGTTGGCTTCACAACGTTCAAGGAAAATACCATGTATTCAGCGAGACGTGAGGGGCTTTCCTTTCCTGTCGTCCACTATTAATGAATTGTTGCAGCGTGTCTACGCTTCGTTCAGCGATAGAGCTCAAGACTGTCTTCGACCAGATACAAGCCGCCGAGAAGGCGGGCAATCTAAGCCCGGAAGATAAGCGGAAGCTGGAGGAACAAGCTGCGGAGAAAGGGCTGCAGGCTCTGTTCAAGGTGAATACCCCCACGTCTTCCGATATCGTTCATCATTTCATTCGATATGATAGGGCACCAAACTTGAAATTGAGTCAGTCCTACGGGAAACATGTGATCGCGTTCTGGAAGATCCCAATATTACACGGGACAAGGCACAGATGCGTGCCGTTGCGATGCAGATCCTCGGCGAGGTGTACATGTCGGTCAAGAAGGAGAACGGGCAAGGTCAGCTGGATGAGGGTGAGTACGTAAGGGTTGATACGAAAAGCAGTCGAGCGAGAGAAGGACGATGAGTCATGTTGCATTTTGTGTTTCATGCATACAATCATTGTAATTCTAGTCATATCAGGCCCCAGGGTATGTAGTATACAGTAGCATCTAGGTATCGTAGATTCAATGCATCTTGTTCCAACGCAACTGAAATTAATTCTTAGACAATTCTTGGCGTTCAATATCCATCTTTCAACTTACAGTTTCCCACCGAAGCAAAATACAAGCCTTCTGATACCGTGTTCTTGTCGATAAGCCATATGGTCCAGTAATACGAGTCTCAGGCTCTAACTGGCGATGGAAGGCAGTGGCTGAAGAAATGCGAGCTTTCACCGACATCCACGCGCGCAATCACAACTCTGTTGCAGAGATTTTTCCGGCGGACCGCTTGCGTTGTCTCTCGCGGGCCGCGGTCGCTTGGATTTCTCTTGGGGAACGCATAAAAGACTCATGACCAACTCCAACCCTTGTCGTTAAGCGAAATTTGCGCTACACCGATGGCTATCTTTTCTTTCCTCGTTCTAGCGGCTCTCTTTGGTTCTTCGCTCGCTCATGGAATCGTTACTACTCCCTCACCCCGAGTAGTAGGTTCCTTTTGCAACCTGCAATGTCCTGCCGCATCACTATGCTTTTTGTAGATCGGTGACGCTAATCTAGAAGCTTGCGGCGCTGCCGTTTACAAGGTCCTTAAATCTGGTAAAGTACTTTCATCATACATCTTAAATCTCCCTACTCAAATCTCACTTTTAGATAAATATGGGCCGGTATGGTGATTCGCCTGGCTCACCGTACGCTGTTAACCAGCACAAATAGGTGGAAACCGCTGCTGCTAAGATTGATTCCGACTACAACGCCACCGCTTGCCACTTGTTCTTCTGCCGTGGCTACCAGGTAAGCTGCATGACCGTTGATGAAGTAGTTTATTGATTTTTGTCCTTCTAGTACGAAGACAATGTGGCCAATACTCGAGTGTACACCACAGGACAGGTCGTTCCCTTCGCAGTGGACATCGAGGCCCATCACACAGGATACGCGGTTGGTGTTTACATGCTGTCCTTCTAAATCGTCCGTTCATAGTCAATGTCATGGCCTAGAACGTTTCCGTAGTGAACCTTGCTACTCAAACGCCCATTGCTCGCCTCTTCACATGGCCTGTGTATGCGAACGACACCCTTGGTCCGTCCCAATGGCCCAAGAACGAAAGTAAGTCTGATTGTTGACTCCTCCGTGGCAGAGTATAGTAACGATGACGTCTAGCTTCTTTCAACGTTACAATCCCAGACTTAGGAGACACATGCACCACTGCAGGTGCTTGTGCGATTCAGTGGTGGTGGTATGCACCAAAGCAGACGTTTGAGAGTTGTATCGATTTCACCACCGCTTAGTTCTCTTTCTCGTTATGCACTTTCATTTCACTTGGAGAATGCCATATCGTTTCAGTAATTCCCTGGTAGTGGTCTGATTGAGCAGCATAAGTCGACAGAAATTCGTATTATGAGTATCACTGTACGTATACTCTCACAACCAAGCATCTGACCCTTGCAAGATAAACTTTGCGATGGCCTATTTTCGTAGGACTGAGTTGCAATCTCAACGTTGAGTACAAGCAAACGGATGTTTGGAATGCATGAGAAACTCCGCTCGGTATCAGAAACGACTCAAGAGGAAGACGGGAAGCTAGCAAGCAGGTAGATGTGTCATAATTCTGCAGCATAGTTGAGGTAGGAGTGAAGTGATGATGTTAAGAATCAAGTGTAAAAATGATGGAAATACATACAGTCTGTCCCTCCCTCGGGCCGCCGTGTCGGTTGAAGCATCCTTAGGTGATCCTAGAAATTCTTGTCAGCCGTAGAATTTTGAATAGTAGATTTTGGGGCCGAATAGAAACAGCCGATTCTGGTCAGAAGAAAAATCTCTCTGCTACACGTTGAACGTCGAAATTTAGGTTAGTTCTGGCTATGGCGGGGTACAGAGCTGGCTCGCTGCACGCGTACCGCAATCGATATGTGGATTTGGTGGCCACCACTGATCATTGAAGCACACGCAAAGGACTTTAGTTGGACTCTGGGTGCCATCTCATTTTCCAGATGCCCCTCGGAACTGCTGGACCTGGTGCATCGGAGAAATTTTCACATTTTTCGCTCGAACGTGTGTGCAAAATTGCCGACCATCATTCGTCGATAGGTACGTCTGACGTTATCGTATGAATTTAATAAGGTTGGTCGATACATATTAACGAAAATTCATTTTGAAGGCGGGTACTCGATGTCCGAGGCAGCATCTGTGCCAAAGCATGAGCATAAGTAAAGAAACTGATGATGGCGCGTTGCTACCTCCTTCCTCCAATAGACCAAGTCGACCATTGACGTGCAGTGAAAAATCCAGGGCCTCGTCGCCGGATCCAGTATTGATGCAGAGGACTGAGGACTTTGCTAGTTTGAGCATGGTAAGAGCCACGGTATAACTTGAACGCCGTGTAAGCACCAGTGAACTTAGCCGTCATAAGCCATGGTGTTGTAGCGGCAGTCAGACCAGACAGACACCAAGGAGACTGAGATAGTATGTGAAATCCTTGTTCTCAGCGTAACACCGTGGTCAAGGAGAAGCGAAACTTTATCAAGGATGTTGAACTTCCTACTCGCCGCGGCTCGCGATCCTGATGCTAGAGGGTCAAACAAAGTTTCTTCACGGCTTCATCCTTCGAGTTGAATAACACCTGATATTGAACTAGGTCCAGGCCCGCCTCAGCAATGTATTGGCGACGAACGGCAGCTGGCTGCCAGTAGTAGTTGCGCTTCTGTAAATCATACGCACAATATGGTTATTGATTCCCGAGACCCGACTAGAATCTATATGCTTTTCATTATTTTCGCCATAGCTGTCTGTCTGCACGAAAAAAACCTCGTGCCTTCTTCTCTTTATCTATACACTCGCGCTCCTTCGACGGCGTCGGTAGTAGCCTATCTGAATTGACAGTCAGCTCATTGTTAGTCGACTCCGCGTTACAATGTGAATTTAAGAATGTACGCCACAAATACTCGGGTGGAATGGAATAGAAACAACGCATTCTGGTGAGGAAAAGAAATTTTTTCAACTAGTGAACGTCTTGGGAAAATTAAAGTTTAGTTCTGGCGGTGGCTGTGCTTGAACCCTCTTTGGTTTCGTTCTACCACTTGCCGACGTAGCACGCCGCCCGCAATCGATACATGGATTTTGTGGCTACCACGCGCAGATCACTGGGGCACATGTAAGGAACTTGGCCGAGCTGAACCCGAAATGCCATATTACTTGCCAAACTTTCCTCCCTGGAATTGGATCGTAGTCCTGACTCCTGGGCGCCGGCGCAGACTTCTTTTTTTTTTCACCAGCTATCTGCTTGATTGTAGCAAATACCGATCATGGCCTAGGTCCTCTTAGCCTTTCGTATCCTCCGTCGCTGCAGATCGTCAGAATACAGGTGCTAATTTTGACTGGCCTCCAGCGGTTGGAATTTTCTGCTTCGCCGAGTCAATCCATGGACGGATCTAGTCTAGTTCCTAGCGGACCACGGGCTCTTGTGTCAACTTCGTATCTGGTGACTTGACACATCCTATCTGTGAATTTCTACGCGCCGTTTTTGAGCCGAAAAAGTTGTAGCGAGGCTATCGTCGCGCCGTACTTCACTTGCGCTAGCTTATCCCAACACGGAAAGCCAGTTAAACAAAATGACATGTAATATGAAGTCCTACGTCGGTGATAATCCGTACGTCGATCCAGTGATCTACCATGCTTCTTTGCAAATGATTCTTCGCAAGTTAGGCCAGGACACAATGCCTAGACGCCCCCAGCATGACACGAAGGATCTATATCGGCTTTCCAGAGGTTGTAGATCACCAGAGTAGTTCGAAAGGTAAGTAATTCCGCACTCGTACGCGAAATGGATCCTTGACCAGCACTATAAAAGGCCTTGGATGATTCGACCACCTTCAGCAATCCAGCTCTTGTATTCTCGCATACTCTCCTCCAGTATCCACAATGTTCTCTCGTGTTTTTGCTGCTACTGTTGTCATACTCACTGCTGTCACGTCCACCGCCATGGTAGGCCCTACCATGATTCGTGCTTTGTACAATGCTCATTGATAGCAGGCCGCTCCTACCACGGCTACCGACACTGGCGGCCAATGCAACACCGGTAGCATCCAGTGCTGCAACCAGGCTGGCCCCGTACGTTTTTCTTGATCTGGCAGTGCTGAACCATCCCTTCTTATTCATGTGTGTAGGCGAACTCGCTCCCTTTAGTTGTGCTGCTAACTGGGCTGTTCGGTATCATTCTCCCAAGTGTGGACGTCCCTGTGTAAGTCACAGTCATTCTTTAAGCATTCTACGGGAAAGTTGAGGCTTTCTTTTAGCGGTCTAAACTGTAACCCGCTTTCGGTTATTGGAGCCGGCGGAAATTCTTGCACCCAGCAGTCCGTTTGCTGCGAGAACAACAACTTCGTAAGTCAAACAGTCCTCGACATTGTTATAGTGCACTAAATAGCTTTCTGCCTAGAACGGTCTCATCGCCGTTGGATGCACTCCCATCAACCTCAACCTTTGACCGTTGATCGTATACATATTCAGACATGTTTTGGTGTTGCTATCTGTTCGTAAATTGAGTCATCAATGATAAAACTTGCTTTCTGTCTGTTGTTACCCAAATTCTCTTCATCGAAGCCACACTGAGTGGACAAGAGCGGGTGTCGGCCCGAGGGTTTCAATATTAAGCATCATCATCACGTGGGAACACACTAAGACTACTCAGCTCAGAGAGTAGACAGTTCCAACATTAATGACGCCCTCTTTCAAATGTCCACTCGACCAAGACGTACGACCCGAAGCGCTGTCAGCTCTAAGACACCTCAATATGCAGCCCCGGCCTCAAAGCCGGCCTCTAACGACGGCCCCAACATGCAGCACCTCTTGAAGAATCCACGGAGTGCCCTGACAAAGATGGATATTTCCGTGCGTACCTCTTCCCCAGTCTTCGCAGAATTACTGGATCTCTTGAACAGTTCTTGATAGACAATCTTCAGTGCCGAAACTTGGTCTTTGCTCTCTGAGGACTCACGGGCCGTCTTGTCGACCTTGCTCCCACCGACGGCGTTCTTTGGATACCAGCAGTCCATTAGTAACGACCACCCGAGCAGGGATACCTCATCATCATCATCCTCGTCGTCGTCAGGAACGCTCGACCCTTCCGTTTTCACCGATGCGCACTTCCTTTCCGCCGCACACACCTTCCAAGACCACATATTCTCTGGGTGGACCACCGATAGCCATACCTCCAAGGTGGAGAAGTGCAAACAAGGTATACGCGATGGTACGCTTTCAGCGCCGTACAAAGACGAAGAGTGGGGAAGGCAAACCAGAAACGACGCCCAGTGGCTGACGCTTCCCGAGTCATCTGCTCGTGCAGGGTATGGTCCATCTTACCCTGTAAACGATTATACAAGTTTCATGCTATCACAGGCAAGCTGCCGAGGTGAAATTTACAGACCTCGTCCACAACGCCGTCATACAAGTTGGGGATCTCATCTCATATAAACGAAATTTCATGAATGGTAATATCGTCATCGAGAAGGATGCACTTGTTCGTTTTTTCTTTCTTTCTTTCTTTGCTTCGATATTCACTTATGCATATCTCCCACCAGGTACAGTCTATCGATCGAAGGACAAGAAGTGTGACGTTGTTGCTTCCCAGCGGTACGACGCAACATCTTCCTGCTGCTTTGCTGCGGCGTGTACCAGGCGACCCGGACGATTCCATACGAAGTATGACAGTCATGTCTCCCTCTATGCTGGAGACTGGCCTTTTGGATATTGATGGACGAGTTGAGCGAGGAAAGCGGCCTAATGGGAATGCGTGGAAGTCTTTCACTCTGTGGCGGTGGAAAGACAGCGATGAAGAGATGTTCGACTTAGATGAAAGAAGTGGGAGGGAGAGTCATGGTACTCTCTTTTATATTCGTGGCTGCTTTTACTGTGACCGATGACTAGTGCTAAGTTGCTGGTATTTGATGTACATCTTATGTATGTTTCTAACACGGATGGAAATTGGAATTACATTGCTTCTGCTCATCCTGTGGATAAATTTTGCAAATATGGGGTAGCTCAGCATGGTCATATTCTTTTCAATCGTACTTGCCAGAAGTCCACCGAGGTTTAGGCCTTAGGCCTTTAGCTTTAGGGCCGGCTAGTTACAAACCTTTACGCGTACGGCCAATGACCAGCCCTCAACATCTCTGCGATTGCCCGTCGATACCCAGCGTTGGAAATTGTGGACGAGGAGGAACCAAACGTTCCAAGATACTGTCGATAGGAAGGGAAGAGGGAAGGGTGCGCCAACAAAGTCAAAAGGAAAAGGTGCTTTTACTCTCTTCCTTTTTCTCCGTTGCCTTTTTAACCTGTGCTCCAGAGGACAGCAAGAACGATAGATACAGGCACTGCTCCTTAACTCTGCGATGTGCGCTAGCAATGAAAAGCCATCTCCTTCGTCTTCATCCGATTTTTCAGTAAAAGATCCCAGAAAAACGGCAGATGCAGGCCTATTTCTGTGCTCCTTAATTCGCTGTTCCGGTCTGTCCATCACGGTCACAAGTCGCTTGTATCGTTTACCTATGGGAACGACGTGCTAGCAATGGAATGGAGACCGACGGTCTCCATTCGTCAATATCCTCATTGTTCGGTTTTTCGATTCAGAAGTGATCTCAAGGACACGTTCAATGTCGATTTTCCTCATACGAGTCGTCATCAGCCAGGGATCACTTTTCCTTCGACAACGGTGGATTTCTGTTTATAACATAACCGCCGAAACTGTTCGTGCCCTGTGACGTTGGGGTGAATCAAGTGCCGCCTAAACGTTTGAATGTCGAGAGCTCAGTCGACATGGAATGGTGAATTCAGCGAGGCATCAGTGCGTGTAGTATGATCTGACCTTGTAACCCTCAACAAAATTCAGAGGCTGTCTCAGACCGTCTTACCTCCTATTCCACAGCGACATACAAACCGGAACTAGTCTTTCCGAACCTCAACCACTACGGCCATGAAAATTACATCCTCTGCCGGCGAACCTGCGACCATTGCCCTGTCCTCGGAGACTGCTGACTCGGAGCTGGACTGGATAGACTGGTTGTGTCGCACCTATCCCACCCATAGCCGCGGTGAGATACAAGATTTTTATATTTCACACTTTGGCTCTATGGACGCCGCCAAATCTGTCGTTGACGAATACCGCCGCCAAGTTGTCGGCCCTGCAGGCAGCAGTCTCAAACGCATTGGCGTACGCTCTTTCTATGGCGCCTTTTGCTCTGACTAATCTCTACATTTAGCTCTATCCTGCTCCAGACGAGATCATGCATGTTGTGGACATCTATGACAAGGACAATAAACACAAAATTGCCTTTTGGCAGGGGGATATGGCACACGACCGCCAATACCAGTTCGCTTTCATTAATTCCGACGGCCGTCCGATCCCAGCACCCGATGGTGTTCGCATCTACGGTGTGCCACGTCCAGATGGAGGTGGGACGATGGATGAGCTACTATCTCTTGAAAGGAATGCTGGCATGGCGACTGCTGATATAAAGAGTGAAGTTTTCGTGGCACCTGAGGGCGGAGTATATCGTGTAACGGGATTGGGGGAAGTTGTTCACTTTGCAGTTCCTATACATGACGACTTCGTCCTCGCCCCGATGAGGATCTTCAATAGGGTGATACTGCTTTCTTATACTGACTTGGATGTCTACTGACAACTTCCTCAGAATCGTTGACTGCTGCTTCGGCCTGTGTCCGTTACCTACTATTCCTTAGCCACTGCGAAAGGTGCTACTTATGTTATCCTGCAAATTGTCCTATTGTTCTTGGCGTATAGTCTAATGTAATTGGACACCTTTTGCGAGATTGCCATCTAACAGCGCCAGGCTTCCTTACCCTCGAAGGCATTGCCTGAAGCAGCAGATGCTCAGGACCAAGTAGAAATTGGACGATCACTACAGTACCAGCGGAATATCAGGTTCCTCTGCGATATCGGCCAGAAGAGCTTCTCGGATTCCAACGCCCGGGACTCTTTTCAAGCACGAAATGTAGAACATTTGTTGAAAGCAACAAGAGCCCTGTTTCGCACTATACGCCGTGTTCACAGGTAGCATGCTATGACTAGAACATTTTCGGCGACTTAATGGGAGCTACGAGAAGATGGGAGTACTTGCGGGCATATTATGGCGGTACAAAGAACGAACCCCAGGGACAGAAGGATGCAATCAGAGCTCTCATGCACGGCCAGCTTACTGGTGTACATTTAGTAATCTAGCTAGCGTTATACCTTCCCAGAGTAACTAACTGTAGTACGGACGTCGTTGCGTTTCTTTTCAGGAGCACCGACGACTAATAAAACAAACTTCCTTCCTTCCTGGCGTCCCGGAAGGCCTCTGTCTGAGACAATCTCAAAAATCCCCCTGTCCGAGCTCAAGATGCGAGACTAGCTTCGAACCACCACCACCACTGTCACTATGACCATGAATTCTACGACCTCTGCCGGCAAACCTACAGTCACCGTTCCATCCTCGAAGACCGATAAGCTAGACTGGATAGACTGGTTGAGCGTCACCTATCCCACTGGCCACAGCCGCCAGGCTGTACAAGAATTTTATCTTTCACAATATGGCTCTATCGAGGCGGCCAAATCTGCCATTGAAGCGTTCCGGCAAGACATTGAGTCAAATGGTTACCGTGAAAAAGCAATTGGCGTGCGCTCTTTCTTAATTCATGGTGTCTTTGTTCTGACCAATCTCTCCGTTTAGCGCTATCCTAAGCCAGATGAGATGATGCATGTTGTGGACATCGATAATAAATTTAAAGGCGAAAAACACCAAATTGGCATATGGCGTGGAGATACGGCAGACTTGCGCCAATACCAGTTTGCTTTCATTAACTCTGACGGGCGTCCAATCCCAGTACCTCATGGTGTTCATATTTATGGGGTACCACGTCCAGATGGAGGTGGGACAGCGGACGAGGCACTGTCTATTGAAAGGGCCTGCAACCTGGAGACTGCTGATATATGGAGTGAAGTTTTTTTGGCACCTGAGGGTGCGGTATATCGCGTAACGGGATTGGGGGAGGTTGTCCATTTTGCAGTCCCCATACATGATGTCTTTGTCCTCGTTCCCTTGAGGACCTTCAATAGGACTTTGGATGTCTCGGAGTTGTTGACAGTCGTAAAGGAGGAAATAAACTAAAATTATACGGTTGTCCTCAGTCCAAGTAGGACATAGCTTGTCAGAAATTGTGTTCCCTCACCTCATTTTCGCCGAGCGTGATAGTGATATATGATCTACCAATTTTTAGGATTACTTGCGAGGATAAAGGAAGTTGAACGCGTAGGCCCTGGGCAGCTGGTATCGTGAGAACCTCGGAATGCGGGCCGAGTTCCGCGGCCTCGACGAGGTTTCAAATTTCAGCAAGCGCTTCTACGACATTCTTCTCGACATTTACGCCAGGAAAGCTAACAACGCGACAAGCCAGTGAAAACTCAACATAAATATGCCCTTAGTGCACTCTTTTGGCGCATCTCCAAGTCTAAAGGTCAGATCACATTGAAACAAACGCCCACGTCATTTTTGACGCGGTATGTATATATAGAAGTCGACCTTTGCGTCTGCTACGCCTTGGTATCATTTCTGACACTTTTTCAAGATCCTTAGCGAGTGATACCTCTTGTTGACATAGAGTAACAGTAAAAGTACATACCCGTGTGCTGTAATAACTCGATATATGTTCGCGTCCTTTGAGGGCATCGGCCAAGAGTGGCCTACGGGCAAAGTACGGCCGAGACAAAGAAGGAAGAATAAGGGACATGTGGTTATCAGCGCTTGATCTATACAGGCAGTTCATTGACTTGCCCCTCTTTCTTCCTCTTATCATCACCCCGGACGTCCCATTCTTATCAGTTCCTCCTCAAGGCCTCACCACCACTTTGTGTTAAATAAATAATGGCAACAGTACCCGTTCCACCACCCCAGCCATCGACGAACCGGTCACACATGAATCCTGTACCACCCTCCGTCTTCACCCTCCCTCAAACAGCGCAATTGGAGGCTCTGTACACCATCATCAGGGACAAAGACACGTCCAGGGGCGATTTCCTCTTCTACTCTGACAGGATCATCAGGCTGCTCGTCGAGGAAGGGTTGAACCATTTGCCTGTCGTGAAACGCACTATTACGACGCCGACGGTGGGTCTCTTCTGGGTTGCACATGCATGTCTACGCGTGGATGTGTCGTGTGCGCTGCCTGGCCTTGTTCTCTCATTGACTGGCGTCACGTTTAGGGCACGACATACGAAGGCGTTGGCTTTGAAGGCAAGATATGTGGAGTATCCATCCTACGGGCTGGCGAGGTGACGGATCCGTGTCAATGTAATCATTACATGCCTGATTTCGCGTTCTCAGGCTATGGAAGCAGGTCTTCGGGAGGTTTGCAGGAGCGTTCGAATCGGAAAGATATTGATTCAGCGGGTGAGTTGTCCATAGACTACGGCGTGATCATTATATTCATTGCAGCGAAGGACGAGGAGACGGCGCTTCCTAAACTGTTCTACTCCAAGGTGGCGGCTGTCTATCTTAGGTCTATGTAAACAGGCTAACCAAGACCGCGTGTAGTTCCCTCAAGATATCGCTGCTCGTTACGTTCTCCTTCTAGACCCCATGCTCGCGACAGGCGGTTCAGCAATGAAGGCAGTCGAAGTTCTCATCGAGCATGGTGTTCCCGAGGAGCGGATTATTTTCATCAATCTTGTAAGAGTCCGACCACCCCTCGTCGCTTCTAATCATCAATGCATTCGTTCACAGATCGCCTCTCCCGAAGGCCTCCAAACATTCTGCGGAAAATATCCCAAACTCAAAGTGGTAAGCATCATCCTTCACTTATCCGATTCATCACTAACCGGGCTCTTCCCAAAGATTACGGGGTGGATCGACCAGGGCTTGAATGAGAAGGCGTATATTATCCCAGGCCTAGGCGACTTTGGTGAAAGAAGGCACGTATTGTCATTATCTCTGGCTCTCCCATTTGATGACCATGCTCTTCCTCTTCTAGGTATTGCGAATAGAGAATTTGTCCTTGATTACGTTCATAGTTGTTGCTGCAAACATTTTCACCTTTTCATGAGTCCATACTCAGTTCTCGTTGCCAAGAAGATCAGACAAGGCAAAATCCAAAGTACAGAATGCTCTCGTCCCCGCAGTCGTGACTCGTGAGCAGTCCAGCTGCTTCGTTCCCTGCTTTCGTCACTTTTTCGCCAGTTCAGCTGTCAGCGGACACCACCTTGCCATGCGTGGGTCTTTGAATCCCGATCGCTTACCCTCTGCGCGTTATCGAATGAATTCCAATCGTTACATCACAAATTATATCAATACAGCTATATCCCTAAGTCCGTGGAAACAGTGTTACTTCTTTGCAAGCAACCCTGGCAGAAGACCTTCGTCCTTTAGGCGATTCAGAAACTCGACAAAGAATGGCTCATAATCGTGTGTTCGTTTTACGTGTTCAGTCTGCAGGGGAGGGTTCAGGTAAGAACACGAATGCTCCTGACGACAAAAAAGCCTACGTGGTCTTTCCGTGCTTTCACCATCTCCTCTTCTACAGCCACCTTGGCCCTCATAGCATTGGTGACGCATTTCTCCCACGCGTTCCGTAGAGCATCCTGGTCCATAATCAATATATCTCGATCCCTATCATTGCGTCTACTGGCGAAATCAGAAGCAAATTTTTGTCCGCTTCCGCCGTCAAACACATTTGCAGCAGCAGAGAGAAGTGCCGAATCGACCTATTCATGATGTCAACATGTAGATGATGCGGTACCAACATAAACACCAACTCACCGCCTTCTGCCAGCCTTCCTCTAGACGCCGCTCAAGCTGCCGCCGTTCCGACTTCCAATACTCCCACTCGTCGCTTGCCTTCTCACACGCATCGTCCACAATAGCCAGGAGGCTGAATTGGATATTGTTTCCACCATCCTCACCTGCACCGCCATACTTACGCATCTTCGTCCTCAGTGCTGGCCGAACGACGTCCATCCACTCCGTCTTGGCCGCCACGTCGCCCACCTCTAAGGGTCCCGACTTGAGCCCATCAAGTTCCCAGACTTTGCCATATGCAGGGACGTAGCCGATGAAATGATATGTTTCCTCGTCGCCTTCTTCGGCTTTCTTAGCTGGGGGTTTCTTGGTCTTGGCGCGTTTATTCGGGGGAGGGTTGGAGCCTCGTTTCTTTTTCTCCTTCTCGGCATCGAGGATGATCGTGGTCAAGGCGTTGTTGGCGCCTCGGAGGTCGGCTGGTCTGGTGTCATTAGATATACGACTACGTTTAAGCGATTTGAAGGAACGTACCTAGCGAGAGAATTATGAGCGTTTCGGATCAGAGAAGAATTCGATATCGCGAGCCCTTTCATCTGTAGTGTTCTGAATGAGTAAGGAGAGGTAGATGCGCATAGACCCACCTCGGGAGACATTTCCTTCGTATGTTCTTTGAACTCTCTCAGCTCTGTCCCGATATCGACGCTTGCGCAGTTGAAAAGAATGTTCAGAAGGGCCTGAGATGCGCATGCATCGTCGCTAAGCTGGTTCGCAAACCATACATGCTCAGCAGCTGGATCCTTAAAGTCGGCAGGACGATGTGTGTCCTTTCGCCAGCGAAAGCAGAAAACCAAGCCGTACGGATGGAGGTGGTCGACAGCCCAAGGTTCTATATCATATACTTCGACGATCTCGAGGTGCTTGACTCCCAGTTTACGCGTCAAAGATGTGAAAACGCCTGTTGCACCACGTGAGTAAGGATGCAACTGGGCTGAAGGGCTCACCTGGGTCCGATTCGATGACGGCAAATGGACCACCAACGAGATCTATTGACTCATTCTGGTTGTCGAAATCGTTGTTTATTGCAGCTTCGGAGGTGACAGAATCCAGCCGGACATTGGACGTGGAAGCCATGGAGTATGAGCGTAAGCCATCCGTCAGCCTTCGGACCGGTAAACCGGAGATTCTTAACTTTGTTCGGTGGCAGTGCGCCAACTGCTTTACTCATACCCTTCAAACGGATCTAACTAGCTCCCCCACTTGAAACTGTCACATTCGGATGTCCAGCTGAGGTTGCGACTCGGGAGCGCCCTGAATGGAGCCTTAAAATCAAAATACTGAGCGCTCATGAACACTTGTTTGCATATTGATATATCGACAAATGGAATGGCTCTCGACCTTCTGCTCATAATGCGGCGAGTGTTGTACTGAATACTGAAGGACGGCTATCATGATGGACATGATGGACTGAATTGGAAGGCTCCAGTCCTAAGCGTAAAACGCATCTGTCGCGGAACCGCTTTTCGCCTGCGTGATGAAAATTATCGGGAGATCTCAAGAGCGTTTCGGACTGCAAGGGAACCGCAGAGCTTTCTAGCTCACGGTTGCCCATCGACCGGCTCCTCTCATCTAGTCTGCTCTAACTCTAGAACAACGGCTAAACGGAATCTCGTCTATTCATGTCTCTACTAATCCCTTCGTTTTCGGCAGAATTTCGTATAAGTACAACTATGTGCCGGGCTAGACGCTTTCATAACTACGACCTGTTCGATGCTCCACACATAGCAGTGTCGACTGTTCTCCTAGGGCACGGGTCGCCTACCAGAGGTCCCACGGCGGGTAAGTCTGACCGGCTCGTGAGCTGACATATGGCTAGGAACCAACATACGACATCATGACGCGCCGTCCAGTATGAGAATGCGCAGAGGTTCTTCCTATAAATATTCTTCGTGCTGTCTTCGGAACTAGCCACTATCCCACTGCTCTTCATGAAGTTTGTACTAGGACTCGCGCTTTTCAGCGCGTCGTTAGTCTCTGCTGCTGTTCTACCTCAAATTGATGCACGTGCAGACCTCCCTTCTCCTCAATGCGTGGACGCCATCAAAAACGTTGGAATGTATCATGAAATTTACGACGCCTCTTGCACACAATTGGTGAGTCTTATTTTAGACGCTGGGAGCTCACATAGCGTGTAGTTAACCATATACCATTAGGTCTGGGACTGTCTCGCAAAGGTCAATGGAACTGAAGGCGAAACTATCTATCTGTGGAGCAAGACGAGCTGCGCCACTGCTGCTACCTGTCAAGGCGTGAGTCCATTTCAAGTGGTTCATCGGGTCACCCAACTTACACTGAAATTACACAGACCAATCTTCTCGTAGAATTGGCGCAATGTTACAACACCGGCGTCGGCAATGCGAAGTGATCTTTCACACTTGAGTTACAATGTGAGTCGTATATATGACTTGGTACGATGACATTCTTAGATGGTTAATCAGATATATGCAAACATCGTTGGTGACTGCGCCTGGCAAGAAGGCGGGTGCCCTATTACCTTCCAGAACTACAGTCGACTGGTTTTACGGCGCCCTCTCAGCTGTTAATGCCACTATATGGCCTGAGTATGTGTGATTCCCCCCCTCCTTTTGATTGATTTTGATATATCTTCCATTGTAGCTTTGCCAACGTAGAAGCAAACTGGGGTTACATTCTTGACTGGACACTGACTGGGGACACTCTTCCATATACCAATTTCGATGATTGGCTTCACTATTCCAACAGCTAATCGCGAGTCATTATGTTAGATTCAGTATTCAAGACTGCTTACTTTCTGTTTGATCCCGGCTTGTAATGAACATGATTATCCGCTGCCATGCTTAGCCATGCGCTGATGAGAGTCCATTCTTTACCTATCCGCATCACTACCACGACTTTCACCCAAATCTAGGCCTCCTGGGTTTGGGGGATGTACTAAGTACTCTTACAGTAAGAGAATATGTGAACTGCAAAACAGACGATGATAGATCATGGAGAAAACGACATGAAGAAATAATAACAAGTAAGAAATCGAGAAAGACCTAAGGAAATAAGCCTACAGATCAAGGCAGATGGTACTCTCCTGATGTCCTCCAAGATTTGCAGAAATTCCCGGTTAGGCCTCCCGGAGAGCCGGCTCGATAAACTCTCTGTCCGAGTTAGCATAATATTTTGGCCCTAAATCGTTACATATGAGGGTCAAAATTGGCTATTTTGCCGGACAAACCTTTGCAGGCCCGGGAGCTTCCCGGAGCCTGCACTTCAGGCTCAGTTCTATAATGGCGTTGAATCGGCAAAGAAGTAACCTCAAAAGTGGGCCACATCGCTGTCAGCTAACAAAGCACTCCTTCTCCGCCTCAAAAAGATACGATCGATACGATCATCGCAAAAACCCACTTATATTGCTAAAAGAAATATGTCGGAACTGCAACTGTGGGATGCCACCTGCAAAGCCTGGGGCTTACACGTCGTTCAAAGCAAGACTCCCGTCTCCGATTTATCTAAGCAGGACACAGATTTGGTTCAGCAGTAGGTTCTTTTCATTTCATGACAGCAATCCAGCTCAATAAGATGCAGGCTCAAAGAAGTGGCTGAGAATGTTGAGATCCGTGATCCCGAAGTGAATTGGTAATGCTATGTTTGCATTATTTTGCTTTTCTCTCGACTAGGTTCCTCATCAAGGATTCTGTATCAGCCCAACCTTACGATACGGCGGACACCTCAAGTATACACCACTTATAATCACCAAATATACCAGGCTGATTTCTGCTAGTCTGCACCCTCTTAACTCAGTCCTCATTCAGACACTGCAGCTGGGTGGAACGACGAATACGGAAACCCTGCAGATCCAGAACAGTAGTGAATCTTCACAAGAAGAGAAGACATTCTCCATTCTCTTGTATGCCGTCATCCTCCGTAGCTGTCGTCAAAACTTCTGGCTCGGTCAAAGCGTCGAGAAAATCAACTTTGATCCAGGTGGGCCATTCCGTTCTATATCTCACGAGTGGATTCAGACATTACATATCGCAGATACCGTTCGATCTTGTCGCCGCGGTTCATTCATAGGGAGTGGCAATTTCGGCTCGGTTAATATCTTGTATGACACTGTGAGTAAGGCGGTCTTTGCCGAAAAGCGCTGTACTCTTCCGCGTGGCAGACCGGCTCTGGCAAACGAAGAGAGCTTACTCAAACGTTTGGATCACATCCACATCGTTCGATTTATCGGTAGGTTGGCAGAGTATATTGGTTGTACAAGCTAATGGATCCAGATAGGTTCTTCTTACGAAAATCGTGAATTGAGCATAATTATGGAGTACATCTCCGGTGGTACAGTTGAAGGCATGACAAAAACGCTGGGTAAAATACCCGAAGATGATGCTCGTGCTGTCGCTCGTCAAATCCTTGATGGACTTGGGTATTTGCACAGCCAGGACCCGCCCATAGTCCACAGGGACATCAAAGGTGCTAATCTGTTACCCTCGACGGATGCGTCAAGATCGCCGATCTTGGCCTCGCGAAACCATTACTTGGTAAGTCATCCCTACGGGGTTCATTCTACGTCACTTGAACTAGCCTCCCTTATTTACATAGAGAACGCGCGAACATTTGCGAGAACGGTTCCCTGGATGGCTCCCGAAATAGTCAATAACGCCAAGTACTGTGGGACGAAAGTCGATGTTTGGAGTTTCGGGTGTACGATTATCGAGATGCTGTGTGGCGGCCATCCATGGACACGAAAAGGACTTGGGCACTTTGAAGCGATGAAAAGGGTAATTCAGATGCTTTATCTGTTACAGCAACTCACGACGTTTGTAGATTACTGCGTTTATCATGCCCATACCAGATGGCATCTCTCTTGAGCTGCAGGAGATGTTTGCGCAGATTTTTGTTGCGGCTGCTGAAAGGAAATCGGTCAACGATTTGTGGCTGGGTTGCGACTGGATATGGAACAAGCAGACTTGAGATAGTCCATATATTCAGTTCTCAGTGCTCATCACAAATGTCAATTATCTGACACAACGATGTGCATACAACCATGTATGTCCCTTCATTATTCTATTCTATTCGTTAACTTATGTAAAGGGCCTGAAATCTGAAACACCGTCCCGTTGTCAGGGCCGAGTCACAATTCTCCGTCACTATTTTGCCTGTAGAACACTAAACGCCCAGCACTACTCTTCGTTATGATCCCCTGCTTCAGAACAGCCCCGGAAACAATCGGCGTTCTAAGGATCAATACTAATCGCCAAGCCCTGTCTGTTATGACTTATGTGGCCGCCCACTCATGGCGACAGCGGCACGGCGGGCTAGCTTGACCGTCTCTCGACTCCATTAACATATGGCAGGAGGCTATGTATACGGCATCACTAGCCAACGTGACACACATTTCTAGGTATAAAAGGCCGGAGGGTCCTTCATTTATTTCTCTGTGAGCTTTTACAACCTCGCAACTCGACATTTTTGTTCTTACTAGCATCTGCCATGAAGTTTGCAGCTTTGGTTGGGCTTCTCACTGCGTCGGTTGCTTCCGCTGTGGTCATACACCACGAGCTTGACGCACGCGCGGACTTTCCTTCACCCGAATGTGTCCCCTTGATCAAGTACATAGGAATATACCACAACATCTATGATGCTTCTTGTGGAAAGTTGGTAAGTTCTTTTCTGTGTCTGAGTTTGCGCGGTGTTTACTTAGCGATCCTCCCCAGGTCAATGACTGTATCTCGAATCTGAATGGCACTGAAGATCTGTGGAGCAAAAATAGCTGCGTCACCGCTGCTACCTGTCAAGGTGTGAGTATAGTTCCTTAATTTATCCCACCAAATCAAGATATTCACATTTACATAGACTTATCCAGTCGTGAAATTAGCACAATGTTACGACTCCAACATCGGTAATGCGAGTGATATTCCCCATCTGAATTACAACGTGAGTAGATCCGCTACATAATTCGCTCAGTATAACTGCATTCTTACGGATGGCTATCAGATATATGCAAACATTGTTGGTGATTGCGCCTGGCAAGAAGGCGGGTGTCCCATCACCTTCCAGAATTACATTGACTGGTTCTACGGGGCTCTCACGGCCATCGACTCCACCGTCTGGCCTAGGTGTGTACAACGCTTCTCCGGTTAATTTAAATAATTTCGCGTTGACTTTCAAATATAGTGATGTTGAGTTCGTAAGGACGAACTGGTGGAATTACATCCTCGACTGGACCTTGACTGGAGACACTCTCCCATACACTAACTTCGACGATTGGCTTTCACTACTCTAACACGTCATGATTTTTTCTCCATTGAACATCCTTGAATCTTGATGCACCACGGACTTTAGCACATCTTGGACTCGTTATTATTCGTTTTACTCACTTTTCACCAACTTTAACTACTTGATACCCCGGCGTTGGCCAGATGCTTTATCAGGCCACAATTCCATAGCATTCCTTCCTTCCCGATGTCAAGTTTTTTAAAATTTGACGTTTGAGCACCTTGCGATCACACTCATTGAATAAAAAACAAAGCTACCGTACGATGATGTCCGAATATAAATTCGAATTGAAGTGCTTCATCTTCAATATGCTTATTCGATCTAGTCTTTAATTCAGTGCGATGTAAAGGATACTTCCACACATCTCTGAAATATAAGAAACACCCGACCGGCGTGCTAACCTATAACGTTTGTCGTCGAATCTATACTCTACACTGACATCACTGCCGATTGCGCTTGAGCCGATGATGGTTGTCCGATCCCATTGTAGATTTATGGTGAGCCGCAAGTTAGACTCACTAGAGTGGCTACCGTACGCTCCAGTTGCTAGTAGACTTCGTTTAGTTCACTGCCAACTCTATCTGCTTTAGGGAAACTGATGATGTATTCAGTGTATCATATTAACCGTGAAATACGCCCCCTTTGACATCCATTCCCAGGCTGCCTTTCGCAAAGACTTGCATCGACCTCTCAACTTCGTCTTCAAAGTTGGAGGAATACCGACCGAGCTTTAGCCAGAACCACTGTCGGAATCGAATGGCCCAGAAGAGGACGTCCAAGGAAAACATGATACCTCGGAAGGCAACATAGCCCCAGTATTCTTTTATGCGTTGTCCAAGGGGGAGATCGTGTGTATACGTCAATGACCGTGAAGCCCAATATCCAGTGATTTTCACACGGTTAACGGGGGCGCCCATGGATTGATTATTACCTTGCACGATACTACAGCACTGTTTATTAGTGCGCTTTAGCCATCGAGATCACTACTACTTACCGCATATTGCGCATCAAGAAAAGTAGCGCCTTGGGCAACCTGTCGGTGTCAATCAAAAACTCCTTCAACTTAGCCTTCATCCTCACGCTCTGTTCATACTGGCTCATCCTACTGATCTCCTCAATCTCTCGCGCGAATTTCTCCTTGTCCACCTTCTTGAGTCTCACAGGCCTCATGAGTGTTGCACTAGCAAATAAGTCAGGTAGACCGACGCCCCAACTTCTTGCAATTTTCTCCACGGCGTAATAGTCCGAAAGCAAAAGCGACTTCCAGAGGCCAGCCCACTGTTTTCTGAACTCGTCACCAACGGTCACATAAAGCCCATGGTCAAGCAAAACCAATTGAGGCGTCTCTGGATTGGCAGGATTCGGCCGTATGAGAATATTGCCCGGGTGTGGATCGCAATGTATCACACCGAAGCTGAACATCTGCGCACTGAAAAGCTCGACCATTGTCTGCATAACAGCCTTGACGCCACCTCGGAGTGGTCGAGACGGGAGAGGCGAGTCTGAATGCATCTCCGTGGGTGAAACGACCAAAGGTATCATGTATGCTCCCAATCTCGACGGTTTCTCGCCCATTAGGTCGAACACGCCTTGCCGATCACTAAACCGTACACCATCAATCCATTCGGCTGTCATGACTTTCTTCGTCGTGAGATCGTCGTAGACTTTCGGTATGTACACTTTGTCAGACAATCGAGGTTCTGAAGCAATCAACGCAGCAGTCCGTTTGGCGTTATCGGCTTCCCGAATAAAATCCAGCTCTTGCCGTAGATGGTCGGCGACGAAGTCTGGGGACAGGTGTCAGTCGAAGCCTTTTCATGGAGGTACTAAAAATCTTCACCAACGACAAAGTATACCGGTAAATCAAACGCCCAGTTTTCAAACATCCACATGACCATCCGATAGGCGCCGAGATCCCATTCGGTCTGCTTAGAAACAGCAGGTTTCTGGACCTTGACAGCGACCCAATGTTCCTGTTTGTCTCCTGGCATCGGCCACAGCTTGGCTTTATGCACTTGGGCGATGCTAGCGCTAGCTATGGCATTTTCGTCGAAAAACTCAAAGACACCGTTCGGACCGTTAGGAGGCCTCCCGAATTCAGACCGGAACACCGAGAGAACCTCGGAATACGGAATCTGGGGAGCATCATCAAATAGCTTTGCAAATTTCTCTTGCATCGGTTTAGGGAGAAAGGCGGCATTGGCACCAATCGCTTGGCCTAAAGGAAGAATTATTCACTGCATGATTTAGAGGCAAGAAAGGCGCACCAATTTTAATATACAAGCCTCCATTAGAAGTGAATAAATTATACATTCTATCCGCGACGCGTTGGTGCAGTTCCGGTATGAGGTCGCTCTTCTCTGGCGTAAAATTAAATTTGTAGTCTAGCGTTATCATGGCGCACTTGAAACGGCAAATCAATTTCCAAGCGATAGAATAGAAAGAAGCAAACGAACCGTATATATCGTTCTACAGTTTCGGGTGATAGCCGATGCATTGAAAAGCCTATCCAAAGCGTATACGGCCCCTGCTCCTGCAATAAAGTAGCCCGTCCGACGAGCATATTTCACAATTCGAGATGGGGCTATTGTAGGTGATGTAGATGACGCGTACGACCGTCTGTGTAGCGTCTCGTCGACTCCCTTACGGATCCATCTCAGCAGTAGCGGCTGTGCGACAAGGCGATTCATATCAGAACCGTCAAACGACAGAAATTTTCGACGAAGGGAACGGCGTCAATAAAGGAGGGGGTGAATGGCTTTATTAGCTTTCGGTGACATGAATGTCGATGACGAGCCTGACTTTTTTGTCGGCAGACGATGACGAAGCGGACCGGAATCACGGACCGGAGGACCGTCGACACGTGGCAAGTGAAATTGTACTTACCAGGCGCAGTTACAACTGAACATCCACCAAATGTTCCCGGAGACCCTTTGGTGCCTTCTCAATGTCGCCATTGTCATTGCACAAACAAGACGGCAGCTTTCTCTGAACGACGTGTCTTCGTTTGATGAATCGTCGACATTTACCCTACCGGAATCAAGCAACCTCACAGTTTCAGTCGCCTTGTGTTCTTCAGCCTCCTCTGCTCGTTTTTTTGTCACAAATACATCGGCAGACGCAGATGATCCTGGACTCGGTGGCGGTACCGACGTATACGAAATATTACTGAATGAGGGATACGGCAACTTCGCGGGTGTATTTACGAATGGAGGTGTATTGGCGGCGGAGAATACCAGCGACGTTACCTTCGAAGTGGGCGTGTCAGAAAGTGGTGGGTACTCATTGCATTTCTTAATAATACAAATGCTAAACTATTCTTCTAGGACCAATGCATAAAATTTTAACCGACCCTCCATCACTGGGCGATACCACAGCAACCCAGGCTATCATATTTTCTCCCGTTTTCTTGGAAGCAGACTCAGAAGTGCCGACCTACCCAAACTACTCTCTACCATCTGCGAACCTCTCGATCCCTACAATACCTCCCACGTCCAATAATTTCTCGCTGATTTTCTCAGAGACGTCAGGATCTAGTCCACTGACATCCAAATTGCAGACAGGCTGCGCGTTACGAAGTCAAAATTCCACTGGAAACATTGTTAATCAGACCTTTTGGCTTCCAAATGAAGATGGTTGGCGAACACAGTGGATTATTGACGATTTGACGCCTGCAACAAATTATACCGCCTATGTTATAATTGACAACACCGTCGTCAGTGGACCCATGTACTTTTTAACAAAATCTGGTGCGTCTATACCAACAATATGCGCTAATGCTTCTCACCGATAGCCCTAGAGTCTTTCTCTTGTCCACTATTATCCAACCTGCCCTATTGTCCCCAACATCGCGTATGCGGTCCCTCTCTCCCAACCATCCCCGCAATCAACCTACGACTTCTACCAATCTCCCTTCACAAATCTCAGATTCCCCTCATATCCTCATTGACCAACTTCACTATAACGCTTACGACCTTTGCCTGCGGCCGCGATGACTATTCGCCTCTTGTGTCTTGTAATGATTGTCAGCGGGAATATCGGAGATGGCTATGCACCATCAGCTTCCCCCGCTGTGGAGAGGCAAACTCAAATAATGGGACCATAGTGGCTTCCGATGGTGCTCAAAAGGTCTTCTCAGCTTTGCTACCGCAGTCCAACGACTGTCGCGCCTAGAAATTCAAACTTTCCATCTTTCAACGATACTTATACGGCGCTACTTGCCATGCTTGGAGCGTTGCAATGCTGCTGACCGAGCTTGTCCAAGCTTCCTTGGCTTTCGATGTCCAACGGAGCAGTTCAATGCTTCAAGCAGCTACGGTGTAGGATATATAGATAGCGGCATAGACGGGTGTAGAGGGCGAAGGATCTTCGGGGACTTCGCAGGATCGCTATGGGAATGTTTGGTGTAACTATGGATAAGGGCAAGATTTTGCTGTATTTTTGCGTGCTATAATTTATCAATTCTTTTTCCAGTTCATGTTTTCAGGGGCGCGAACAGGGATTATTTGTTCAGTTCCACTCTTAGCTGTGGGTAAGATAAAGGTGCATAGGGTGACTTGGTTACACGTGAACTACTACCGTATTGGTGCTACAGCGTCTTGGCATTCCTCCTGATCGAGGTCCAGAGTTGACCATGCCCACGACCAACCTTCTTTCACCTTCTCCATCATGTCTTCCATCTGCCTGGGTTTTAGACGGTCGCCGCCATCTCGGATATCTTCGAACCCTAGTGCGTTGAATTCATATAGGGAACCCCTCTGTTTTTGCTGTAGAGAGGATGTAGTTCCCATATGGTTGACGGATCTTGTTGTAAGCGGCCAGTACCTCTGGAATCGATTCAAGTGTTTCTGCTGATTTGGACAACAGGGACCCAAGGACGTATGCATCCTGTCGACAATGTAGAACTTTCGAATCTGATTATTCGAAGGCTGAGGGGCGTACCTCGATAGCTTGTCCTGCCCCTGCACCGAGATGCGGTGTCATAGCGTGAGCCTGCACAAACATAGGTTGAATGATTGAACCATACTCCGTCTGCAACTGTCGTACCGCGTCACCGAGGAGCACAACTCGGTCAGAAGCGTATAATCCCAATGGATTGAGCGCATGTATGGCCCATACTGTGGGGTTATCAATGCACTGTATTGGTGCGCAATCAGTCAAATCGTCTTTTGAAACGTGATGGGATTTTATTCGCCTGTAGAAGAACCTTTATTTCGTCCTCCCAGTCCATGAAATTGGACATCATCTTGTCTTTGTTTGCTTCTGCAACAAAAGGTCCATCGAATGGTTTACCTTCATCTGACAGGACCGAACTAAATGCGACCACATTGATGAACCGACCTTGTGATACGGGGTATACAACGATGTGCTTAGGAAATGTCAGACCGACGTCCGGAAGGGAAAAGTCGCGCGCTGCCAGTCACCTTATTTTTCCCGCAGTACTAGCCTCATGTAAGTCTTGGTACTGCCTTATATACACACTCACCACCATTCGCTTCTTTAGTGCACGATGTCCGGGCCATCGTTTTGCAAGGTCGCCAACAGGAAATAGCCCTCGGTATGCAAGGGTCCCTGAGAAAACGGGTGCGATAATTTTGCTATCGATTTCTGGATACAGTTTGGCCATCAGCTTCGCTCGGACGATGCTTTTAATTCCATCAGCTGCGATGAGCAGATTACAAAAAGCAGTGCGCTCGTTTTGGAATTCGAGTTGGATTCCATCTTTAGTTTCTGAGTAACTAACGAGCCGGTGGGACAGGTGGCATGTAACCCCGGGAGGCAGGTTTTTCAAGAGCGCCTTCTGAACATCGTGGCGATGGAATCCACCTAGTAAGCGTTATCAAATGGACGGCGGTCATAGGACCGAAGCACCCGCCTGCGAAAAAGGCGCCTGTCAATGTCCCGTTAGAAAGTGATTGACGACAGCGCCCTTGTCTGACCTGTAGACATAAGCTCGAAGAGGTCGGACCCAGGTGCATAATCCCCTCGCCGAAACATGAATAAGGGGCCTACGAGGTAACATCAGTGCCTTCACGATCCGATACACGCAGCGGCTGAGATTTCGTACCAGGCTCGTCCCGAGGCTTTTCGTCAGTTATCTCCAAAAAATCTTTCTCCAATCCAAGGTTCTTCAAAATAGTCCATGTACGGTGCCACAGCGTGATGCCAGCTCCGATTTCTGTCAGCTGGGACGCGGATTCGTATAGTTCAACCTCTAACGATTTACAATCTTTGAGTGCGATAGCGCACGTAAGGCCCCCAATGCCCCCTCCGCTGCCGGTTGTTGAAACCCGGTAATCTTAAGCTTAAGTGCTTTCGAAAGTGACAGTGATAGACGTACATGATAGCAACACGAAGCTTCTGATTCAGTTCTGCCATTGGTTCTGGGGTGAATATTGGGGTACGAGTGTAGTCACTGCGGTAGGCCCAACTCACACGCCGCCGAGTATATGTGAGGATTGAATGGTCAGATGCTACCCATGACGCATCGTTCTAAAAGAATCGGACGCCATAACAAGAACGATCTTCGCAGATTATGAAGATGCGCTGACCGTGGTGGATTACCGTTTACGACGTCGGGATCAGTGTCCGTGTTATGTAGTGTATGGTGCCGGAGATTAGCTTTCAGCGAAATTTGCGGCGCTGACAGCAATTATTCGTTTATTATAAACGAATGACGTGTTGTTGTGCTTAGCATAGAGATAGTTACTGTACAAGGAGCGAATATAATGACTGTAGCGTAGAGAGTAGGTGATTTCAAGATGGTCATACAAGGCGTGTAAAATCTCCATGACTATGACGAATACAGGTTAATATACTGTCGCCATCTCAAGTTGAAATATGCCAGTCGAGTCGTCTCTGCAAGAGCAAATTATAAGTACCCGCAAATAAATTATGAAAGCGTCCACATACAAATAAACAAATAATTTAGTGATGTACCCATCGAGTCTCCCCTTGCGCCAAAGGACATCTGTGATTGCCCAACGTCTTGGCGGTTGAGAAGAATCTCCCACAAACATCGCATGAGAACTCGCAAATCTTGTTATGCTTGGCGACCTCATGCCTAAGTCGATCGTGCTGACGCGAAAACCACTCATTGCATCCCAAGGTACAGGGGAACGACACCCGCGGTTTAGGTTTGTGAGCTTCTGTATGCACCTTCAGGGTGTATTGACTCGTGAAGCGACGACCGCATCCAGCTACAAGGCAGGGGTATCTTCTGCGTTGAGCAGCGTCATCACTATCATTTGCCCTGGACGAAGAGGAGACAGGCTTCTTGAGAGGAACATGTTGGATCACCTCGTGTGAGCCACTTGGAAAATGAGACGAGATCCCTTGATGTCTTGATCTATCTTGCGGTAGCGAAGAGTACGACATATTTTGGGAGATTGATTCCGTGGAAGCCGAATTTATCGAGTGGCCAAATTGGAGATCAAATACATTCTGGCAATCGTCTGAGAGCGCGGGTGAGGAGAATCCCACTATGTCTAAGTGTGAGATTGATATCAAGGAGAAACCGAACCAGGCCGACTTACGATCGGGAGTCTGTAGGTCTGCAGAATTCGGAGACCACGACGAGGGTGCCGCTCCTATTTCGCCTACGGGAAAATACGGTGGAAGGGTGGAGACATCGCGTTCCGAATGATGTGGCCATGACGGAGGAGAGTTCGCGTATGCGTAGCCTTCTGAGAAAATGGTCAGAAAAAGTAACAATGAAGAATCAAACGAACCGTGCTCATGGTGCGGAATTTGTTTTAATGAAGAATGAAATTGAGAAGCTAAGCGAGTCAAGTAAGACACGGCGGTAGGCGAATAGCCATGTGTACGGATAACGTACTAGCTCCGTGCGCGTGAACCTTGGAAGGCAGTGCAGAGGAAGGAATGTTGTTCCAACAATCGTAGGTACCTAAGGCATTGACACCGCCTACAGAGGTACTCAGTAAGTGGACAAGGATAATAGGGATATCTTGGCTTACCATCTGACGGTAAGAGGCAAAGTCCTTCGTTCCCAGGAGCAAAATTGGAATTGCGATTGCGGTCGTCTGAAAGACTAGTAGGAATGTACGGATTCATAATTTGTGAGTTGTTGTAGTAACCTAGATTTGTAGTTAGAGGTGGTAAAATAAAGGGGAACCTTGAGGCGTACCAATAGGCCCATAACCAGTCATGACAAGATTGAAGGGAAGTTGGAGTTATGTGGAGGAAGGGTGTTTTATAATATGACAGTCTAAGACATAAAGCAATGATCAGCAGGAGTTCCAATGACTGTGGCTGAGAAACCTGTGTTACTTTACACGAAACGCGATCCAGTGGACAGACAAGGCGGGGCAGTTGGAGGAAAGAGCGGGAAACAATACATGACCGTATTTATAGGAACGGAGAACGTGTGATGGCATGGATCAATACATCCCCTTGTCAACTCTTAATACACCTCGAATTTCGTCCAGGTCGGCTTCAAGGATGTCAGGGGGTGCTTACTAAGCTGTACCTTTCATATCGATCCTCTGATTGGTCGGTTCACTGACTGTTAGGGTCATATCTACGGACCTCTTCTTCGGGTCAGACTCTCATTCAGAAATAGCTTTGGCGATCCTTCTCAAAAGTCTAGGTCTGTACACAGCACTGTCTGTCGGTTCCCCTAATATTTCTCCTGCTTACGGAGCTATTCCGACCTCTCTACCGACAGTGGACACTGGATATGCTCAGTGCTGTGCTCTAGCGCGACGGACCCAATGCGGATTCTTGTCAAATAGTATACATCCTCTGTTGACCGCCAAGCTTGAGAAAAGACTTTCCTGCTCCTCCTTGTCTTTCCTGGATTTCTCGGAAATCATACACGAAGTGATCAACGATCTTCACCTCCGATCGTGTCGATCTTTCAAATTTCCAGGCATAGGCCAGTATGCACTGGACGGTCTGGCCCCTCCGACTCAGTGAAATACGCCACATCTCAGGCTCACGGAACGACGCATCGACGCATCATTTTCTGAGGGCGGCGGATGCTAGGTCGAATATATTTTGGAGTGCCTTGTTGCAGTCGTCTCAGTCTAGGGGGCTCTGGAACATGCATCACATCGAACTTGAAGTAGAAACGCGCCCGTTTGAAAGGCATACAGCGGCTGAAAGAATACTTGGTATATGGGTGATAGCTGGGTGCTTGTCGGTCACCAGGGCCCGCTAGCATTGACCCTTATGATGTCAATGTGTCCCTTCTCCCTGATTTTGACCGTTCCATTCAATCCGATTCACATCAGCTTAATATTGGAGCTACATGAATCCAGCGCGCGCTTCCTTTTGCTGCCGAGCAAGATCAACCAGCGAAACATGGTCGGGCTTGCAAAATGGAATTCAGGAACTTTACGCCACAGGTTTGCCGCCTGTAGGTGTCGCGGAAATCGTCGATGTTGTCGAGGATACTTGGATTCATATGTAACATCGACTGGGCAGTATAGTAAATCCGGCGAGTAAGACTTGTTTGTTTGGACTACTAACGAAGCCCGCTTGAACAAAGAATGGTTCTCTGGAACCTCATATTGTCTCGAATTATCAAAACGTATCATTTCGTCATGGAATTTCTAGACTTTTCTCCTTGTACATGACCATCTTCTCCGGCGCATTTTCATTTGTCACTATACCCCAGTTGGGTTCGTACTTACCAGCTATATCAGCCTTCCGTAAGGATTTCAAGTTTTTGCCGGTTTGCTCGGACGACTCATGATACTGTCCATTATTCCTCCGGTATCAAGGCCTTGGAATCTCATACTGTAAAGGAGAAATTTTAGCGGTATAGTGGCACTCCGTGAGCTATCTTCCCGCTACGGTACCGCCAAGTGATATCAAGATAGTCATGTTTTCTTCCCGTAAGCGGGCAGGGTCGACTAGCCGTCAGTAGTTAGTCGCCGGATCGCCGGGAGTTATTCCTTTCCGCGCCGAACAGCCCTCAAGAGGTTTAAGTAGGTTCAGATTCAGATTCATTACATTTGAAACTAGAATGTATATCTTGATACTAATGATGTCTTCCGCTGCCGTGGATTGATTTTCCCCATTGTATAATAGACTCTCGTATCGACGCCACATAGGCGCCTGATCGTCCACTGTGTCCAAGGATATCAACAAGACGACAACCCTGGTAATTCAGGAACGTCGCGCCGAGTCGTCACTTGTTTGTCCTTTTGGCTCCAATGTAGCCGACCTTGACCGTCAACATCAGACAGAAAAGGAATAGTTTGAAGCAGGGGTGCTTACTTGCTTCTACCGCATTTATTGGCAGAGAGTTATAGATTGCCTTGGAGTCGCTAGATAAGGAAATTTTACGAAGAAAATTTAATAGCAAGCGTCAGAAAAACCAATAAAACGGATGCCTCCAACGTAGTAGGCGCTGGTTGCATGATCATTGCATCTCTACAATGCGGCTCCGACCCTCCTCCTGCTTTAAGTAATCATTCTGTCGTTCAAGAAATATAGAACGTCTGAAAGGAAGTGAGGGAATGGAAAATGGGCGTAACACCGTCACCTTCATTTTATATTGCCTGAGCTGTGACATTCATACTACAAAGCACGAAGTCAAGCAGAATTAGGCAGCGTGGAAGACGACGTTCGAATAGGTTCAGAAAGAGAAAGCAGTATAGGTGTGAGGATCGAAAGGCAGCAACGATCTCATGCATTCTAAATATGTCTTTCGTGGTGGCTGAGGCGCTAAAACCTTGGTTGTATATCTTCGATCATCCATAAAAGTGGCCTTGATCACCTATAACACTGTTGTGAGGGTCTGAATAGCCATCCCGCCCATTTCGGACGGGCATCAAAGGTCCTAAAGATATGCATAAGTTTCAATTGAAATGGACAGATTCGAAGCTACCTTCGGGCTGTATGACTGTAGTGGAAAAGTGATGGGCAGGAAAAGATCGAGCCATCAGGAAGAAATTCTTCGTGGATTAGTGGGTCTTTTGGGGGAGGGGGGACATTTATAAAAAGAAGTTCCGTCTCCAGGTCACAAGAACCATTCGAATGTACCGGCAGACAAGGGTATATGTCAGCCTTCTGATAGATACTTGCTTTAGGGTTATCTTTTCACCAGACAATGCACCAGTCGAAAGAAAATCAGGCGTTAAGGTTGATATAAGGTGGAACTTGCAAGAGACAGAAGTTTCGTAAGCCAGAGCAATCCGGAATAGAGCTTGCGAATAGGGCACGCCTGGGATATGGTTTACACTACGATATCACCGTTGGCCGCTCCAGCCGCCAGAATTCGTCTAGGGAGTGGCGCAAGGCTGCGGGATTCTTTCTAGTTTCAGCATCACAGTGAGCAGCCGCGTAGCCAAGGACATCAACGAGCCACAGGATGAGGGTGCGAAAGCAGGCTGAGAAGCAATGGATTATGATGAACGACGGGGTCTCGTAAGTCCAGATGTGGAGAACTTGTGCTAAAATTGTTTTTCGGTTTTAGTAACCGCTCGACATACTAGACCGATGGCACGACGCCCTCCCTTGAATCGTGCACGGGTCATCAAAAGAGCTGAAACGAGACCAGACGGGGTTGCTGCCAACATGAAGGAAAACCTGGAAAGAATAGCGGTGACCAATTCCTTCGTTCCTGATTCTGATTGAACCTTGGAAGCAAAGAATATATCGCGTCGGAGTCCAGCCTAATCGAGTCCTTACAGAAATTGGGCTTTATGTGCGGCGAGACGGCGAACTTAGAGTCACGGATCACGGTGGCAAACTGCAGTGTGGGGCAAGAAGGGGGCATTAGATAGTCTCCCACAGAAAACTCTCCAAACCATCTTGTCAGGTTTTCCTTCGTCCCAGTGAGTTCAAGGCGAAAGGACTGGTTTAACCCTAACCTCATGCCCACTGCCTCGGACCGGCTCTCGGCCGGCCCAGTCATACTGGGACTAATCTAGACAACTATTGAAACTCAGCAAGGCAGCCTAGGTCGTCTTAGACGTACCCCCAGCGACAATTTCCTACCAACAACGAGCGCGCAGTCGGCACATTTCGTAGCAGGACAGCTTTCTTTATCTTTAGCAACGTCCAAGTCCATCCGGAGCTCGTACACGGGCTTCTAGCCCTGTTTCAGCAATCCATTTATCTCGCTCACTATATTGCGATGTCATCCTCTCGGACACCGTCTCTTACCAGCTCACTTAGCTCGAGATCATGCACGCCTTGCCCTCCAGTTGTTCAACCTGACCATTTCTTTGGTGCCGATGACACACTTCCGTCACCCACCTCCGTCGGAAGGCCATGGCTAACACCCGAAGATGATCCCCTGGCACATCGAGGGATACCAGTATTCAAGCCGACAATGGACGAGTTCAGGGATTTTGAGGATTACATGAAGAAAGTCGAGTGTTGGGGTGAACGGAGTGGTATTATTAAGATTATACCTCCGAAGGAATGGTGTGTAATGGCACCTTGGCTTGTCTGTCATCCCTGACCATTCCTTAGGTCGGAATCTTTGCCACCGATAAAGGAACAACTCAATAATGTGAAAATATCGTCACCCATTGAGCAGCACATGCAGGGACGCGCTGGCCTCTTCCGTGTGGAGAACATGATGAGAAGGAAGTATATGAGTGTACGAGAGTGGGTGGAAATGTGCGACAAGGAGGATTATCGTGCACCGGGCGTCCACGAAGTCGGTCTTCATGGAAGAAGTGGTGTCAGGGCAAAGACGCGACGATCTAAACGTTTTTCGGACAACGTGAAAGCGGAATCGGCTGACGCCGAGGATCAGGTCGTCATTAAAGAGGAGCCCAACGAAGCGCCCAAAATCTACGACTGACGGCCCAGGATCTGCTAACGCGCCTATCGTGGTCGAACCGCTGCAAAGCACGACTCTTGACCCCTCTATCCACGCAAGAGAAAAACCTGAGATGTCTGCGAAGAGGCCACCCGGGAGGAAGAAGACAACAACTGAGAAAGCTGCGGAACGGTCGGCTCGCGATGCAGCTTTCTTGAAGACATTTGATCCCTATACACATTGGTTGCCACCGGGCACGACATCATCAGACTACACTCCAGAGTTCTGTCACATACTCGAAAGGCAGTTTTGGCGTAGCTGTGGCTTGGGTAAACCAGCTTGGTATGGTGCAGATTCGCAGGGTAAGTCCCATTTACACAAAACTCATGACTATTTCTTCATCACTTCGCCAGGGACCCTGTTCACCGATCAGACCCAGATTTGGAACGTTGGACACCTAGAATCTGCTTTGACGCGACTATTGCCTTCGTCGAGCCAAGGGTTGCCTGGCGTGAATACACCCTATCTTTACTGGGGAATGTGGCGTGCATCATTTGCCTGGCATGTCGAAGACATGGATCTTTTCAGTATCAACTATATTCACTTTGGAGCACCCAAGTTCTGGTATGCCATTCCGCAAGGTAGGGCGGGTGCTTTGGAACAAACCATGCGAAGTATGTTTCATCTTTTTTTTTCTACGCCTTTTTCTGATTTAGATCCATCCGCTACAGGCTACTTCCCCAAGGACGGCAGCCAGTGTTCACAGTTCCTTCGCCATAAATCCTACCTTGCTTCCGCGACTCTGTTGGCACAATCATCATGCAGGCCGAATCATTGCGTACAGCATGCAGGAGAAATTATCATTACCTATCCGCTGGGCTATCACGCTGGATTCAATCTGGGATTAAACTGTGCGGAAAGCGTAAATTTTGCTTTGGACAGCTGGATCAGCAAGGGAATCAAGGCCAAGGCATGCGAATGCATTCCTGATAGGTCAGTTTCTAACAGCCCAAACTCTTTCATGCCCTGACTCGAAATCTTTAGTGTTCGCATCGACGTAGAGCAACTTCTAAGGGACCGTGAAGCCGAGGGTGAACTTTTCGCTCCCACGTCGCCCCCGCAGCCAAAGCGATCGTCCATGAAAAAGGAAATTTCGGTCGTCATTCCAAGTTTGAAGACCGTCCGGCCCCCGAAGCGCCAGCACGAGGACGAACGAGAGCCATTACCCAAAGCTAAGAAGGTTAAATTGGCACCCCCGAAATCAATGAAGCCTCCCGCACCGGTTCCATCCACATCGCCAGTGGTGACGAAGGTTACACTCAAGTTAGGACCGCGACCATCGGAGCCTGAACATTATCCATGCTGTTTATGCATATCTACGTCAACGGAAGGCCTTCTTCGCGTTCAAGACCCGCCTATTGGCCGCAGAGATGCTGTAGATGCTGCTGGACACCCAAGTAAATGGATGGCCCACGAGAGCTGTGCTAACATCGTACCTGAAACGTGGGTTGACGAAGTAGACGAAACTAACGGACTGGAAAGGGTGGTGTTCGGCGTTGACGGAATTGTGAGGGACAGATGGAATCTTGTAAGACATTTCGTGAGACTACTAGCGTGACAGGCATGTTTATTGACGGCGTCTTACAGAAATGTTCCGCCTGCACTAAGAGCAGACCTAGGGCACATGGAGCACCTATACAGTGTACCAAGGGCAAATGTCCGAAGGCGTTTCACTGTGTCATGCGCTCGGGACGGAAAAGACCAACATATCATCTTCGAGACTTTGCGCGAAGTGGAGAAGGAGGTGGTGCTTTTGGATTCCAATGATCCCGGGACTTCGTCTGACCAGATGCAAGTCGACTCTGTAACTGGCCTTCCCACAGATGATTCGCGGGTGCTAAAGGTGATCAAGAAGGTAGAGGTACGAGTACTTTGCACGCAACACAACCCTGTTAGTACCGTGTTACGTACAGTCCGTTCTAATTTCTCACTTTTGTTGTTGCAGTTCGTAGCTGCAGCGAAGAAAGCTTCGAAGCAAGACAAGATTCGAAACGAACTCATGACTTTACCTGATATGGCTCGTATAAAGATCCGAGTCAGTGCTGGTGTTTTCGAGGTTTCTTTGGTCCGTGTGATTGAAGAGACCGGTTCTGTGGAGGTCCTATGGGATCGTGGCTCGAAGAGGGAGTTCAAATGGGGCAGTGTAGTCTTCGGAAATACCGACGGCCCTGTTGTGCAAAAGCCTTCTGAAGCTGCACCTGAGCCCCGTAAGTAACGGCACGCCCTGCTTCTGCATTGGGTCGCTCATAGCATCTTTTCGTAGCAGCACCAACAATAAATACTGAAGCCTCGACCAGTCAAAATACCAAGTCTCCAGTGCCTACAGCTCAATATGGATCTACCGCTCCGCCTAACTACAGTGCCAATCCATATGCATATTGGGGATATCAGGTCCCAGGTCAGCAGTCAGGTGCATCAGCCTATCCGTATCAGGGTTATTATACTACAGCAGCCCAGTTCTATCCCTACACCGCCCCTCAGCCGAAAGGATATTCAGGCAAGCTGCAATGGCAGCAGCCATACCAAGGTCCGCCTAATGGTGGTTACTTTTACCCCAGTGCTCAATACCAGACGCAGACGAGCGCCACGAGCAACTTGAAGATAGCCACAGCCACATCTCCCCCTCCCCCTCCACCGCCACCGCCACCGCCACCCCAAACAAAGAACTCGACGGATGCGTCACCACCGACCAATCCTCCGACGGTTACACCGACGCCCGTATCACATACGGTGACTCTGCCCAGTGATTTAGCAGCGCTAGTGACCATGCAGCCCGAACAACTAACAGCGGTGTTCCGCGATCAGCCGCAGCTAAGAGATATGGTTTTAGCAGCGGTTGAGAGCGCGAAACGGGAGTGCCCAGCGTAGATTATTATATCATTATGTTAAGTTTTAAGGCTTGTACTTTTATTGTTATTTCAAGCACTTATGTTGTATAATACACAAGTTAGGTCAAGGCTTGAGGGTTTGGAACGTTGAATTTATTTCAGAAGACAGTGGAAGGTAGTCAGAAAGCCCCTATCGCAGTATTGTTACTGTCACAGACGCGACTTGTCACACCCAGAAAGTGAAATCACTCGTTAGCGACCACCTTCTCCACGGATTGCAGCGCTATTTTCACTACCTCTCATTGTTCACACTGGATACCGCGTCTTTGATGTGGTATTAATTTTTGTCAGTTAGGATCTCTGAGGCGCAAGTGTTGACCGTCAGTATGTGGACTATCGTTGGACCGTTCGATGGTGAAACCGGAGAAGTCAACTTTGCCAGTAGGCCAGGCTGTTCTCCGCTCGTGGTATGCACATCTGATTGGATATACAGAATCTAAGCTGCTAAAGCCTGGGTCAACGTACGGTTTGGGAAGGAAAGGCCAGCCGCTGTTAATTAACAGCAAAAAGATATCACATCACCATTGTGAACTCATTATAGGAGAGAGTAAGGTGGACGATGTGGTGCGCCGACTGTCTATTTCCTAGAGTTTATGCTCAAAACTTAGCTCAGTCTGATCCGCATTCAAAGCCGAATGTTCAACTAGTAAATAAGAAAGACAAGATGTTCAAGGTTGAGAGGAACGGAGTTCCTTTCCCTGCCAATTCAGCTGCAGTCGTAGAGCTACAGGACGGTGACATACTTCAGTTGGTGTCTGCAGTATCTGCGAGGTGCGTCCCTAAATGAGCTAGTGCGTTCTATGACTCAAACTTCATTAGCGTAAGATGGTTGCCTGTGTGTGTCTATTTGTCGCTGACGCGAGGGAAAGCGTCCACATCTCTGGAGTCTTGTGCAGTACTAGGTGAGATTTGCTGCCTACCTGCCGCGTGAGTTCCCTAAGACGTGTTTAGGCATCAAAGTGGTCCACACACCGAACCCTAATGTCACACACCATATCACCTCCACACTCTCAGCAACAGCATCAATTGCCGCATCACTCATATCTGCATGCCAAATCGTCAAACCGGAATGGCTTAGTGAGGTGCTCAGGCTTGGAAGTCTACCGGACGATGATCCTTCGTCGCTTGAGAGCCATTTCAAGATGCCTCTTGCCTCCAAATACCGTCCCACTTTTTCACCTGAACTTCTGGAGAAAGACAAGACAGCGGACGTATGGAACCCTAATGAAGAACGGCTCCACATTTTCAAGGACTACCGGTTCATGTGCATCAGTGAAAAGTCCAGAGAGATTGATAATGAGCTACGTGGACTTCTCGAACGCGGCGACGGGGCAATTGAAACTTTCAATATACAAGATGGCGGTGCAAAGTGGCGGAAAGCATTATCTCGCGGACGTGCAAAGGAGAACGTGAAGATGGTTGCTATTGCATCGCAGGATGCCATGGTGGCCGCCGTTGGGCCCGAGAGTTGGCGGGAGCTACTAGAAATTGCTCGGGAGTGCGTAATATCCTTAGGTTCCTGATTGAAACTTACGGATCTCCCATTAGGTTTGAAGTACGTGTACTCGAACCCCAGGACATTGTTCAGACCGTGTTGGATGTGAATGTGTCAATATTTACTCAAGGATCAACCGACATAGGTAAGTATAGAGTCGTTGACCGAATATGATGCCTGATGTCTACTAGAATCTTCCCTTCCACACGTCATTCCCAATTCTATACCAGATGAGCCATCTGCTCCACCTCCCGAGCTAGAATCAGCTGTTCCATCTCGCAAGAAGCTGATCAGACGAGCAGTCTCTCACCAAGGGTCCCAAGAGCCTGCCAGTATACCGGATCTGAACCCAGAGGAAACTCTGCCTCCGCGGCGTGTATGTTTAGTAAACCTGTCTATGTACTATGAGCTGATTTGTGTATCAAGAAACTAACGAGAAGAACAGGGTCCCAACAACCGGAAGACACTCCAGTTTCGCTGATGCTTCCTCCGGAAGGTGCACTGCCTCCAAGGCGGGTAGGTCGAATTTCGCTGGAAACTGTATTCCTTTGTTGAGCGGGCCAATACAGACTTTGACAAGACGTGCTAACGCAGGACTACCAATTATCAGTGGATTGAATGATAATTCGATATTGATCAACTCGTTAACTACTTCGGCACCAGCAACCCCGGCCGAGTCTACGGCTGAAAGTTCTGTAAGTTGGCAGTTACCTATAAACATCCCAGAACATAGATCCCTTTCTCTAGATTCCCCTGCAACGTTCTAAGAAACTTAAACGTCGCCTCGACACAACAGATACTATCGAGTCGCAATTGGCCACCATAGGCAGGATTGAAGTCCCTGAAGAGCCCGCATACAAAAAGCATAAAGCTTTATTCGATGCGAGCGATCCAGAAAAGGCTGGAATAACATTTGACGGGACGAACTTCAGTGGCTTCCAGAGCAGTGCTGCCAGTCAAACGCAGAATCAGTCTGAAACACTGGGTTCCCGGAGTTCCAGAAGCGGTGCTCTTCATCCGGTCCGTGAGGAAGAGGAGGAGACTCAGCAGTCCGTACCCGAAGGTAGCAGAGGGCAAAAAAGAAAGACTTTTTCAGAAGATGTTGAAATGGCTGATGTTGAGGAGGTTCTCGCACCTACACCGGAGACCGAAGCACCTCCGGCTAAGAAGCGAGCCGTAGACAATGACAATGCTGTTCACCGTCTGCCGACAACAACTATCCAGGCTGAGGATCGGACCAGACCGAAGCCGCCTTCTACCGTTCAACCAACGAAGTCCAAATCCGGTGCTTCTCCAGGTAAGCCGGATACGGACGATGCTTTCTTGAAGGCAATCGCCTCTACAAAACGTGGGAAGAAAAATGAGGACGAATTTGATCGAGAGTTCAACAAGCTCAAGATTTCCAAACCCGAATTGAATAAAGAGAACCCGGAGGATGAGTGGAAGGTCTTGGAACAGTTTGGCGACGATAATAGGGTTAGAGGGAACTTCATGGTTGTCGTCCCGATGGAGGTGCATGGCAAACATGGGGGAAGGACGAGACAGACGGAAACAAATGCGGAATGGCAAGGCAAGCCCAATTTCAAGAAATTCAACAAGGTAGGGTATCTTTATCATTTGAGATTTGATGGCTAATGTGTCGTGGCCATGCAGAAGGTAACAAGCCGGGTGCGCTCGAAGCTCGTTGACCTTGTCATTAGTGATGAGAGTACTATGGCTCCGGCGACGGGTAAGCAACAGTGACCCCTTGTTCTTAAACCAATAGTCATGTGGTTCTACAGCGTTCTCTCAAATCTCAGCAGATTATCAGCAGAGAGAAGAGCCCATTGACATCGATTCACCCGAACCGCCAAAACGTACAAAGAGTCAAAAGATTCTTATCAACGACTCGGATTCGAATAATGATCACCCTCCGCCCGTTGTCCAGAAGACCAAGAATAAGCCACCCTCTCGAGCAGGGAGTGTTGTCCCCAAGAAAAGAGCAGCATCGCGGAGGCCTAGCACTCCTCCTTTGTTTTTGGAGGACTCGGAGGATGAGGGCATGCAGCAAGATTTAGCGGCGGATGACGACGACGTACAGACACTGCAATCCAGCGCGCCTTCACGTAAGGGTACCCAAACAAGAAGGGGGACGGCCAAAAAGGCCGCACTGAAGGTCGATGATGATTCTGATTCTGATGCGGTGTTTAAGCCTGTGAAGACCAGGAAAAGGAAGTGACAGTTTGCTTCATTATTGGATAGATGGTGTACCTATGATTGGTCTACGTACGTGTTTCCCCCATGTGTTTAATGTACTAGTTATATCGTTGAGGGTGCTGATCTTGCAAATCTCAATGACCCTGGAAAGGTAAGTTGGAGAATTTGGCGATGGAAGATTTGTTGAAATGTCGAGCGCCCTAAGTTTGACGCTGATTGTACTGCAGAGGATCCACTTGATGATCCATTCGTTGGTAAGTAACTGTATTCGGTTTCGCAGAGTTACTGACCATGAACTTAATCAGGCCCACTCAATCTAAGGCATGTAATTACGAAATTTGACCGCGGATCGAGTTTCTTCGTAACTGGTTCCGTTTAATGGCAACGCCCGTGATACGCACTAGTTCAAGGAAAGCGACGGAGCACACTTTAGCGGTGTCTTATCGGCCAAAATGAAATAAGAGCTACGGCGCGGTTCGCTCCGCTTCTACCTATATCTGTTTCAGCCTTCTCTTTTTATTTCCGTGTATTGGAGGCGTAGATCATCTGATACCTCAAAACTTATTGGTATCATCGCGCATCATCTATCTGTCTAGCAAAACTTCCCCGGATGGACCTAAGGTGAATTTCGATGATCCACTTGGTCTTTTGATTTCGTTTCCTAGCAACAACGAATTGTCCTTCAGGTAAGTACTTGCCGTTGCAGGCTTTCAGCTTCGTTTTTGCACCCCAATGATCAGCTCCTCGTGATACCAATGGCTCGTCCCGACTGCTCGCAGTTACCATCACTTGAAACAAAAAAAAACAACGGGTTGTCATTGGCGGGATTGGGCGGAACAGTTTGAAGGTTTCGCATATCCGGAGATTTGGGTCCGAATCTCCCAGACTCAAGAGGACTAGCTATAGGGATATTAGAGTCTAGGAGATGCTACTCTGATCCTTGGCTTGGCTGATCATGTGGGTTTAGGAAAATATTTGACAAATGGCACCCACGCGGCCACAGAAGCAGCATGGCTCTTCGGCGCTTCAGTGCGGTGTCCTTACTCTTGGTGCTTTCGTTGTTGTCCTGGCATGGTTGCGTAGAAGCCGGTCCTACCGACGACCGTCGATCGGGGGCCGCGGATGAGGATGTAAGCGATTATTTACCCGTGTTATACATCGGACCATGATGATCAAATGGGAGATCAGACGCGAAGCCAAAAGATTTTCTCCGGACGATGTTCCTTCTCCTTGACTATCTCTCTCCGGGAAATTGCCAGTCATGCAGATCAACGTGCGTCTTCGGTACTTGCAACTCTTCTTGATTTCTGACGACCCGTACAGTTAATCCCTGCGTCGCTGGTAGCGAGTTGCATGCTTTTGGTACACTTAAAATGGTTCATCTTGTGGAGTTGGTCCGCTGATATGATGAATAGGTTTACGATTGGGCTTGTACACTAGATCGGGAGGTGCGCCACCTTTTTGTCCTTATTCACGTCTTCACATCAAGTCACCGACAGGTGGATTTCGTCTGGTCACATCCCCTATCGTTTAGTGCCATGCTATTCTTCATAAATCGATATCTACCCTTCGTAGATGCATTTACCTCCATGAGCTGTGCGTCCGGATTTTAACCTCCGGCCCCAGATATTAGCTGACTGTGTGATGTTTGCAGTGTCATTTACCCAGAACTCTCCTGAGGTACGCACACGCGTTTCAGGACGCCCTTGGTGTACAAACTAAGCTACCCGATATGTAGAAATGTATTAAGCATTTCAAAGTCGTCACCTGTAAGCCTCAGCCGGTGTATAGATTGCTTTCCATGTTCCTGATTTGCCGTTATGGTGACGTAGGGTTTACGGTGGTGGGGATTCTTCTTTGTGAGGGTACGTTCCGAGACTTTCAAGGACGAATTTACGGTCTCATCATTTTGACAGTGATTTTGATGCTGCGAACGTATGCTATCTGGGAGCGGAAAAGATCAGTCATGATCGGATTTATTATACTTATCTTGGTATGTTTTATTTCTCCGACATACGATCTTGCACCTTCTTGGACCTAATGGAGCTTTCAAGGTTGTGGCCGTCCCGTCGTTTGTGTTCACGGGTCTAGAACTCAATTCCCTTGTCTGTTCGTACCACCGCCATCAAACTTACACAAGATTGACGGGGTGTCGTTTTCTCCAGATAGAAAAGCGAGCATAGGATGTCATCTGGTACATGCGAGTCCCATCATCATGGGGGCATATCTTCTACTATTATTCTGCGAAACTGGTATGTTGATACTTCAAGGAATAATATTTGATGACTATTCTTTGCAGTCATCGCTGTGCTTATGCTAATAAAGGCGACACGGCATTGTAAGTCAATTCGGCTCTTTCCAATCGAGTTCTTATTTCCGTACAGTACGACCGCCATATTCGCCGTGGGTTGCGAAGTTGTACCGAGATGGTGAGCAGTAATTTTATTAAGAGTGTATAGATTTCAGATCTTGATACTGACGGTCTGTTAGGTTTATTGTTTTACCTGTATCTTCTCGGTCAGCCTTTTCACCTTCATATATCGGTACGTGACTGACTTGCATTGTAGCCCTCTCTTTGGCCAATGTCGTCATCCCAATTTGCATACCGGTGAGTCGACTTCTAGTTTTATTCTTGTAATCTAAACATCTCTTTCATCCAGTCTCTCTCCAATTGGCTCGCAACGTTGGTCTATGCTCCTTTTTCTTCTTTGCTCTTCTTGATGTATATTTGCAGACCCCAGCGTGTCTTCCATTCCATCTTTTGTACTCGAATTTTCCTCTTGATCATGAAACAACGCAGTCCACCAAGGTCACCCATCTTAGATAGCACGGATTTGACGATTTTTATGGCTGATTTCCCGTCTGGCTCTGGAGTGACAGACTCGTCGGCGCTGGCTTCCTCCTCATCAATGCCGGCATGATCATGACCATCACGATTAGTTATTTCTTCATTTGTAGAAGCTGTAATATAGTTATACATTTGTATCTTTATCTACTCTTACCAGCTATGTAGCGCTTTGCTTTGAGCTCTCTATTTGCGATTCCGCAGGATCAGTTGAGGCGGATTCAAGATCGGTCCGGACCGTGTGAAAAGACCCTGATTGGGAAAAGGAGGCATTTCACGGGCGCGAGTGCGGTGACTTTTCACCTTCGACGCCCACCATCCCTGAGCTGGTCGTCGGCGCGCTCGTGTTAGAGACGATCGCTTCCGTAAAGACGAAGAAACGACAACTACAACATCTCCATTTCCGTAACACCCGATTATCGGTTCGAGGACTTATCCGCTCCCACCATGACCATGGCTATCTCGGTGCGGCGGCGGTCGCTGTCGCGCGTTCTTTTCGCCTTCCTTCTGATCTTCTTCGTTCGAGTGCTCTTTTTTTCTACGCCATCGGTACCGACATTGGCGAGACAGGCGAAGGATGTTGAGATACAGGAGCAGGGCTTGTTTGAAGGAACAGGTGGAGGAGACGTATCTACACGAATGCGCTCGATGCTAATTGGGCTGTTTAGGAACTAATTTGGACGTACAAAGTCATACATGGCTTCAATCGAGGATGGGAAGAGATGAGCGACAAGACATCTTCAGCGGTGTGGTCAGAGACGGTGTAGATGATTATTGGGAACGGTGGCAGGTGCCCTAGTGAGCAAATTGTCATTTACCGTGTGGACAGCCACTCAAATTATTTCGGTAGTATGATCAGCAAGGAAACGTCCAATATGGATGCACAACACGTCCGTTCTGCTATTGACCAGCTCCTCTCGCTCAATGGATGGGTCGCTGCTTTGTGTCCAACTCTGGCGCGGCCATTCGGACAGAACAGTAAAACAGATACCTATGAGGATTTGGTCTCTGACGGAGCTCGGGAACGGTACTATTTCATCGCAATTGTCATCCACAGTGCGGATCATTTTTTAGTCGACCAGCTTGCGGTGATCGTCCAAATGGCCAAAAGACTTGGGACAGGAAACATTTTCGTGAGCATGTTGGATTACGATAGTAACGACAGTACGGAGACCTTGGTGGACCTGTGTGAGGCGGTCTTGACCCTGCTAGGTGTTCCGTTTAGAATTCGAAGAGTCGGAGGTATGACTGAGGATCCAGCCGCCGCCTACTACCCTTTGGAGGAGGCGTATATGCGGAATTCGGTGCTCGAGCCTTTGTGGGAGTTACGAGACAAAAGAGGGGTGACTTTCGATAGGGTCGTGTGGTTGAAGGGATTTACATGCCCGAATGACATCCTGGAGACCTTGAGGGTCAGTCTCGTCAACCAAGCGGGGATGGTATGTGGTATGGACTGGGCGGAACATGGTGGCGATTTTATTTTCAGCGACAGGTGCAAAATTTTCCTTCATTCTTGGCGTCAAGAGTCGCTGACCCTTTTTTTGCAGATGGCGTACACGAGACATCGAAGGAGATCAATTTCGTCAGAGTAAAAGCTCCAATCGTGCAGAAGCGGGTGTACCTCCAAGAGACGAACAGGGCGCCCAGCGTTATAGTAAACATCTACCGTTCCAGGTCTTTTGTTGCGAAGCAGGCACCCACGTTGTCGATCCTTCCCAGACCTATTACAAGGGCATCCGATACCGCGCTGGATCTGACTTCCACAATCTTAGTCGGACAGATCCTGCGCCTGTTCGTGGTCCTGAGAGTTCATGTTTGGATAGTAGTCAAGCCTATTTCTGCCGGGACTTATGGGTTCGAAGTGCGAGAGAGGGCATGGAGGAAGGCTATTTGGAGAGGGGAGAGGGCTTGCTCGACAAGCAGCGACTACACCGTCGACAAGGTTTTGGTCACAAGCACAAGGAGGCTCAAGCACAACCCGCCGACCCCGACGCAAATGCTGGTAGTGATTATGATGCCATGACGGACGAAGACGAAGATCCAGGTCAGTGGGAAGGTGACAAGCTGGCCATTCCCAACTCGGTGTTTAGGCCTGCCAGGATACTTGCTAATCCTCGTTGCCCGACTACATATGCCGGCGTCAGTCACACCCAGCTTGCTCGAGATTTGTTTGGTGATGATCAGGGCAAGGACAACGGTGAAGGGAAGAGCAGGTATATATTGGAAGATTGGGAAGGTGCACCTGAGAGTTTTGTCTGCCAAGAGCAGAGGACAACGGGTGGTCGCGGGGCACCAAAGACGCAAAGGAGATTAGGGTTCTCGATTCATGATGAGTTGCAGAAACTGTAACATTGATTTTTCAGTGCTTAGCGTTATAGATTATTATGGGATGGATAATACTACTAATGGGAAGTAATATGAATGACGCTGGACGGTTCACTTCTGCGACTTTGTGGCAGCATCCGCAATCTCACTTCTCCATCATGTTGATAACTTGAAGTCTTAAACTACTCAACTCAAAGATGCCAACCTCCGACGCTTAAACAGCAGACCTATCATCGGGGTAAAGCTTTCGTGGCAGTCGATGAGGATAAGAAAAGTCAAGGATGTTTTGTTGCCCATCTCGTGGTGTCTATAAGGTGCTGACTAAGCGAGCGAAAGTTTGTCTCGCTTGCAGTCGGGCAAGTCCAACACCGCCGTTGCCAAAAGTCTCCTACTAAGACCTGCTCGGCAATTGCAGTTTCCTCCGCTTCGGCTGATTGATTCCCTCCTTGGGCGTGGTCTTCCGAGGGATTGAGAAAGTAAATCTTCGGGTTCGGAATCAGATTCTAAATGCCTGTCTGGATCACCGTCAACATTGTTGATCAGTGAAGTCCATTCTCGGAAGGTTCGACTGGCCATTAGACGAAGGGAGTGCTATTGCGCTACAAAAAGTGGTCTAAATATAGTTATATTACGGCATCATTATTTGAAAACATAGGAGGGGTGATATCGAGCCCAAATGCCCCAGACGTTTCAGTGAGATCTCTGCCCTCCCTTTTGTAACTCCGCTCACGTGACACGGTCCGATCTCTCCGGACGCAGGAGGGCAAGATCTCACGAAACGGGTGGGTACGAGACTACCTACTACTCTGTCAGTTGTGACCCAACGTTTTTTATGAACGAGTTCCAATCAGTCTCCCTAGACAAACTTGAAAAGACCAGGCCAGGTGAAGGGCCCGGCGCTGAAAAGAATGCCAGCCCAATGCTTTCTTCGTTCACTGCTTGTCCACTATCTCAGTGCGTAGTCGGTTCTCATCAACGTCTGTGCCGCGACAGAGCACGAACGAGAAGATATATATCAAGATCTACGAAGAGCCTCTTGGACTCCCTGCTGGAGCTGGATATGGGTATTTCCAAGGCAAGCCTGGGGACCAGCCTAGGGCCTAATAGCCGTTTCACTATTCAGGTGAAACTTGGCTTTGGAACCACTTCTAGTGTATGGCTAGCTAAGGATGCGATGTACGTATTGTAGCACTTTATTCTTCTCAGCTTAACAGCTAGTTGCAGAAACAATAACCACGTCGCTCTCAACATATTGAATGGATACGCCTCCCAAATGAACTTTGAACACAAGCTTCGTGAATTAGACGTCTATCAGCGCTTTTGCCTTGCCCCTCCTGGCATACATGACTTCTGCTCTCGAATGATTACTCATTTCACTCACACTGGAATGGATGATGATGGCGAACGCGCTAGAACTGTTTCAGGCTGTAAATAGCGTCATGCACTTAGTCCCTGCTCATGAATTCCTTCCCATTCATATCGTCAAGCGTATTCTTCGCCATACCCTCAAAGGACTCGAAGCCTCACATCATCATGGAATCGTACACACAGGTGGTCATCTTCAACTCGTCTTTTGTCTTGATAATCATAAATACTATTCGTTTCAATCAGATCTCAAGCCCGACAACATAAGAGTACCATTTGACGACAAGTTCACGGCAGAGATTTTGGACGAGTGGGTCCGAGCGCACCCGCCACGGATTTATCCCCCAACAAAAAGTCTTGACAAAATGGCTACAACTTATGTTCCGAATGCCTACTGCTACCTTCTATTGAAGAGCTGGCCGGACGCACGTTCAAACTAGCTGATTTTAGTAATGGTGAGACTTCGATACATCTGAACCTTACGTTATCATTTACAAGCGCTCCATAGCTCAACTTTGCGATGACCATACGACAGACCACATTACGCCTCTAGGACTTCGCCCTCCTGAGATCATGCTAGGCGGACCTTGGGACGAAACAGTCGATATCTGGACTTTTGGATGCATCGTATGTACTGAGTTCCTTCACGATCAACCATAGTTCGTTTATCCTTTTACTAGGTGTTCACTCTTTTAACACGGCTCTCCTTGTTATACACCGGTGTCGAACCCCGCTTTCGCTACCTGTATCCCGCCGGAACTGACTTTTCTGACCCCGACGTGCAGCACATTCACGTATTATTCCAGACCGCGTATTTCACACAGCAGATTTTCCCTCCCGCCCTGTTGGAGATATATCCTCATTCCGCGAGGTAATTTAACGAGCAAAGTGTGTTTTCTTGCTCATTTATTTGTGTCGCTCTGCTCGAATTATGATGATGCAGACTCGCTTAAACTGGTCGATCTTTCGCTCCTGCCTTATAGCCAGTGGCCCCTCCTTGGGATCTTGGCCAGTATAAGGACAAGTTCTCCGCTCAAAGGTTCCGATGTAGAGGGGGCGGTGAAACTTATACTGCAATGTTTGAAGTTGTACCCGACTGAGCGGCCCTCGGCGAGAGAGCTCTTATCGGATCCTTGGCTCTTGGAGGATGAATAGATGGCATCTGCCACCTGTCTGCTACACAGCGCTTTTAACAGCATTTACTATCGATGACTACCATATAATTATCTATTTTCCACTCAACTAGATATTTTCATTTGATCTCGTATCGGTATCTTGCTTCCAGCGGCAAGCGCACAGCATCTCTTACTCAGTGCTCGAATTTTTATTCTTTGCTTGGCCCCACCCACAAACAATAGTTTTGTTTATTCCCATTCCTCTGATCTTGATGCCTCTCCAAATATTATGCGCTCTCTGAAGGCTCTAGGCTATCGCTAACTCGCTCCTTACGCTTCGACAGCTGCCAACATCCGGTCAATGATGTTTCTCACTCGCATATTGGGGAATCACGAACCGCGACATATAACGCTGCTGTTACAATGATCACGATACCTACCACCGACCACGCGTCGGGAGTGAAATCAAAGAAAACACGTTCAAGAACAGTAGCAAAGACGATCTTGGAAAAGGCGTTTGTATTTGATGAAAAATTACAACGTAAAAACACGTACTTGGGTGTAAACAGCTGTCGTTCCCCTTCCAGCTGTTTCGCGCTGGAGGCCCATGGTGATAAGGAGCTAGGCGAGAACATGTGGTTAGATTATTCTGTGTGATGGTACACCCACCTGCCCAAAAAATCCAGTAATCCCCAATGTCAGAAAGAGAGCGATCCATTTCCAATTGGCGGAGAAGACAAGTGGAGTACCCGTTATTGCTATTCTGCGCGAGAATTGAGATTGCGGGAATCATTGGGTGGAGTTTTTATTTACCCAATGCTGGATGCAATGACCGACTGCAATGAAAATGAGGCTAAGGAATGAAGGGCGTGGGCTCGGGAACCGATGGCACGAATAGTTGTAACTTTGGGATACGTGAGGACACGATAACGTCAAGGACAAATTGGTAGGGACTCACAAGCGGCTGTGGTTCCAAGTACGCCGATTAGAGCGACGCTAGGTCATGTCATCCGGGCGTAAGAATAACGAATCGTTAAGTGAATCCTACTGACACATACCCAACTGCAAGCAAACGACGTTTGGGATCTCTGGATTCATCTACCGGTGAGTCCCCGAACAGAAATTCCGGCTGCGCGATGCAGGGGACACCGGAGATGCTGAACACTGCTCTTGTTAAAAAGTCAAACTTACAAGTAACTTGGAAACATACGTCCAGCTATGATCTGCCCCACAGATACCGTTTCCCCAAGAAATACCGCGCCCGCTATGGCGGTTGTAGTCGGCATCAGAAAGGTGAGGACCGTAGCTTCTGAGAGGGAAAGGTACTTGAGGGAATAGTACACCCCGCAGATACCGACGAAACTGAGACGAGACATGACGACGCATTAGAATGCATAGGAAAGAAAGCGGGCCTTCGTACCCGCATATCCCACGAAACACGAGAAGCGTGCGAGCTCCGTGGGGTCCTCTGAAAGGCTCAGGAATTCCTGCACATAGCATGTATATCACAGCGCCGAGGTAGGTTATACTCTAGAAGCAGGTTCTTTTGATAACGGACTCAGGATAAGCGAATGAGCGTACCATATGGATCGCGATTAACTATAGAAAGTTGATTAGGCAGGAATAGTAAAGGCAACTGAAAGCTCACCTGGAAAGTTGGCACTGAGTCATCCAGTCTGTTTAGTTCCTTCACGCAGACATTTCCTATGGAAAAGATGAAAGAAGCAGCTGCAATAAGCAGGAAGCCTGTGTTCCTTTGGTACGCGTCTTTCAGAGAGGATCGCCAGTTGCGTAGAACGGTTTTCGGAAGCAGAGGAGCATTTTCGCCTTGAACTTCGACGGTCATGGCTTCAAGTTTGCAGATGAAGGCTCAAGTTATTGTTGTCGCGGAAGGACATTAAGTATATTGATGGTGCGAAAGATAACCGGCATTGCGTCACCATTATCTTTTCGTGTGCGCGGATATGGTGCCTAACTTTGTAATTCCAGTCGAGTTGGTAAGTATTCAGTCAGAAGATTTCGGGGGCAGAGTACGTTCAGGGAGGCATCCACAGAGAGCGCTCAGTCGAGATTGGTTCAAGTGCCAGTGAAGTTAACGGCTCGTCTGCTCGCTGAGGTGACAGCGACGTGCAATATACTGAACAGGAAAGGTGTTGTACATCTGGATAGATGCTGAAATAGCGTCAATTGCCAGTTCCATCGACGGGGGAAAAACTGTGAAGATCCCTTGAGGCGTCCATCTTGCATCATATCAACGGCTTTGAGGACAGTACTGGTCAGGAGTCCAAAGACGATTATCCACCTGGTGTGCTTTGGCAACAAGGTCGCGTCATTTGTGCGTTCACGGAAAGAATTCTCACCCTGATAAACTGAGAACTCAACACTGTTTTGTCTGGCATACATCCCCTTACATCCCTGGTCAGCCACTCAAAATTCCGTGCAGTGATGAAGGTAGGGATAGGAATGTGCTCACCGCTTGAAATGCCTCGTGGACAGGCTCAGATGATATCCAACTCTGTAGATAGATGAAGTAAAGAAGGAGAAGATTCCCAGGACAACCAATACAAAACTCTGTTACGCGTTTGAGATCACTGTGGGTCAGGAAAGGATCCTCGGGAGTTCAAAGACCCATTGCATTTGCTTCATAAGAAAAGAGTTACGACATTCACGTATCCTGAACCAAATGCATGCAAAGGGTGATGAACAAGTTGAACTTTTATACGATTTCATGAACCGATTGAGGATGTATTCACCCGTGAAAGTTTTGAAACTGGGAGTATTTTGGCTGAAAAAGCGCCAATCATCAGTGGTTCTCAGAAAGAATTCATTCATAGCACACAGTGACTCAGAAAATACAAGAAACTACGTGCTATACCAGCAAGGACTGAACAGGATGTGTTCAGTCCAGGTTCTATAGACAATTGGAGACATCATGGAAAAGAAAGCCGCATGGTAGTAAAGGACGGGAAAAAGCGAAGGCGTGGGAACATCCTCCCCACCGTGGACGAATTCTTCCTATTCTTTCACTCCCACCTTTGTTACGCGACTGATGATGGATGACCTGGAATCCTCTACCCAATTAATCACCGGACCTCCGCCCGACTTTGCCTCGCCAAACCAACAATTCTGACGCTTCCTAGTTTTCTTCATACCTCTCTCTAAAACATGCTTTCTTCTCAACCTCGCTTGCCGTTTTCCTTGAGCCATGGCTGGCCCATCTCCACCTGAACAGGAGCTTCCTGGACAGAGCAGAGAAAAGCAATGGTCCGCGCAAGCCGAGATTAGCCTGTCGTGGGTATTCAGATGATCAATCTTCTCACCGCCATCTCTCGACAACAGTCATGGACAACCCATACCTTGCTCATCTACCCCCTTCTCAGCGTGGCTCCGGTTCGTCTAAGGCTAAAATTGATACCTCGGGAGACCCGCTATTTGGCTTTCTGCCGAGGAAAGTCACCGGTAAACAGGCGCGTCAGGCTCTGGTACGTTTTCTTCCTCGCAGAGTCCAAAGCTTTATCTGACAATATACCCAGGAACATGATATCAATCCATTCACAAAGCAGCCACATTCGGCCCAGTACAAGAGAATCCTTGCCTCGCGAGAAAAGCTACCCGTGTATTCGCAGATGGATGACTTTTTCAAGATGGTGATTCGTATGCGCGTTGTATTTGAGGAGGTGTTTGGGTTCTGTTGCCCTTAGAAACAGGCCGACCCCTCTTCAGATGGCGCCCTCCTCTTCAAGTAATCATTCAGCTGATGCTTGCAATAGTTCAATGAGAATCAGATCATTGTAATAGTTGGTGAGACCGGAGCAGGAAAAACGACGCAGTATGTGCTGCACATTTCCTTCTTATCAGACCAGCACTCACTGTTAATCAAAGAATACCTCAATTCGTTGCGTATTCGGATCTACCGCATACAAATGGCAAGCTCGTAGCATGTACCCAACCTCGTCGTGTTGCAGCGATGTCGGTAGCAAAACGGGTGGCGGATGAAATAGATGGTGAGTACTGTTAACGTACTTGGACCCAGAAAGCTTACCTTGTTTTTAGTCCAGCTTGGTCGACACGTCGGTTATTCGATTCGATTCGAAGACATGACAGAGCCTGGTACAACTTTCCTTAAATACATGACCGACGGTATGCTTCTCCGGGAAGCAATGAACGATCCGAACCTCGAGCGATATTCCACTATCATCTTAGATGAGGTGCACGAGCGGACTCTTGCCACTGACATCCTCATGGGTCTCCTGAAAGACCTCGCAAAACGCCGGTCCGACCTCAAGATCATCATAATGTCCGCAACTCTTGATGCTCTCAAATTCCAAAAATACTTTGGTCTTATCGCTGGTACACCAGCGCCTCTATTCAAAGTACCCGGCCGCACACATCCTGTGGAGGTGTTCTACACTCAAGACCCCGAGCCCGATTACGAGGAAGCTGCTATCCGAACTGTCCTTATGATCCATCGAGCCGAAGAGCCTGGTGACATCTTACTCTTTCTCACCGGTGAAAATGAAATAGAGGATACATGCCGAAAAATCAAGCTCGAAGCGGACGATCTGGTAAACCGGAACCCAGACTCCGTCGGCTCCCTAGTTTGCATACCTCTCTATTCTTCCCTATCCTCTCAACAGCAACAGCGCATCTTCGACCCCGCACCAACTCCTCGAACACCCGACGGTCCCCCAGGCCGAAAGGTCGTTGTCTCTACTAATATTGCCGAGTCGTCCTTGACAATAGACGGAATCGTATATGTCGTTGATTCCGGCTTCTCCAAACAGAAAGTCTACAACCCTCGGATACGAGTTGAAAGTTTGCTCGTAAGCCCTATATCTAAGGCCTCCGCCCGACAAAGGGCAGGTCGTGCGGGTCGTACGAGACCAGGGAAGTGCTTCCGACTTTATACGGAGAAGGACTTCATGAATGAGCTCGAAGAGCAAACCCATCCGGAGATTTTGAGGTGTAATTTGAGCAATACTGTCTTGGAGCTTGTCAAATTGGGTATCAAGGTAAGAATCTCACACACCACACACAATTACAAGCACCTATTAATTGGTTCCAGGATCTTGTACGTTTTGACTACATTGATGCTCCAGCTCCCGAGACGTTGATGCGAGCTTTGGAGTTACTGAACTTCCTCTCTGCGTTGGATGACGACGGTAACCTAACGGCACTGGGTAGTGTGATGGCAGAGTTCCCGCTCGATCCTCAGGTGCGCCTGAAGCTCCCTTGGCAGATGTATCTTTGATTAACACCTTTGATTTAGCTCGCAAAAATGCTTATCGTCAGCCCGGAATTCAAGTGCAGTAATGAAATCCTTACTATCACCGCTATGCTTTCCGGTTAGCGTTCCCGTTCCCTACCTATTTACCACTCAACTAACGATACCTATTAGTACCGAACGTATGGATACGACCGCCAAATGCACGTAATCAAGCCGATGCAGCGAAAGCCCGACTCACTGTCCCCGATGGCGACCATCTTACCATGTTGAATGTCTATAATCAATATGTTCAAAGTATGTTCACGTCTACTTTGCGGCCCAAAACAAGATGCTCACACAACCTCACAGATAAGTATGACAAGACCTGGCTGTACAACCACTTCCTCTCTGCTCGAGCTCTCGCCCAGGCGGACAACGTCCGTGCACAGTTAGAGCGAATCATGGCCAAATACGAGGTAGAACTGCTTTCACTCTCAGACGAGAAGAAACTGTACCAGAACATTCGTCAAGTGCTTATTTGTGGGTTCTTCATGCAAGTAGCGCATAAAGAGGGAGAAAAGGGAAATTATCTTACGGTGAAGGATGACCAGGTTTGTAATGTTTTCTACCTGTCTTCAAGGCCTCGATTGATGGCACACGTAGGTCGTGGCACTTCACCCGTCCTGTGGCCTTAACACTCAACCAGAATGGGTCATCTTCAATGAATTTGTGTTGACGAAGAGACCTTACATTCGTACGGTATCCGAGGTTCGCCCTGAATGGTACGTTTGACTCTTCTGCTTTGATCTTCTTGGACTGATCACGGTCGTCTTTCTAGGCTATTAGAGTTTGCAACAAATTACTTTGACCTATCAACATTTAGCGATGGCGAGACCAAGCGGGCGTTGCAACGTGTGGTGAATAAGAAAGCAGGCAAGGTCGGAAAGAGGAGTGACGACACGAAAGAACGAAGGCAAAAAGAATTGATTTCTCTCTTCAGTTGATGATCATGTTCGCGATACTGTCTTGCTACTTTTTGGTGACTCACTTATAATTAGTGTTAGACCTGGATAGTGTCATCCTTGTCTATAACCCTGGTACTGGGATCTTTCCCTAGAATGTATCCTTGTGATCGTTTTGCTCTTTGAAAAGAGTCCGGGCAGCCCGCAAGCGATGGAAGTCAGTTCACATGGGCCTTCAAGCTTCAACGTTCAATATTCAATTCAGTTCGGTCTGACGCTACCACAAAACCATGCATGTGTGATGCAAGAAAGCCTTCTCATATTTCCGATGAAACTCTTGTCAATTGTCTTCGCTACCTTAACTCACGCTGGCTATGTGGTTCAGCGAGGTGCCGTGGGCCATGCAAGCAACGACGCTTCCGATTATCCTTGTGATCCTGTCTGCTTTTGATCGACGCGGGCAAGGCGGAACAATCATGTTAAACGATGAAATTTATCACATCGAGTCGGTGATGGATGAATACCACTGGACTTTGGGATGTCTTAGTCGATCTGAACGACACCATGCTTGTCAGTGCTTCCATTGATTTGAGTATAAAGTCGGTTGGTTGGCGACAACCCTAACATTTGGGGAACGAATATCCTGTATTACTACCAGAAGATGACTATGTTGAAGGTTTTGCTGCAGATTCTATTCAGATATGGGAGTATTTTGGCTGAAAATGCGCCAATCGCCAGTGGTTCTGTAGAAAGAATTCGTTCATGAGCACACAGTGACTCAGAAAATACAAGAAACTACGTACTATACCAACAAGGAGTGAACAGGATATGTTCGACGGCGCTTCCATAGACAATTGAAGACATCATGCAAAAGAAAGCCGCTAACACTACCAGATGCTACAAGTAGGGTCACTGTGTTCACTCCAGCAACTCGTGTGCCACATTAGTACGTCAACCTTAGCTTACTGGATGGCGGTTATGATCATGCCGGAGACGATCCTAGCAACGTTGAACTTGAAGTCTATACGGGAAAAGCGAAGGCGTGAGAACATCATCCCAATTGTGGACGAATTCTTCGCATCCTTTCAATTCCTTTTACTCCCACCTTTGTTACGCGACTGATGATGATGACCTGGAATCCTCTCTCCAATTGATCACTGGATCTCCCCTCGACTTTGCCTCGCCAGTTCAAAACTTCCTGGTTTTCTTCATGCTTTTTTCTCAACCTCGCTTGCCGTATTCCTTAAGCCATGGCAGGCCTGTCCACCCGCTTCATCTGAACAGGAGCTTCCTGGACAGAACAGAGAAAAGCAGTGGTCCGCGCAAGCCGAGATTAGCCTGTCGTGGGTATTCAGATGACTAATCTTATCGCCATCTCTCGACAACAGTCATGGACAACCCATACCTTGCTCATCTACCCCCTTCTCAGCGTGGCTCCGGTTCGTCTAAGGCTAAAATTGATACCTCGGGAGACCCGCTATTTGGCTTTCTGCCGAGGAAAGTCACCGGTAAACAGGCGCGTCAGGCTCTGGTACGTTTTCTTCCTCGCAGAGTCCAAAGCTTTATCTGACAATATACCCAGGAACATGATATCAATCCATTCACAAAGCAGCCACATTCGGCCCAGTACAAGAGAATCCTTGCCTCGCGAGAAAAGCTACCCGTGTATTCGCAGATGGATGACTTTTTCAAGATGGTGATTCGTATGCGCGTTGTATTTGAGGAGGTGTTTGGGTTCTGTTGCCCTTAGAAACAGGCCGACCCCTCTTCAGATGGCGCCCTCCTCTTCAAGTAATCATTCAGCTGATGCTTGCAATAGTTCAATGAGAATCAGATCATTGTAATAGTTGGTGAGACCGGAGCAGGAAAAACGACGCAGTATGTGCTGCACATTTCCTTCTTATCAGACCAGCACTCACTGTTACTCAAAGAATACCTCAATTCGTCGTGTACTCGGATTTACCGCATACAAATGGCAAGCTCGTAGCATGTACCCAACCTAATCGTGTTGCAGCAATGTTGGTGGCAAAGCGGGTGGCGGATGAAATGGATGGTGAGTACCGTTAACATACTTGGACCCAGAAAGCTTACCTTGTTTTTAGTCCAGCTTGGTCGACACGTCGGTTATTCGATTCGATTCGAAGACATGACAGAGCCTGGTATAACGTTCCTCAAATACATGGCCGACGATATGCTTCTCTGGGAAGCAATGAACGATCCGAACCTCGAGCGATATTCCACAATCGTCTTAGACGAGGCGCACGAACGGACGCTCGCCACTGACATCCTCATGGGTCTCCTGAAAGACCTCGCAAAACGCCGGTCCGACCTCAAGATCATCATAATGTCCGCAACTCTTGATGCTCTCAAATTCCAAAAATACTTTGGCCTTACCGCTGGCACACCAGCGCCTCTACTCAAAGTACCCGGCCGCACACATTCTGTAGAGATGTTCTATACTCGAGACCCCGGGTCCGATTACGAGGAAGCTGCTATCCGAACTGTCCTTATGATCCACCGAGCCGAAGAGCCTGGTGACATCTTACTCTTTCTCACCGGTGAAGAGGAAATAGAGGATGCGTGCCGAAAAATCCAGCTTGAAGTGGGCGATCTGGTAAACCAGGACCCAGACTCCGTCGGCCCCCTAGTTTGCATACCCCTCTATTCTTCCCTGCCTCCTCAACAACAACAGCGCATCTTCGACCCTGCACCAACTCCTCGAACACCCAACGGTCCCCCAGGCCGAAAGGTCGTTGTCTCCACCAATATTGCCGAGACGTCCTTGACAATAGACGGAATCGTATACGTCGTTGATCCTGGTTTCTCCAAACAGAAAGTCTACAACCCTCGGATACGAGTTGAAAGTCAGCTCGTAAGCCCTATATCTAAAGCCTCCGCCCAGCAAAGAGCGGGCCGTGCAGGTCGTACGAGGCCAGGGAAGTGCTTCCGGCTTTATACGGAGAAGGACTTCATGAACGAGCTTGAAGACCAAATCCTTCCAGAGATTTTGAGGTGTAATATGAGCAATACTGTCTTGCTACTTGTCAAATTGGGTATCAAGGTAAGAATCTCACGCATCTATACAAGCACATATTAATTGGTTCCAGGATCTTGTACGGTTTGACTACGTGGATACTCCGGCTCCCGAGACGCTGATGCGAGCTTTGGAGTTACTGAACTTCCTCTCGGCGTTGGACGATGACGGTAACCTAACGGCACTGGGTAGTGTGATGGCAGAGTTCCTCCCGCTCGATCCTCAGGTGCGTCTGAAACTCCCTTTGCAGGTGTGTTTATCGCTAACACCTTTGATTTAGCTCGCAAAAGCGCTTATCGTCAGTCCTGAATTCAAGTGCAGTAACGAAATCCTTAGCATCGCCGCTATGCTTTCTAGTTAGCGTTCCCGTTTCCTACCTACCTATCACTCGACTAACAGTAACTATTAGTACCGAACATTTGGATACGACCGCCAAATGCACGTAGCCAAGCCGATGCAGCAAAAGCCCTATTCACTGTCCCCGATGGCGACCATCTTACCATGTTGAATGTCTATAATCAATATGTTCAAAGTATATTCACGTCTACTTTGCGGCCCAAAACAAGATGCTCACACAACCTCACAGATAAGTATGACAAGACCTGGCTGTACAACCACTTCCTCTCTGCTCGAGCTCTCGCCCAGGCGGACAACGTCCGTGCACAGTTAGCGCGAACCATGGCCAAACACGAGGTGGAACTACTTTCGCTCTCAGACGAGAAGAAATTGTACCAGAACATTCGTCAAGTGCTTGTTTGTGGGTTCTTTATGCAAGTAGCGCATAAAGAGGGAGAAAAAGGAAATTATCTCACGGTGAAGGATAACCAGGTTCGTAACGTTTTCTGCTTGCCTTCAAGGCCTCGTGATTGATAGCATATGCAGGTCGTGGCACTTCACCCGTCCTGTGGCCTCGACACTCAACCAGAATGGGTCATCTTCAATGAATTTGTGTTGACGAAGAGACCTTCACATTCGTACGGTATCCGAGGTTCGTCCTGAATGGTACGTTTGGCTCTTCTGCTTTGAGCTTCTTGGGCTGATGACCGTCGTCTTCCTAGGTTATTAGAGTTTGCGACAAACTACTTTGACCTATCAACGTTTACCAATGGCGAGACCAAGCGGGCGTTGCAACGTGTGGTGAATAAGAAAGCAGGCAAGGTCGGAAAGAGGAATGACACTGCAAAGGGAAGACGTGGAAGAACCAAGGCACGCAAAAAGAATTGATTTCTCTCTTCAGTTGATGATTATGTTCGCGATATTGGCTTGCTACTTTCTCGCGACACCCATAATTTGTGTCGGACAGTGCCATCCTTGTCTGTAACCTTGGTACTTGGATGCTTTCTCTAGCATGAGTTCTTGCGATGGCTTTGCTCTTTGAAAAGAATCTTGACAGCCCGCGAGTGATGAACGTCAATTCGCATGGGCCTTCAACGTTTCAATGCGGGGTTTGATGCTACCATAAAACCATGCATATGTTGCAAGAAAACCTTCTCATATTTCCGATGAAACTCTTCTTGTCAATTGTCCTGGCTGCTTTTCACGTGACTACGTGGTTCAGCGAGGTGCCGTGTGCCACGTTCATGCGGGCAACGACTCTTCCGATATATCCCTGTGCTTTTGTCTGCTTTTGATCGATGCAGGCAAGGCGGAACAGTCGTGTTAAATGATGAACTTTACCACATCGAGTCGGTGACGGATGAATACCACTGGACTTTGGGATGTCTTAATCGATCTGGACGGCACCATGCTTGTCAGTGTTTCCATTGATTAGAGTGTGCAGTTAGTGCTGACAACTCTGGGACTCAAATGGGGAACTAATATTACGTATTGGCACTTGAACGGGTTGCCGTTAGAATACCAGAATATGACTACAGTGTGGATGTTCGGAGGGGACAGAATCGTTTTTCGAGGACATGGGGTTGATGGTAATGGACAACTTTGGCGTGTCACTTTGTATGCTGACTCTCGTGATGCATGGCTGAGGGGACTTGCACTTGCAGATACGACGTTACAAGGAGTGTATCAATTTACCAGACCAGCCTAAAACTTTATGATCACGAAAACTATGAATTCGCTCTTTCTGGATTTGTACAGTCCCGGTTCTGAAGACAAAGCACGAGGGTTCCATGAGAGCAATGAGTCCATCCAGAAACTACGGTCCAGACGTCGCAATTTTGGTCGAAGATGAGCAGTGAAGGCGTGGGAAGTTCTCCGTATCGGCTTGTTGCCATACATAGTCAACGTTGGATGTCTTCATCATTGCAACATTGATTCCTGGTCTCAACAACAAGTTCATCATTCTCCACCTTGTTCTCCGAGTGGATGAGTAATCTTTTTGACGCAGAAGGTGGATGAATAAGTGGATGCTGGCTAATCTATTGGTTATCTTTCGTCATCTAGGACTCATATAAGATGCCAATTCACCTTCGATTCACCCATCAAACATGTCGTCCTTGGTTGCTCTCATCCTTGGTGCAGGTCCCAACGTTGGCCACCACGTCGCCAAAGCCCTGCAGTCCCAGAAATACAAAGTCGCCTTGGGCTCTCGCAATCCAGACGTCGATAAGCTCAAGAAGGATGGCTTCTTTCCCGTAAAAGTCGACATCACTCTGCCGGATAGCGTCTCTGCAGCATACAAGACAGTCTCTACCGATCTCGGTACTCCCAATGTGGTGGTATTCAACGGTGCGTCGTAGTCTTCTACGCTTGTCTGACATGAAACCGATTCCTCGTAGCTGCTGTCTGGCGCCGTCCAGAGATCGAAACAGATCCTCTCTCCTTGCCTTTGGAAGACTTCAAACGCACCCTCACTGTATCCACCAGTGTATACAGTGCTGCTCAGGATGTGCTGAAAGGATTCCGGTCCCTCACATCTGGCCCAAAGGCCTTCATCGTAACTGGCAACGCTCTTCCTTTCCTCCCTCACGATTACCTAGCCTTGTATGATCTCCAAACACTGAAAGTGGTGGAGGCTCATCTCTCCGAGGTGTTCTGGAATGCATATATCAAGGAGGGGATAAGGTTCGAGGTCTCGTAATTCCGCTGGCGATTTCCTTGCTTAATTAGTTGACACAGGTTCCATTACGCCCTCTTGGTTTCGCAGGAGGGAACTCTCCCGGCTTATAACGACTTCAAGACAAGCGGGCCTGCCCATGCTACTGCATACTGGGAGCTCATTAGTAGCGAGAAGCCTAAAGGCTGGGACTACAAGTTGCGTTTGAATCATTTCATCTTGGTGCTTTGGTTGACGGGTCTAATAGATTCACACTCGATGGGAAGAAATGGAACAAAACAAACTGAGATTTTGGCAACATGTTGTAACTGTAAATGTATATTATAGATCTTTCTGTCAACTCTTCAACGCTGTCTAACAGTAACAATCATGGGGTTTCGTCTGATGCTCCCGACTACCACCATCGCCACCATGTCTACTTCGTTTCAGAATCTATCTCTCCCCAAGACCTCTGGACTTCACTGCCTCCCGAAATACAGATTGGATTGACTAGTTGCGCAGGACCTGCCCCGTTTCCACTCACAAGCAATACAAGACTTTTACGCTTCTGGATACGGGCCTATCGAAAAACTGCAGCAGCCCTAAATGAACTTCGCGAGACCGTCGAGGTCCCCTTAGGCAGCCCTGCGTCCCGAAAGTACAAGTACATAGGGCGTTGTATCCACGCCGGGGTTCTAAGAAACGCCCAATGGCCTCTCTGCGTCTCCGCATCGTCGATATCAAACCCAACTTTTAGGTCCAGCTGTGGCATAGTGACGTGACATCGTAGACGACCAGCAGTTTCAGCTGGGTTTTATCGATTCTGGCTAGCCATTCCGACCTCCCGGAGATGAATTATTATCGGTTGAGTCGATATGTTAACCATGCCGATATCCAGACGGAAATATATGTCATCCCTGGGGTGTCGTTCGTCGCGTCACTGGCTCTGGAAGGGTGTGGATGTCGCTGTTCCAGATAGTTCTGATTATGTTATTTCTACTGTCGTGGTGGTGCGATTGTGTTTCTTTTGACAGTTCGTACTAATGATTGTTCTTTCACAGTACAGAGTGAATCATCGGCGCATTTCTTTTCTCCTTCGGAGGTCTCCTCATGCTTAGTCGTGTATCAGGATGCTGGAGGAAGTCGTTTCTATCAAATGCAAGGTACATTGATATCACGGCGGCAGAGTCAAAAGTCTCTTCCGAACAGTTCGTGCAATCGCTTGCTGAAGTAACAGGTATGTGCTTGTATTCATTTTTTTGAGTCTGTTTTTTCACTAATAAGTTAATAGCGACCTGAAAAGAAGCGTATCGGCTTCACTCAAGATCCGTAGCGTGCCAAGGAGAAGGAGGCGTTTGGTGTAACGAGATTTTAGGAGAAAAAGGTACCGGTCAGTCGCACCACCAAGGCGTTGAAGAATCGCTTCCAGAAAACAGACCGCTTAGGGCTCTTCCCTTGCCACTCCGTTTGACCACGCACCGCAGTCGAAGCTTTTTTCAAAGAGAAGCATGTGGACCTTCGTTCCACAGTGGAGAGGTCGGGGGGAAAATGTCTCCGCGTCATCGGGTGTTTCCGCACGCACAGCGAAGAAGACAACAGGATGGATCGTCCTTGGCATCCGCCAAAGTACTTACCATTATCCAGAATTGGGATTTGAAGTCCCTATCTTGTTGTTTTCTTGTTTCTTTGCCCTTGGTTGTGTGTAAGTCCTCACATTGGATCCTAGTATTGGTGATTGTACTAACACTGCAAACCATCTAGGCCAGCGGCTGTTTCCATTCGTCGCTTTTCTACTCTTTCCAGAACGACGGCCCTAACGACGGCGAGACGCAGCCCGTGTACTGTGTATAAGTGAACTGAAAGTTTAATGCGCAAGGCTGAAATATCACAAACAGATGCAGAAAATCACTTTCAGAGCCACAGCTAGGAGGCATCTAGCCTGAATGTCACAACTAATTCAAAAGGTGTAGCAATGAGGTCATTCGCGCACCAAAAAGCCGTCGGCATTTACCGCTGTAAGCAAAACGTTTCATGCTTCCGAAGTGTTCTAATTCTCATGCTATTTTGCCTAGCAGAATATAAATAGTCACCACCCAGCTGTGGAAGGTACTCAGGAAGTGCTGACGTCGTCGTGCACGGAGTTGTTCAGTCCGTCGGTTATAAACCGTTTCAGTGCTGGCACAATCCATTAAAAAGACCGGTATCCGCTCTGGGAGGACTACGCACTCTTCGCATTCTCTCCTTCATGGTCACTTTTTCTTATTGTACACATTGATTGAAGCAGAATCGAGTATCGGCGGTGAATAGCAAGTTTTAGCAGGATGCTGTTGCCGGTAAGTCGTGCTTCATCTCACTTCACTCATTTCCTCCTACTACTTCCCTCCTTACAGGCATTCTCGCTGTATTTTGCATCATATTCCTACACTGCGTGCGCGACTTTGCTCCTCTACGATATGCTCCTTCTCCTTCCCACTGAGATTAACTATGTATGGCTTTCCCGACCCTTACGTCCGTGTCTACTGCTGTTCGCGTTGAACCGCTACACACCTTTGATCGATACGGCGATAGCCATCAACTGGCTCCTGCATAAATCCACCCCCGCTCAGTGTCGTCGGTTTTACATAACCGCAAGTCCATTCGTACTCGGCGGGATTTTCACGTCTCAGGTGATTCTCATGATCCGCACCTACGCGATATGGGATAGGCGAAGGGCAATATTCTGGTGTTTCATCGGGACTGGGGTCGTCTGTTTCATACCAGCGGTTGTTTGCATGGCTATAGAACTCAAGACGGTTCATTGTAAGTTGTGTGCCATCCGTATCTCCGAAGCCAGTGAACGCTTAACACGGTCTAATTCATAGTCGTCGTACCGTCGTCCAACCAGCCTGGCTGTTTGAATGAGTCTTCTGCAAACCTCATGGCAGCGGTGTATATCCTTATGCTCGTTACGGATACGATCATTGCTTTGATCACGCTTTTCAAGGGCGTGGAGCACCTTCGTCGGTCGACTCATCCTTTCCTTATGGTGTTTTACGCCTCAGGGATGCTCTTCTACATATGTATCTTCACCATATCCCTTGCCAATATCCTTCTCCCCATATGGGTCCCTAAATCCACAGCCTTTCTTGGTTGCTTCCAGCGGATCTTCCATTCGATTCTGTGCAACCGCGTTATGCTGCTTATCCTCAAGCAGTGTCGACGCCGTCCTACGGAGGAGTTTTGCATGGACAGCATTGAATTGCCTGATACCGCACGGTAGGTCATACCCAACTTGTAACTGAAGTACGCATGTTTATGACTTTATTGTACATAAAAGATTCACTTAGTGGAGTACAATACCTACCGGAAATTGTTGATAGCAATACACCAGCTCAAGCTGAATGCAGTGAGCCACCGCAGAGGCTGGTGCGTTCCTACGGCTAATAATAAGAAACAGGTTTCGTTTTCAGCATAAATTTTATTCCAGTACTCAGATAAGCACCGGGACAGAGAGCCCCAGCAAGTAGCACTACACGAGGTGTTAAATTCATTCCGCCAAGTAAAAATGTATGTGAAGAAACCTTTTCAGCTCGGCAAACTCTATCCGTCCGGATAGCCTTTAGGCTAACATCATCGGGGACCAGGAGTGCTTAGGGCTCCGTTTGATCACGCACCGCAGTTGATGTATTTTTTCGAAGCATGTGGTCCAAACCATCGTTCCACGGTCGGGGAACTTGAAGAATATCTCCGCGTTGCCGCGCACACGGCGATGAAAGCACCGGGCCGACCGTACTTGATAGATATCCATCAAAGAATCATAGTGCAAAGTCGGTAGTTTCTATTTTGTTGGTTTCTTATTTCTCTGCCCTTGGTTGTAAGTCCTCAAAATTATTACTACGGAGATTATACTAACATTGCACATTCTTCTAGGGTAGCGTCTGTTTCCGTTTGTCGCCTTTGTACTCTTTTCCAGAATGCCGACCCTAACGACGGCGAGGAGCAGCGTCGGGTACCTCGTTTTTTTAAGTGAATAGAAGGAACACTGATATTTACTGCCTCAAAGATGAAATAGTTGTGATCAGGTGCAGAAGTGAAGTTCGTGGACGTTCAGAGTTACAGCTGAATAGCGACTATAATTCACCCTGGTTGTCATTATCAATTCAAAAGGCGTTCTGGTGTCGCCTAGCGAAACGCCGACGGCATTTCCCTGCAGGTAAAGCACGCTGTATGCTTCCGAAACGCCTGATCCTGTTTCATCTGGCATATTATATCTAGTCACCACTGAGCTGTGAAAGGTTAGTAGAAGGTACTCAAGAAATGCTGACGTCGTCCACGGAGTTGTTCAGTCCGTCGCTTGTAGCCATCTCAGGGTTGGTCCTTGCGTTAAAAGGACCAATACTCACTATGAGAGGACTACGCATTCAACTTCGCTCTCTCCCCTCCATGCTCACTTTCTTCCGCTGTACGCATTGAAGCGGAATCGAGGATCGGTTAACAGCGAGGTTTTATGCTCGATATTTCAGCGGGATGCTGTTAACGGTAAGTCGCGCTTCACTTCATTTCCCTCGAATTTGTTCAACTACTTTTACTTCCTTCCTTACAGACGTTCTCGCTGTTTTTTACATCTTACTCTCAAACTGCATGTGCGACTGTGCTCATCTACGACATCCTCCTCCTCCTCCCCACTGAGATTAAATATGTATGGCTTCCTCGGCCCTTACATCCGCGTTTATTACTGTTCGCGTTGAACCGCTACTCACCTTTGGTCGATACGGCATTGTCCATCAACTGGCTCCTGCAAACAGCCACCCCCGCTCTGTGTCGCCGGTTCCTCACCACTGTAAGCCCGTTCGTGCTCATTGGGATTTTCACATCGCAGGTGATCCTCATGATCCGCACCTATGCGATGTGGGATAGGCGCAGGACGATATTCTGGTGTTTTGTGGGAATTGGAGTCTTCAGTTTCATACCGGGGACACTTTGCATCGTCATATCACTCAAGACGACACAGTGTAGGTTGCTTGTCATCCGTGCTTCCAGAAAAGAGAGCTTAGCACTTATGATTCACAGTCGTCACATTATCCGGCGAGCCCGGCTGCTTGAATCTGTCTTCCACAAATATCATGGCAGTGGCATATATCCTTATGCTCGTTGCTGATACGATCATTGCTTTGCTCACGCTCCTCAAGGGTGTCGAGCACCTTCGTCGATCATCCCACCCTTTCCTTACAGAGTTATACGCCTCAGGGATGCTGTTCTACGTATGCATCTTCTTCATATCCCTCGCCAATATCCTTGTTCCTGTGTGGGTCCCTGGTCTCACAGCCTCCCTTGGTTGCTTCCAGCGCATTTTCCACTCAGTGCTATGCAACCGCGTTATGCTGCTCATCTTTAAGCAGCGTCGACGCTATCCTACAGGAGGGTCGTACACGGACGGCATCGAACTATCTGATACCACAAGGTGGGTTTGCACCCGACTTGTAACTCAAGTACGCAGATTAATGGCTTTACTGTCCATCAAAGATCCACATAGCAGTGTACAATACCAGAGATAGTTAATATCCATCGGTTCAAGCTGAATGCAGTAGAGGCTGGCGCACTTTTACCACAAAACAAGAAAGAATTCGTTTTCAACGTTTGATACTGAAACGAAGGTCCTTTCAAACCACACAGGTATATTTCATCAGAAGGGAGCTGGCATCCGCGAGATTCCATCACTAGCTGTGATAGTCCCACAAACAAAATTTGTGGTTTCGAAAGGAGCGCAAGCAAGAAAACAAATATGTCATTAGAGCTGCAGCGAGAAAATTACAATCATTCTTCCAATCCAAACCAAGTCCCCAGCAATCCCCAAACCTCCTCCCTTGCCTTTGCACAGACATCGATGAACTCCGCTTTACATGTTCTGCACATTCTCAACCCACACTGCTTCTGCCCGTCTGAAAAATCGTTCCGATCTGGCATACCCATGCCCTGTGCCAGTGTGAAAAGCGGATCGGCGTCGCGTCCACAAGCAATCCCGCCTACAGCTCTCAACAAGTTGAGCGTAATGTAATAGAAAGCCTCGATGCATAAATCCGGGTTTAGGCAATCGGCGGAGGGCGCGCGTCCTTGTATCTCCTCCAAGACGAAACACGCCGTAAACTGTTGTCCGATTTCGCGTCCTCGAAGAGTGCGTCGGAGAAGGTCTGTTGAAAGAGTTATTGTCGAGGAAGGATCAGTTAAAGAAGGACTGCCGGCGACAATCTTGCTCGGACCGTAACGACAGAGATCATAGAATGCAGCAGGTAGAAAATCGGTGATTCCAAGCTCGATGGAAAGGTGGATGATGTGGATGGGGTGACAGGTACGCTCCCGAGGTAGATATCGCCCGTTATCATCGGTAGCTTGTTGTTCTCGATGGTCCCATCCAGCGAGGGTCGTAGGCCAGTCGCGTGTCAACCGCGCCATGCATTGCACACGCAAATGCTCAACAAGGTATTTTATTGACAAGCGAAGCACAGCAGAAAGGCAGGCAAAGTCTTCAGAGGAGGTTTTAATGAAGTATCTGTGCATATAAGTGAGATAGCAGAAGGCGAGATTTCAACTAGACATACAGTCCGTCATAGAGCGCGCCAAGGAAATAAGCAACATCCTGTGACAAGTCGTGCAGCTCGACAAAAGGTGTACCGCAGTAAATGTCGTCGACTCCCGCAGACGGTTGGGGTAATTCGAACAAGCCTTGAAAGATCTCTGAATGGCGTGAAAGCTGGCCTCGATGGACTTTGAAAGCGACGCTGGCCGCAATGAGCACAATGTTTCCGTCTTCGAACCAAAAATCGTCAGAAATAGTAATTGTTGAATGAGCGGACATAATAAAAGAGTGATAGTGGTGGTCGTGATGATAGTTGGAGGCAAGTTCAAGCCTTCAAGGCTACGGCTTTATAGTGGACCGGAAAGTACCGGGCCGTTAATAGTGGCTGTGTCTGGGCAACTTTTCGAGTTCACTGTGCTGTTACCGTCAAGCCTCTTTCAGCTTGTATTTCATTGTTTGTCGTGATGGCCATCGATAACATGTTAACATCAGACGCACGCATGATATCCTCCTTCCCCACAGTCGTACTCTCCCTGACGCCAAATAGTCATGAATGTCGATCTACTGTATCTTCCAACTACTGTCAGTTCTCGGGATGTTACGAAAGAGCTTTCGAAGGTCCTTCATTCGCCAGAATTTCATCGAATCGATAATGGGCGCCTTTTCAACTTCAAGGTGATATTGAACTTGAACGAAAAAATGGGCGTGCGCAATAATGGAACGGGCATGGTACAGCTTCCAACAAAGGAGATCGGAAACAAATTCTACAATTGGGCAAAGGCGACACCCATACGGATACAGGGAAAGAAGATTAGGGTGGGCCGGATACGTGATTTAGCTCCCGAGGATGCTTGGGCCTTGCAACGAACACCTTTCATCGACCCGGCGCTCGATGATGAGTATGAAGACAAGTGCCGACAGTTGCAGGGTCAAATTAGGGTGGATGCCGTTCAGTTTGGCGTACTTCATTATCCATCATACCCAACATCATCACCTAATTCGCCGGCGGCACTGCGCGAGTATTCCGTCGAGTGGGAAAGCGAATGCACTGCATGGTTGACTTTTGAATATGCGTACAAGGCGATTCATATAACTGTGGGTTTCTAATGTCCATGACAAATTTTAATGAAGTGTCTGAAGCAGCAGCTTAGCTTGGGGACGAGATGAAGGAATCCATCTGCAAGTCCATAACTCTCAGCTTCTCCAACATCAACAAACTAGCTGTCGGTTATGACGGGATGCCTTGTCCGTTTGTTACTTACGTTTGCTTGTGTATAGGTACTGATTCTGATACTTTCATTAGACATTTGTTTTGATACGTTTACTCCGCCGGTTTTCGAAACTTTTGGGTTTCATAGATCATTGACCGGCGATGAAAAGAGGGATCGCAAAAGGTACAAGCATCGTATTAGCTCCCTTGATCCAAGACATGCCTTGGTCGCGCAATACGCCCATAAACTGCGATTGCTTCTCTATCCAGCTCCCGGCATTGTTGAGCGCTTTGTCGAGCTTTGCGGAATAGCAGGAATCTCACCGTCTCGCATCGTTCGTTTCATGCCTCCGAGCCATCTGCGCATGGAAGCTTCTAGGCGATGTTTCTTCGAACAAAAGAAAGTATGGAGACTGCGAAAACAGATCGTAGAGTTCAGTTGGCCTGTCGCCTTTCAACTGGAACTCTTGTTACACAACTGTTTACTTCATACAGAGGATTTAGACCACTTGATTCCTCTTGTCAAAGAGACTTGTCTTCGGCGCCCAAGCAAAGACGATGTTCTCACGGGTAATCTGCTGCGAAGCTACTCAGAGGCACTCAGCAATCGTAGTCCTCGTGAGTCGCCTCGAGCCTGCTTCCTTCGCGTCAGACAGCATTTCACTTTCAAGCAGCAGAAGCTGTCTGCAGGCTATTTCTTGTGCTGTCATATCACCGTCGCTCCGACCCGTATGATCCTGGAAGGACCCTATCACACCCAATCCAATCGCATTATTCGCAGATACCCCGGATTCGAGGATCATTTCATTCGCGTCGAGTTTCGCGACGAAAACAGACTTCCATACCGGTGGAATCAAGCTGTAGACATCACACCATTTCTCCTTGAGCGGATAGGCGGGATCTTGAGGGAAGGGTTCGAGCTTGCGGGACGAAAGTTCGAGTTCTTGGCCTACTCGAGTTCTGCATTGAAGGAACACTCAGTGTGGTTTATTAATCCATTCGAATACCAGCATCCCAACACCAAACAGATGGCCTGGATCACAGCCGACAGTATTCGTAATACCATTGGAGATTTCAAAAGCAAACCGATCATGACCATGCCATCCAAATGGGCGGCAAGACTTGGTCAAGCCTTTACTTCGACAAATCCCTCAGTCACCATTCGAAGGGATCAGTGGACTGTAGTGGAGGATTTGGGTTTGAAGCCATATCTGCATACGGATGGCGCGGGTACCATATCAGAGTCTTTGGGTGATGAGATCTGGGAGCGCCTGTGTGAGGGTCGTCGAGATCACGGAGAAAATATGATTAAACCATCGGCGGTAGGTTGCAGTGTCGCTGTGCATGGACTTTGATTAACTCGTTTTAGTATCAAATTCGCTTTTTAGGTTATAAAGGTGTCGTTGCGGTGGACCCGAGACTCGATGATAATCCCATTAGGATGCGACTGAGGCCTAGCATGGGGAAGTTCGAGAATTCACAAGCAACGGAAGCGAACATCGAGATCGCAAGCTATTTCAACAAGCCTATGCGATCGTATCTCAATAGGTAATCTTTTGCACATGTCTTTCGAGTCTGCTGTTGCTTATATTAGACCTGTCCAGGCAATTAGTCGTGATTTTAGAGGACAAACTTGTAAGAAGGGAGGTGTTCCAGGAACTTCAAGATGACGCAGTAGCCAAAGCTTTAACCATCAACGACTCAATGCAACAGTTCTCCAACATCTTGGAAGAGCATTCCTTAGGCAACGTCTACCGGTTGTCTTATATCATTTCCCGACTCTCGGCCCTCCGCTTGGATATCGCTACCCCCGGGATCGATACGCCATTCCTAAAGGAGTTGCGGGAAGTAGGAAAGATACATGTTTTACAAGACATCAAGTATAGGGCCAGAATTCTGGTTCCTGATAGTTATCAACTTATCGGTGTGCCAGATGAGGGTCCTGCCTATGTGAAGGCGGGATGTAAGAACGTGTTCACTCTCAAGAAACGTAACATATACGGTCAGTTGCTGACTGATGTCGTATTAAGCGGTGTCTAATGTTATTTCTAGCTTGTATACAACGCCCCGGCGAAAAGCCTGAGTGGTTTGAGGGCGGGTGTACAGTCTATCGAAATCCTCTGACACATCCTGGGGATGGTAAGCCGGATACCTTTCATCCATCGCGTCGATTGCTATGTTCTCATCATTAATCATAGTTCAGCAAGTGATAGCTGTAAAACCCCCCGAGAATATGTTTTGTGCGTTCGCACATCTTCGAAACGTCATGGTTTTCCCAACCGTTGGTAGGTGCCTAATAGTCAGCTTGAGTCACGATTTTATCTGGGCTTCAGGTGATCGATCCTTTCCCTCGATGTTGGGCGGCGGTGACTTGGACGGGTTGGTCATTTCCTGAATAATCATTAGGTGCTTTTATCCCTGATATGATTGACATTCAGTGATACATTTATCATCATCCCAAATGTCAATTTACAGCCTTCAAGAGTAGATCCTCCTGCGTCGTATCCTCCAGGAGAGGAGTACCGAGCTCGGCATGATGATGGATCACTGAGAGAATGCGACGTCGATGATATCATCAAGTTTGTTGTGGAGTATATCGAATTCGACGTTTTGGTACATATATTCTGCGCATATTTCCCTTTCCCTGCCTTATCTCGTCTTCAGGGCGTCTTGTCTGGTAGACTGATTAGAATAGCAGGTATGGTGCAATGTCTTTGCAACAATACTCAGCTCACAGTTGTTTGCCACGCAGATCAAGTGAAGGTAAATCATCCGTTTTCGTTGGAATACCTCCCAAATTGTTGTAAACAACCCACAGGAAGGCATTTACCACAAGGACTGTGAAACGCTTGCGGCGCTTTGTTCTCAGGCAAGATCTTCAAATTGTTCAGCAGTAAAGGTCTGAACTTTGAGCAGGCCGTGGATTATCCCAAACAAGGAGTGCGTGTAGAGCTCAGAGGTGCTCCCGATAGGCCCAAGAAACCTGACTGGCAGGCTGGTGAAGCCATTGATCCTCGGGTAACGGATTACTACGAGTCGCAGAGGGCCCTGGGATTCATGTACCGCTCTATTAGCTGGAAAAATCCGGAGAAACGTCCCGCGTATACTGCCGATTCAGACTCTCCTTCCCTCTCAACAGACGCATTATCCTTAAAACTTACACCATCCATCGAGCAACATCTCTTCCCGTACACCCCTCCTGATGGATCATCCCACGAAATCACGACTCTCTTCCACCAATATGCCGATGAACTCCGATACATCTGCACCACCCAAGCTCTTGCAAATACAAAGATTTCAGAAGCGGAAGTCGTGGTGGGCACGATGTTAGGTGCACAGGATAAAGCGAGGAGAGATCGGATTTGGCGAATGATCGATCAAGCTTCGCAGGCGGTGAGAGACGTGCGGCAGGGGCTTTTGCCTTATGAGGAAGAGAAGATTGTTACGAAAGAGATGTTCAGGGCAGGCCTGAAGCGTGCATGGTGCGCTTGGGACTTTAGTTTACGCCATTCCAGAGAGTTTGGTGCTCTGAGCTTCGGACTGGTCGCTTTGCGGCAGGTTTTTGAGTGTCTGGAGGGGCTCGACGGTGATGGGCATATGATCCCAACAGAAAGTTACGAGCCTTGAAGATGACCCGTCTCTCAAATACATACACCATAAGCTTCGGTGCGGGTAGCTGTATGACGTGGAATTTCATATAACATCACTATAGTGGCCTTGGGTTTTCGAACAGCAATGGAAGGTATCTAAGATATTCATTGTCTTAGTGCGATTGCAACGACATAGATAAATAGCAGTAAAACTGGACATGAACAGTCGGTAGGTAAGAAGAAATGTTGAAAGTATGTACTTTTGATATGAATTTCCGGAACCATATGTATGCTATGTTATGTACAGCAACCCCCCTACATCTTCCTGATCGCAGCCTTCTAATCATTAATGGATGCCATTCACGCTAACTTGGTTCAAGGCAGCATCCGCCTTCTTCAAATCACCTTCACTCAAACTACGGAACGTGCTCCCACCAGGTGTGCTTGCACCACTCATGACGCTCCCGCTCCTCGATCTTACCTTCATTACCAAGGGGCTAGAATATAAGAAGGATCAGTGAAGAATCACAGTAAGAAAAAACAGGGTAACCCACAATGGATACGAATCGTCTTCGTCGACTCCTCCGGGCCATGCCTGACCCCGGTAGTCACTCGTTTCCAATCGTTGCATCTCCTCCGTCAGGGTCCCAATATCTCCAGGCGTCGCGGTACCCCTCAGTCTCGGACTGGCAGGAACGCTCAAGGGAGGCATCCTTCCGACACCACCACCAAAGTAGTCGTCGTCGTCTTCGAGCTCTCCCTCGCCATAGAACGCATCAGGGTAGGCCCGCCTCAAACCTAGCTGCCGGCTCTTGCTATACTCGATCCCTAGATTCTTCCAATCCAGTAACGGGCTGAGACGCTCTACGCGGTTCCGTTGGTTGATTCGCTGCCGACGTGATTTATTGCAAAAGGTGAACATATGATCTGTCAGTTGGTTCACAGAGTCCTCAACGCTTTGCGACCTCCGGTCAACGATATAACAGCCTTCGTCTTCAGGTCGCTCGATGAGGTCTTGCATGAAACACCCAAAGCCAGAGAGATTAGTAGTGATACTCGGAATGCCCATCTACAAAGTCAGGCGCATAAATAAGTACGGGAACATCCAAGATCATGTCAATAACGTACCACTGTGCACTCTGCTGGTGTATATCCCCACGGCTCATAGTAACTGGGAAACACGCCTAGGTGACATCCCCTCACGAACTCCTCATAGTCTAAGCCCAAAATCGGATTATTCGAGTTCAAAAAGTCGGGATGGAAAACGATCTTGACACGATCATGTGCATGATTGAAAAGTTTGACCCTCCGAATTTGATTGAGAATAGGGATCATTAGCATCATCGGCCATGTTGTGCGTCGTTATAGGTGGAAGAGAGTTGCGTTTGAGTGCAAATATGCGCCGCTTGAGAAGGACGATGTCTTCCGCAGACAAGAGTTCTTCAGAGGTCGGAATCGCCTTGATTTCGCTACAGTGGTCGATCAGCATCGGCTATGATGAGCAGGAAAATACGATACGTACCCATGGGACCGTGCCGCATGGTCAAAAAGCCGCGCGCCAATCCGGTTTTGGATCTCTGTTACAGTGTCTCGCAACTGCTTTGTCACGGCTTGACCCTTCAAGGCTTCAATGGTGTACGAGTTGGTCGCGGCGGGCATGATGATAAAGGCGACGACCGTTACAGACGATCCTGTCTTTTGAAGCCGGTAATTAAGTCCTATATACATTCACTTGAGAGTGCAATCGGAAAAGAAGGATGGAAACGCACGAGCAAGCGACTCGATAAACATATCTACACCCTTATTTCGATACTCGTATCGCCCCGCAGTAAACATCTGTTCAACGTCAAACTGTGAAGTGCTTGAAAGAGATGGCCACTCACGTATAACGTATTATCCAGGTCAAAATCATAATGCCCGTAAAAGTGTCCTCTTACGAACTCGTTGATTTTTGCCTTGGACGTTGAGTGTAGGTTTTGGAACTCGTGCATGGCCTGGAACTTCTTAACGTTGAGACCGTTGGGAACGACGCCGTCCTGGCTTGCGCTTGAGGAGATGCTCTGCTTCGTAGGCGGTGATGTGTGATACTGTCGTGAAGACATCGGCACAATGCGCTGCGCTCCGCTCGATGCAATATCTATGGTAGATTCCACGCTTGCCCGCTTCATGGTCAACGTCAAAGTATTGCAGGTTGTTGTAAAAGTCCACAGAACCAGCACAGAGATACCTCCCGAGCAGCGTCGCATGGGTAGTGAAAATGGTTGTGACGTCGATATGACGCTTGCGACAAAGCGGGATAGCGAGGCCAGCTTGCCATTCGTGGAAGTGTGCCACGACAGCTGTAGTGAGCTGTCTTGAAACGTACTGGGCGGAGAGATCAGTGGGAGTAGCAACCAACAGAAAAAGCACCGCCTACCTCGCCAAAGAACCAGGCGACTAGGTACCCGAATACGATGGTTTCATTCGTCTCGTGGTCGTTGGGAGGTGAGGGTATCCCCGCGAGGTTCCACAGGTCACCTTTCCACTCGTCGAGTCTGCTGTACTGGCTTCCGGTGTCGAAGAGCAGGACTCTGGGCGCGCCCTCGATAAGCCAACGCCCGTAGAGAATCTTGACGCCCTGTGACCGCATGAGATCAAGCGTTGCGGCGAGATGCTCGTCCTGAGGCTCCTGCTGCTCGACCTCCATCGGCGCTGTCTTGTAGCTGAGCGGGCCAATAAGGCAGTACCTATCGCCATATTCTGACACTGTTACTGGAACCTTGGTCTTGATGACGGTGTAGATACCGCCGACTTTGTTGGCGACTTCCCAGGCGCATTCGAAGAGGAGCGGATGGTGGACGTCGCGCTTTTCAGACATGATGAGAGTTGGAGATGAAGAGGTTGTGCTGGTGGATTTGATGCGCGTAGATGTTGGTATCAAAACATGGATGAGGTCATCGCTCTCTCGTAAATACACTGACGTCATCAATCCTCCCACGTCGTGAATCTTCTGGTCTTCACCACTGTACTAGAATTCCGACTCATTCGAATAGGTAACTGGAGAGCCACACCGGTTTTTAGGCGCAACCATATGGCTCGAACGTTCCCCCGAAAGTCCGGTGTCAACGCGTTGTAAGCCCTTCTCTTGGTTCTGAGGCATCTGGAACTCGTCGTTTCGAAAAGTGGACAACTTCCTTTGGGGCCTATCGTAATTCTACCATTCTTTGAGGCCTTCCATGCCATCTCATACCGGAACAATCGTTGTATCGCTTGGGTTTCTGAATTGCCAGGCTTCAAGCTCCCCATGGACTGATGATTGCCAGGATCCTACCCATCTTCGGAGCTTACCTGTCTCCACAATCATTTTTTGGCCTCTGGGTAGGCATGTGCAGTAATCAGGGGGACACGGACCATCGAGAGTTTGCTTTACCTTCGAAGTTTGTGTAGTAGAACCACAAGTTGTCATTTAATACAGACCTCGCACTGCCCCCATCGTATCCTGTGACGTCTTCAGATCTTGTTCAGCATCGTCATGGCACTTCTCGTATTGACAAAACTTACCCAACATGTAGCATGGCATTCTTTACGCCGCCCAAAGAGAGAACGCTCGTGACCGGACTCCAATTCATTAATGCACTGTGACGTTATCTTCTCTCTGTATCGAGCACAGAACGCTAAACCCGAAATATGGACGCCTTACGTCGGTGGAGAGAACACTCCTAGTAGCGCTTCAGCGGCTCTGAAAGACGTATTGGACCAATCCTATGCCAGCACTCAGGTGCCTCTTTCCTAGCCGTATCGCAAAGCACCCTCATCACGTCTCCGAGTCTGCAGGCTACAGCTCCTCTGCGTCTTTATTCATTGCCGACAGCTCTCTGTCTCTGTCTCTGTCTCTCTATCATTCGAGATGTACTCGATATCAGCTGTTGCGTTGGATAATGCTTCTCGACGAACCTTCCGCAGTGTCTCAATCTGCAAACGCATAGTCGACCGATACATCCATTGCTGTCCAGCAACCTTTTCGTACACTCAAGATTCCTCGAGCATTGTTACATTCCAACTCAATGTTTTCTACAGAATCGATACGAGTGCTCGCGACTTCCATGCTTGGAAGGGATCTTGAATTTTTTTGGGGGCCGTTCTCGAAGGATAACAGGCTAGAAATATGTCGACTGATACCGAGAGGAGAAGTACCATGACAGGAGGAGGCTAAGGCCCGTTAACCCTCAAGCACCAGCGGGCTGTCTTGCATGGGAGTAGATGGTGAATTTCGTACTCAGTCGGAATACTCGGAACATAGCATAATAGGAATAACTGTGATATAGGGATGTAGGTACAGGGCACATACTAAAAGAATGAAGTAGATAAAAGGGAGTCACCAAAGTGATGCGAACGGATGGGGTATAGGTAATAATAGGAAACAGATGTTGGTAGCGCCTCTTTCGATATAACATGATTCACCTATCAAACATATCGGTTTATGCCTGTTCGTCTTCAAGTGCTGAATATATTGCTTTGAGGCGCGATGCAAGTGCAGCTGCCGTTGGGCGTTGGAGAGGATTGCCCCGCCAACACTCTTCTATCACGGACCACAGAACATCCGAGACGCTCGCCTCCTCGATGGTAGGACGCCTTGGTTTCTCGCCTGCGATGATTGCACCGAGAACACGAGGCTCATTATAATACGAATAAGGCACAGCACCTGTATATGTCTGCCACGATGAAGAATCGTCATAAAAGATGAACACTCTGATCGGTGAACCTTACTTGTAGAACCAATCCCCCGACAGAGTATATGTCGGCAGATGGATGAAGGTGCGGCTCGGCACCCTCTTGTACGACTACAAGCTCCGGGGCGGCCCAACGCAAGGCACCACCATGAGGTGAAGATATGCCACCTGCACCGGTCTTGGATGTACCTCGACATTCGGAAACCACAGCTGATAGACCAAAATCAGCTAGGCGGGCACATCCATCAGAATCTACTAGAACATTCCCCTAGGTCTGATGTTAGCTAAGCATAAAGAACAAAATGAAAGGCTATACGCCATGTAAATCCCCATGGACAATATTTTTTGAGTGGACTACCAACCTTATTAGCTGATGACTAGAAGCATTGTGAGATCACTTACGGTATATCAAACCAGAGCATACTTGGATGAGCTTTGTTTTCGATCAGCAGTGTAGTAGGAGAAAAGGATGATTAATATCTTACAAGACGAAGACAAAGCTCCTCTGTGTTTTCCATTTTTGTCTGGCTGAGCTTCAGGAAGTCGACCAATGTGCCATTTGCCATCCATGGACAGACAATCCCAATGGACATCATTGGATCAACAGCATGATCACCACTAGCACGGACAGACTCATAGGTATTATTGTGGCAAATACCAAGAAGCGGAAGGACGTGAGGATGTTCCAGGCTTTGCCAGATTCGAATCTCTCGATACAAGTGCTTCAAACTGTCAATAATCCTCTTACTCTATCAGAATATGTGCTTACTTTAGTCACTTGAGTGACGCAGAGTCGGAGGTATTTCACAGCGACAGTCATCTAAGCAGAGCATTAATCAGAACAAAATGGATGTGAATCAAATGAACAAATAGTAACCTTTGCATTCGAGAAAGTGAGCCCAGCTTTCCAAATTTCGGCGGATCCACCAAAAAACTCTGGTTGCTCTCCAATCCGTGTCAGGCGACTGGTTAGATTTACAACGCCGAGGTCTAACAGAAGGTTATGGTTACTACATTGCCATACCTTGTAATGCCAAAGCAACGTACTGATCATAGCGCTCAGAGATCGTTGCATAAGAGCACCTTCCGTGACTCCCGCATCATTGTGTGCTTGAGACGTCAATGCGGTACTAGATATTTCAAGATCCACAGACTCCGCAGGTAACTTCAGAGCAAGGGATTGCAGCTCCTTAGCATCATACTGAAAAATGAGCTGCAGATTGGCTTTCACGAAACCTTTCACTAATAGTGAAAGTTTGGATGTGAAAGTAGTAGGATACAGACGATCTTTGCGCATGATTTTTGCTGCCACAAGCGCCATGTACGAACGGAGATCCCATGGCGTCCAAGTGTTGTATACCAGATTCTATGCATTGAGTTAGTGAACAAGACCACAGTGACACAAGGTTCAAAAAGTGCACCTCAAGAAACATATATCCTAAGGAGTACTCCGAGTACACATCCTTTCCTTCCAAGATCTCTCCTGAATGAAATAGTCGAAGATCCATTGATAGGGGCCCTACTACGTGAAGGAGGATGGTAGGTGGGATTTAAGCGCACGCTTGGAAGCTGCTCAAAAGCTGCTCGAACATCCTCGCAAGTTTCTCGAAGGCGATCAGAGAGACCTTCCAACAATGCTATCTTGTTCAGCACGGCTTGATGCTGTTCTGAAAGTGCTCGACGCTTTTTCAAAATTGCTCGAGACTGTTGCAAAATTACTTGATACCGTTCCAAAGCTGCTCCACACTCCCCCATAGTTGCCTGATCCAACTGCTCCCAAGCTACTCGAATCTCCTCCGAAACCACTTGAAATTCCTGCTCCAAAGCTGCTTGATGCCACTCTAAAACAGCTCGAGCCTCCTTTAAGCGGGAGTGCTTTTCCAAATAGTAGGGCGAGTGCCACATTAAAGCTGCTACCCACTGCTCCGCATAGTTTGGGAACTCGTCAAGATTGGTAAAAGTTCTCTCGAGAGCGGCGCGCTGATACACAAGCCCTGGCAGGAAGGCAGGCCTGGGTGAGCGGCTTTGCCTCTATCGCTCTTGGAATCCTTTTACTGGAAGCACTTGAAGTGCCGAATGGTTTCACTAAGAATACGGAACTTGTCAGAGGTGAAGGTCCACCGTGTGATATAACAGAAGGAAACCGAGAATCCTAATAGTATCCTGGAGTGAAAAGGCGATCCTCCGAAGTTGACATGCTGGTAGGAGGTTGTCGACTTGAGTAGAGAAAGAAGTTTAGGTGAAAGTGTGTGCGAAGGAAGCTGTACACTGCTGCTTAATTCTGCTGTATCTCACCACGTGCCGACAGCATGGATGGGCCAGTGTGATTGCACATCAGAGTTAGACAGAGAAGTGGAAGGTAATACTATCGAGCCGTAGTTCGACGTTTTTTACGGTCATAGCACAGGTACAATCTACTGAAGCGCAAGATAGCTAGAGGTTACAGGGCGCTATAATTACGAGGTGAGCGCAATCATTCGGAAGGAGCGGAGACATACAGATACGATCAGGGCGAGAGTCGTTTCGGGTGCCCGATTGTTCATCTCCAAAAGCACAAAAATGACCAGGTAGAGTTTGAAAATTTGAAGGCCGACACAGTCCCGAAGTGAACGCAACGAAAAGGAGCGTGGGATGGCAGGGTGAGAGTTGTTGCTTGATTTAGACATGAACGCCAACGCCACGTGGTAAACATATTCAAACATCTACCACCACCATGTCACGGTCGCCGTCGCCCATGAATACGCCTTCGCCGGCGTATAGCGAGTCGTCCGAGTCCGAAGCCGCCGAGGAGGAGGAGGAGAAAGGGGAAGAGGACACAGCGACGTGTCTGTGGGGCGAGTGTGGGAAGGTGTTTACGCACTTGCCGTCGCTGATTGAGCATATCCATGTGGGTGAGTAGTGTCCATGTCTGAACGGAAAAAGCCTTAAAAGGGGTGTAGACCATGTAGGGGTGAACAAGAGCAACTACTTTTGCGACTGGTCTACGTGCAATAGGCGGGGAATCCCCCAGACGTCGCGGTTCGCGCTGACGAGCCACTTGAGGTCACATACGAAGGAAAAACCGTTCGTGTGTCCCCTCCCGGAGTGTGATAAGAGTTTTACCCGGTCTGACGCGCTGGCGAAGCACCTGCGGCACCAGCACAAGCAGAGCCCGCCTGCTCCCGGTCGGGGCGGGTCGAGGAAGAGGAAGCGGAACCCGGATGATATCGAGGTGGCCCCGAGTGTGTCTACGCGCTCGCAGACTCCGACTTTGGGGACGTTTAGTTTGTTTGATTTGGCGCCTACTATGGAGAGCGGGTCGCCGAGTCCGTTTCCGAGGGGGAACGAGGATGATGAGGGGTATAATAGTTCTGGGTCGAGTTCGGATGTGATTCCGCCGCATTTGTTGGTGCATATGGATCCTGGGACGAGTCGGATATTTGGGAGGAGTCAGAGTCAGGTGTTGTATTTGTTGATGAAGGCGAAGCATCGGTATGCGGTGGAGCAGAATGAGGCGTTGCAGGAGGAGTTGAGGGTTACGAGGGCCGAGATGAGGAGGGAGAGGGAGGAGAAGGAGAGGGCGGTTAATCATGTTTTGAGAGGTCTCTTTGGGAGCAAGGCGGATGGTTTTTTGGAGGATGTTTTGTAGGGTTTGACTAAAATGGAAAGATAAGATTAGATCGAATTCGTCATGGCATACGCAAGCGCGTGAATCTTTGTTTTGTTACTACCACCATGTTTTTGACGCGTTCAGAGTATGGTGGGTACGAGGTTTGCTTGGGATGCTTGTTGGCTGACTTGTGGTAGATCGTGGTGTGAATACGTTTTCACCTGAAGGACGACTGTTCCAGGGTGAGTGACTTTTTATTAGGGAGGCGACTTTGTGCTGATGGTCGCTAGTCGAGTATGCTATTGAGGCTATCAAGGTGTGTATCTTCGGTTTACTACGACCCTCTACTCAATGTTCGCAGCTCGGCTCTACAACGATTGGAGTACGCACGCCAGAAGGAGTCGTCTTAGGCGTCGAACAACGAGTGCAGTCGCCGCTCCTCGAAGCCAGCTCGATAGAAAAGATCATGGAAATCGATAGTCACCTAGGATGCGCAATGTCCGGACTCACCGCCGACGCGCGGACGATGATTGACCACGCCCGGGTGACGTCCCAGAACCATGCTTTTACCTATGACGAGAAGATCAAGGTCGAGAGCGTCACGCAGGCTGTGTGTGATTTGGCGCTGAGGTTTGGGGAGAGTGTGCATGATGAGGAGGCGATGATGAGTCGTCCATTTGGCGTGGCGCTGCTTATTGCGGGTTACGATGAGCTTGGACCGCAGTTGTATCCATACTGACCCGTCTGGGACGAGTGTGAGGTATGATGCCAAGGCGATTGGGTCTGGCTCGGAGGCGGCACAGAGTGAAGCTGCAGGATAAATGGCACAAGGTATGGTTGGTTGTCTCTTTTGGGTGGGTTGTTCTGATGTTTGTTGTAGCAAATGACGCTGCAAGAAGCGAGGACGCTGACGCTAAAAGTGTTGAAGCAGGTCATGGAGGAAAAGCTCGATCATCACAATGTCCAGCTTGCTCAGGTCACCCCTGCCAATGGCTTTGAGATTCTCGACGAAGCAGCGTTGAAGAGTGCGATTCAATTAATGTAATAGTCTATCAGCCAGTCTTTGTCGTCGTCTAGCATGTAATCTGTTCAATGCCCGTCTTTCCCTGTCTAGTTTCTCCTTTTTCTGCCTTTCTTTCTGCTGCTACCCGTTCTCTCTCCGTGAGGAAGGCGTCGTGCGCCTTTTTGGCGAAGAGTGCGCGGCGAATCTTGCCTGGCCGGGCGCGGAGGCGGCGTCTGTTGAGATGGCTCCAGTCTTCGCCGATACCGACTTCTGAGCCGTATATGGGGCGATTCTTGGCTTCTGCTGCTGCACGAGCGGCGGCGCTCTGCTGGGCGAGCTCTTTCGCGTATTCTGGTGTATATTTCCAGACCCAGGTTGTTATGGGCTGTACAGGTGTCTACGTCTTTGCTCTTTTTGCCCTTTTTCTTCTTTTGGACGATGGGAGCGGCGATGGTGCTGGGTTCTGGGATGCGGAGAGATTTGACGGGTTTTATTTCGTGGTTTAGCTGGAGGAGGGGGAGCAGGGTTGTTTTTAGGAATCTGTGGTTTGTTAGAAGAATCGAATAAATATTGAAGATAGGACAGTACGAGAGGGACTTTACGCCGACCCACTTTTTCTCAGGCAGGTCCTTGTTGGCTTTCTCCCTTTCCTTGATAGCGAGAAATAGCTCCCTTTGTGGTTAGACCCTGAGTACGCGTCACTCCGGACGACGCCCCGGATAGCACCCAGTCCCGCGAGTGAGGTCGACGTTGCGCCGGGCGTGAACCCGTGCGAGAGTTTCGATGATCATCGTGGACGAGAAAGACCCGGGGGAGATGTGACATCACGTCACGGTATCTTTCTTGTCTCTGACGATCATGGGCTCTCCACCCAAGCCCTGGGAGAGGAATGTAGCGACGGCTTCTGCTGCTGCTTCTCCGTCTTTGCCAGCGACGACGACGACGACGCCTGCGGTGCCGGAGAGGCCGCCTGCGTTTGGGACGTCTACTGCGATACCGACAGCGATCAACTCGTCTCCGTATGGCGGGGTGTCGCCTTATTCACGGATGGGATCGTATGGCGGGTATGGGGGTATTGGAGGGGGGTATGGGAGTATGGGATATGGAAGGATGGGGTACGGAGGGATGGGATATGGGGGTGGGTATGGGATGGGAGGCGGGTTTGGCGGGATGGGGTATGGGATGCCGTATGGAGGCGGGTTTGGGGATCCTAATATGCCGAGTCTGACGCAGCAGTTGGAGAGCACCACTCAGCATACCTTTGGACTCCTCCATTCGATTGTCCAGACCTTTACCGGTGTCGCGCAGATGCTTGAGAGCACGTTTATGGCTACCCATAGCAGTTTCTTCGCTATGGTGGGGGTGGTGGACCAGTTTGGCCAGTTGAGGGATGCGTTGGGAGGCGTGCTGGGGTTGTTTGGGCTGGTTAGGTGGTTGAGGGGGTTGCTCACTGGTCGGAGGAATGATGGTGGGTTCGGTGGGGATTTCAAGCGGTTTGCTAGTGGGGCGCCTCCGCCGCCGCCGAGGCAGCCGATCAACAAGAAACCGCTTATTGTGTTCTTGCTTGCGGTGTTGGGGATTCCGTATGCGATGACTAGGCTTATCAAGCTTCTCAGCGAAAAGGCGCAGAGGGAGCAACAACAACAGCAGCATGCGATTCAGGGTCCATTAGATCCTGCTAGTCTTACGTTTGCGAGGGCCCTCTATCCGTTCGAGGCAACGAATCAGCAGGAGTTGGCATTGAAGGAGAATGAGATCGTGGCGATCGTAGGTAAATTGGATCCGTCGACTGGGGGCGAGGTTGATCCGAGGGTGAGCGTTGAGACAGAGTGGTGGAAGGGTCGGACGAGGGATGGGAGAGAGGGATGGTTCCCTAGAAAATGGGTCGAGATTCTCGAACGAAAAGAGAAAAAAGTTGATTAGATTTCGTTTTTACTTTTTTTTTATGTTGTCTGTATTTTTTATAATTCACGAGCCTTGGGCGGTTGTAGCAGTATGTTTGGCAATGGCTACAAGTGTGGAAACCCCGCCGTCCGATTGGTTCGTCATTTCCGGCCAACCCCGCGTCGTCACCGACAACTTTGTCTTCCAGCGACCATGCTGAGGTTATCAAAAGGTGCTAGTTTTTCTTGTTCTTGCATGCAGACGCTGATAGTTTTGTAGGCGTCTCACGCCCTATATGCTCTTCCCGTTCGTTTGCGACGGTCACTGAGCCGCCTGTTAGGAGATACGGAGGGTTGAAAGACCAGGATAGGATTTTCACCAATGCATATTGTAGGCATGATCATGGCTTGAAGGGAGCTCAGGTGTGTAGTTTAACTTGTTATTATTCTAAGCTAAGAGTGTTGTAGTCAAGAGGCGACTGGCACCGAACCAAGGACATCATCCTCAAAGGCGACTCGTGGATCATCCAGACGATCAAAGACTCGGGTCTGCGCGGTCGTGGAGGTGCTGGCTTTCCTAGTGGTCTCAAGTGGAGTTTTATGAACAAGCCTGGGTGGGAGAAGGACCCGAGGTGCGTTCGCCGTTTTGCTTGGTATGATGCTGGTTAATCATTGCTTAGACCCCGGTACCTCGTCGTCAACGCTGACGAAGGCGAGCCTGGTACATGCAAGGACCGTGAGATCCTCCGGGGGGACCCACACAAGCTCGTTGAGGGCTGTCTTGTTGCGGGAAGGGGTATGAACGCTACGGCGGCGTACATCTACATCCGCGGTGAGTTCTTCCAGGAAGCGAGCCACCTCCAGCAGGCCATCAACGAAGCGTACGCTGCGGGGCTTATTGGCAAGGACGCCTGTGGCTCCGGGTACTCGTTCGACGTGTACCTCCACCGTGGGGCTGGAGCCTACATCTGCGGCGAGGAGACCGCGCTGATTGAGAGTCTCGAGGGAAAACAAGGCAAACCTCGTCTGAAGCCGCCGTTCCCGGCCGATGTGGGGTTGTTTGGGTGCCCGACGACGGTGGCGAATGTGGAGACTGTCGCTGTTGCTCCGACGATTTGTAGGAGGGGCGGGAGCTGGTTTGCGGGTTTTGGGAGGGAGAGGAATCAGGGTACAAAGTTGTTTTGTATCAGTGGGCATGTGAATAACCCGTGTGTTGTTGAGGAGGAGATGAGTATCCCGCTGAAGGAGTTGGTTGAGAGGCATTGTGGGGGTGTGAGGGGTGGATGGGATAATTTGCTTGGGATTATCCCTGGGGGGTGTTCGGTGCCGGTTTTGCCGATTGACAAGTGTTCAGAGGTTTTGTGAGTTGTTTTTGTTATTCTCTGGCTTTCGCTTATTTTGTTTGTAGGATGGATTACGATTCTCTCAAGGACGCCCAGTCGGGTTTGGGAACTGGTGCTGTCATCGTCATGGATAAGAGCACCGATATCGTTGCTGCTATTGCTCGATTCTCACAGGTGCGCCATTACTTTCCTTTTTCTTGTCGTTAATAATGATCATTTTGTAGTTTTACAAACACGAATCCTGTGGGCAATGCACGCCGTGTCGGGAGGGGACGACATGGATGATGAACATGATGGATCGTATGGTCGAAGGACGGGGGCACGTTCGGGAGATTGATATGTTGCTCGAGTTAACGTACGTCCCATCATATCCATCCTTTCTCTCACTTATACTCTTTTTTCTTCTCCAGGAAACAAGTCGAAGGCCGTACAATTTGCGCCTTGGGCGACGCCGCTGCGTGGCCCATCCAAGGTTTGATGCGCCATTTCCGCCCCGAGGTCGAGGCGCGCATCGCAAAGTACAGGCAGGAGCACGGGGCGGTTGCGTTTGGGGGTACGTTGGTGAGTGAGGTGAATGATATGCTGGCGGTGCCGGATAATTTGGGGGCAAGATTACCTGTTGATGCGCCTAGTGTGTAGACAGTAAATTATTGCCTTCCTCGTTACTATCCATCATGTCCGTTGCGTAGTTATAAATTCTTCTGTAGAGTCAATTTATTGCAAGCAGGAGCGTGAGACCGCAGTTCAAACTGAAAAGCTGGATGAAGACAGAGGAATGATATTTCATTGCTACTATCCAGGAGAAGCGTCTGCATCTACCGTTTTTTCTGGGCCCGCTTGCTATCCTCTGTACAGCAGGTTAAAAAGACGACGGAGAAAGTGAAAAGAGCAAACGCACCTTTTCCTTTTGATTTAGTTGGCGCGCCCTTCCCTCTCTTCTTCCTATCAATGATATCCTGGAACCTCTGCTGCTCTTTCTCGTCTACGATCTCCAACGCTGGGTATTTACGTGCAATGGCTGCGATGTTGAGTGCAGGCGGATAGTATTTGACCATGGAAGGACCCCGGAGACGGGCACGAAGGTATTTAGCACCAGTACGGACGCGTGTGGGGTTGTACGTCGTTTGGAATATTGAGCATCGTAGACGGGTGAGTGCCTCGAGCGTAGAGGGCCGGACGTTGGCCATGGTGACTGTTTGGGAGAGACCCTAACCCGACTTCCGATCATCCATCAAAAACTTTTCTTCTCTCTCTCCTCGCGCCATCGTCGCGCTCCTGGGATGCAACGCAATGCAGCGGCCTCATGCTGCAGGTGGACACCTGAATCTTGGCCAACTCTTCCTTCGCTAGGCTCCCACGTTTCGCGCAGATTTCGCTCTGCAGCCAATCGACGACCAAGTATCCGCTACCAAAACCCTTCCCATCTCTCGAGGAACGCTCTCCAGCATATCATTACGCCGCCGCCTCCTAAAGTCGATATAGGATCCTTGGCCAGACGCCTTCATCCCGACAAACCCGAGGCCATCATACAATTCTTCGAGAAACATGTCGCAGACTGGGCCGCGTCTAAACGGGTCGCAGACCGACTTGCCCTGTTCGGTGTGCCTCACGAACACATACCGACCGTCCTTCTCGTTTTCACCCAAGCTGTGACCAGCAAGAAGCTGTCTACGCCGAACGGATACATCGACTATTCCCTCGAGCGTTTCGGGCGCATGTCGCCAGAAGATGACGAGCGAGGGTATTTCGATATGATTTACAGCTCCGTCCTCTACACATGGGTATCCGATCCTGCTAACCAGGCATTCCTCGAGTCCCAGAACATTCCCACTTCTGTCATTCACGGCATGCGTGCTCTTTCAGAGGCGACGTCCCGCTCCCACCCCGGAGACGATTATCCTGCTGCCAGGGGACTCCGTCGAAAGTTCATCATGCATGTTGGTCCTACGAATAGCGGTAAAACACATCATGCGCTACGCGCCCTGGCCGCTGCACCTACCGGAATCTACGCGGGGCCTTTACGGCTGCTCGCCCAGGAGATTTGGGAGCGTCTCAATCTCGGTCAGATCGTCCCGGCAGGGATAGAGGAAGAGGAGCGCGTTCCGGAGCCACCATCACCACCACCAGAATCGGCCTTCGACGTCAGTCCCGAGAAACCACTTTTGACGAAACGCGGGAATCCCAAGTACGCGAGGATCTGCAATATGATTACTGGGGAGGAGGTCAAGATCGTTGATGAGAATGCCCCGCTGTACAGCTGTACGGTTGAGATGATCAAAACGAATATGCTGTACTGACGTTGCGGTCGTCGACGAGATTCAGATGATTGGTGATACGGATCGAGGGTTTGCAGTGGAGCGAAGCTGTACTTGGTCTCAACGCGCGGGAGATTCATCTCTGTGGTGAGGAAACTGCAGTGCCCCTCATCGAAGCTATGCTTAAAGAAACGAATGACGACCTCGTCGTGAATCGTTACGAGCGACTTACACCGTTGGAGGTCGAGAAGGAGAGTTTGAAGGGCGATCTGAGCAAGGTCCGGAAGGGAGATTGTATTGTCACTTTCTCGAGGAGGTCCATTTTCCAGATGAAGCGAGATGTGGAGAGATTAGGGATAACTTGCGCTACAGTCTACGGGAGACTACCACCCGAGGTTCGCAGTGAACAGGCTGATCTGTTCAATGATCCCAGGAGTGGATTCGACGTCCTCATTGGAAGTGATGCTATTGGCATGGGCTTGAAACTTGTTCGTTTCATATTTTTACTCGTTTGTCAAAACGGAACTGACCATATAAACGCAGGAAAATCCGTCGTATAATATTCGCCGACGTCAGGAAATATCACAACAACTCCTATGCACCATCTCTCCATATCCGCAACGAAGCAAATCGCTGGTCGTGCTGGCCGATTCGGCTTGCACGGATCAGAGAGTCCCTGGGGGACTGACAACGACTCTCAACGAAGGAGACCTTGGCTTCCTCACACGGACGATGAAACTCCCTTTGCCATCTCTGAAAACCGCCCGCATGACGCCCAGTTACACATCACTCATCTCCACAGCGAGCGCTCTCCCGCCTAATTCTGCCATGAATACCATATTTCTAGCCCACGCCTACACGTCGAAGCTCTCTCCCATTTACCGGTACATCTACAGCGACGCGACCAGAGTGTGCACCAACTACCTTGATGCGTACATTCAGGGCGTCTCGATGACCGACTTTGAAGTCATGCTCGCTGCGCCGTTCCCCTGGCGCGACCGGGAAAGCGTTCCGTTCATCGAGCGGCCTCCTAACGCTCTTCAGCACCCAAGGCGTCGCCCGACTCGAAGAATGCCTGACGGAGTCGCCGTTCATGGTTACGCTAGAAAAGGTCGAGAGTAAGAACGGCCCGGCCGCGACGAACGAGGACCTGTCATTACTGGAGACCTTCCACAAGATGCTGGGGCTCTATACGTGGTTGAGCTACCGACGGCCTGTGGCGTTCCCTGATCAGGCGTTGGCGGCGGAGCTGAAGCCGCGCGTTCCAGGTGGGGATTGAGACTGCGTTGGATTTGACGAGTGCGAGGAGGAGGGTGAGGACTCCAGGGTCTAGGAGGAGGATTATTGAGTATAGTCCGGTTAAGCCGACGGGAGAGTCGAGGTTGAATAAAAGAGCGAAGATGTTTGCTCAGTATACTGCCAAGTATGCGTAGTGTATCTATAATGGTGTATTATAATAGTACTTTTATTATACGGGAACTAGACGATGACCTCATGAGTGGTGAGTGGACTAGTAATTTTTTTTCATGGCACCTTTGTGTAGTGTCTTCCATATCCAATACCCACGCTTGCAGTCTCTCTGCTTCGCCGGAAAAAAGCTCTTTGACTTCCATGTTGGCCAAGAAAAAGTCCCGTACTTCTGTCAGTTGACCGTATACAAACCCTACGCGAGTCAGCTGACTACCGATAGACGAATCTTCATAAATCCGGGCCTTTCCAGTTTCCTTAAGCTTCTCCCAAAGTCGGTCAGCTTTCCGGACCATATAGCTTTGGCATAGTCTGGAATCCATGGCGCACATTTGTCAGGATTTGTATGACTTCTGAAGAAGAAGTTGAGGGTGAGAGCTATAGAAGTCTGAACAGGCACGGACTTTGCGGAATGGCGGTCAGCGTGACCGGAAACAGGGCAGCTGGCAGACTGAGTCTGCACGTAACAGTCTGCCTTGACAATCAGAAAGGCCATCTTCGGGTACGAAATTTGACTAACCGTACCATGCACATAATCGTTGAAAGGAGGAGGAGAAAAGACACCGAGGAAATCGGTCGCGTATCTTATGTCGTCTTTTTTGACCCGAATCACCCACCCTCACAAGTCAACGTTAAGAGAGTTAAGACTGAACAAATGTCCAACGCGGTGCCTGGTGAAGAGATCGTCTTCATGGAGCTTCCTGCCGTTCTCCACCGAGGCTGTGTATTGGGAACGAAAGATCGTACGTTGCGAGAGTAATATACCACAGATAATGTCAGATCGGTATTGCAGGCCATCTCCCCATCCCGTCATTCTTCATAGAATCAACCTTGATGAGAAGACCATTGCACAATCCGTGGTTATGGAACGAGGGAGATGTTGGGATTGGAAGGGAGTATCAGACTATTGGTGATGTCACGTAGAACGAGCGTCAATCTGCCAATCTGAGAAGTGAAGATGCCGGCAGCCGCCAGCGTAGTCCTTCTACAAGCTCCGATGTTTCTGAGAGTCGTGCTAATACTGATAAAATCACCTTCGAGATATTCAGCGATAAAGTTGATGAGGAGGCATTACAGACTTACAAAGCGCGGGTTAGTGGTGGTGACTTCATTCTGCTCCTTTTCTGCAACTATCCCGCCGGTATAACCTATTTATCTTTGCTGACATCTGTGTTTCCGCCCTCTTTCATTCCTTCATCCCTCATCCTTCAACGCCTCAATTCTCCGAATCCTGTTCGGTATGATCTGGCCACATGTTCCTCTTACTACGACTATAAAAAATCTTCATTCGCTCCAAAAACTGTACGCATGAGGCCATGAAGATGCAGCGCAGTTGACGATTGAAAGTCATGGCAAGCAGAATGACCCGTTATTGTGCCGGAATCGGAGGGAAGGGCAGGATCTGTCCAAGTCGAGGCTTGGAAGTAGAAGCTGGTCTCCAGGCATATACGGAAGATCTTTCAGAATCCGAGTATTCGTTGTCATCGGGAGAAAGAAGCGTCGTAGGGTGCCATGCGCAAAAGTTCTTCCCTTCCCAGTCAAAGACACGGTATTGGTGCATTCCTAGGGAGATCTGGAAGGCACTGAGGAGGGAGGCGGAGGGCTCGACGACATGATGGCGGTAGTCTCAAAAACGGAAATGTGGAAAAGGGAGAGAAGTACGTCCACGTCTCCTATGTAAATTTCCTGATGTTAGTCAAGTATCTAATGATATGGCACCAAAGTATACCAAGTGGAGTACATCCCTACATCGTGAGGATGTAAATAAAACATGTTCCAGCTAACAATCTCTTCGTCGTCATCGTATTCGCTGTCTGGTCTGAATTTGTTGATTTGGACATCGCAGTAAGAGAGAAAGAGTACGCGTTGTTTACTGCGCCAAACAAGAGTTCCTTCTTCCCGGCCACCACCTACTCGGATTCCAGCTATCAGGCGCGTGCTACTCCCTGCATTCGTAGCACTCATAGACATCGCGTCAGGAAAATACCTCCAATGTCCATCGGACGACGACACGCCTCTGTTAACACCATTTAAACGGAAGAGCGGTTATCAACAGCATTCACTGTCTGCAGAAATTTCAGTGAAATAGTCGCTCGCTACCCTAATGCGCTTGGCAAGGCCCCGACTCTGCGCAAAGAACCAAGAGAAGATCCTTCTCCGGTACGGCGCTATTAATCCACATCATTGGAAGATGCTGTCCTGTTCTGGCTTAAATAAATGAGGGTTGTGGGTACTGGGAGGAGACATGTCGTCAGAGCGCCGGAAGTAGATTCACGTGGAGCGCTTTCACAATCAAACCAAGAGTTCGTGCTGTATAGGATACTAGTTCTTCTGTCCTTCCACAGTTATCGATGGCTATGAACACGAGGCCCTCCACCCTCAGCCCAGATCAGCCTGTGAACTTATTATCTCTCGGTGAGCACTCCATATTGTCATCTCTCAGTACCAGTCCTTCAACCAACCTCTCGCGGTAGATGGCGGTGGTATCCGCGGCGTATCTGAACTATTCATTCTCGACGAAATCATGAGGCGCATACAGATACAACAAAACCTTCCGAACACCCCCAAGCCTTGCGAATACTTTGATCTCATTGGTGGTACGAGTACTGGAGGGTGAGTTTCTCGGATGTGAAGTTACGGTAATATTAAATAAGCGCCGTTCTTTAGGCTAATAGCAATCATGCTAGGCAGACTAAAAATGTCCACCGAAGAAGCTCTCCAAAGCTATGACAGAATCTCCAGTGCGGTGTTCACCGCCGAGAACAGGAAACCCTTTTACAGCGACGGAAAGTTCAAAGCGACTACGTTGGAGAAGGAGATAAAGAACGTCGTCCGCCAGGCTGGGTGCAGCGACGATCAGAAGCTGTTGGATCCCAACGCGAAAGGAAACGCGTGCGTTCCGTCCGTATCATCTCAAGCCAACGTCGCCCTCAGCAGTTTCAATAGTTTCGTGTGCTCCATGACCGGAATCAACCTTCGGTCTCCCCAACGTTTCCGCACATACCAAGGACTCCCCAACCAAGGTCCCGACTGCAAAATATGGGAAGCTGCACGCGCCACCACAGCCGCGCCAACGTTCTTCAAGGCAATCAAGATTATCGGATCAGGAGGGTTCGGGCCCGAATACGTCGATGCAGGCCTGGGGTTCAACAATCCCACCAAAGAGGTCCGAGACGAAGCCAAAGAGCTCTTTGGAAGTAATCGGCGTGTCGGCGTGTTCCTCAGCATCGGGACAGGCCATCCAGGCCCTAGTGGGTTCCAGCAACCCAAAGGGATAGAGAAGGTCTTCCCGTTGGAGTTCATCCGGGTCTTGCAGCGTATCACGACGGATTGTGAGAGTGTCGCAGACGAACTGGCCAAGGAGTACGGCGGTAATGGGGTATATTTCCGGCTTAACGTTCTCCATGGTGCCGAGGGGGTGTATTTGGACGAGTGGAAGAAGATAAGTGAGGTGATGGCGCATACGGCTTCGTACTTGAGGGGGCCAGAGGCTTCGACGCAGATCGATAGGGTCGTAGCCTGTCTCTGTCGCATTGGAGTCGGACAAGGGAAGACGTTGCATTCTTTGTAGTCGTTCGATGCATACGGGAATGTAGAAACTGTATCCGAGAATACAAGATGGATTGTGGTAGACGTCGACTGACCTACCAGTAGTTAGTCAACTATACGCCATTGAAGATACCTTGATCCAAGTATTCGACCTTTGAGCACTGCTTCACCTAGTTGGAAATGGCGTCAGGGTATCCAGACCCTAGAACAGAGTAAATGACAGTTCTACAAACAGAAGAAGTACTGACGATCATTGGCTCGACGTGTCCATGTTCTAGGGTAACGTAGGATTTCTTTTCTTCCTCGTATTCGTTGCTTGGTCCGAATTGGTTGACTTGGTGGTAGCCTGAGCAAAGCGCCATCGCGGTGAGGGAGAGGACGCGTTGTTTACTACACCAAACAAAAGGTCTCTTCCTGGCCACTACCTACCGTGTCTGTTAATAATCACGTTCCGCCGATGAGGTCAAAGTATTCTCGAGGTCTGGGGGGTTTGAGGGAGGTTTTGGTGTGTCTGTATAGAGTTCGGATACACCTCGGATACCATCGCCACCTACCGCGAGAGGTCGGTTGAGGAGCTGAGACTCGAAAGATGGAAATATGAAGCAGACAGTAGTAAGTCCAGGCGGATCTGGATTCTGAGTTGGTAAAGGGTCTCATGTTGAGAACAATGGAAAAACAGAAGAATTAGTACCGTATACAGCACGAACAAGGTTGATGGTGAAAGCACTTCACATGAATCTACGTTCTTGTGCGTGATAATAATAATAAGTAACTCGACGCGAATTTATGACACGCCAATGACGTCAGTACCCGAACACTCTTAAACGCGTCCTAGACTCTCACCCTCTTTCTCTCACACCGTCATTAGCATGGCATCCATCATCGCAGGAGCAGCCCACACCGCACACTCCACCGCCGCCTCCCTCCTCAGCTCAGCTCAGATCCATCCCGGAAAAAAGCTCCCACCCTTGAAAGTGAAGGAGACGTCCCCGGAACGCGCTGAGATTGTTGAGTTCAGCGGGACGACTGTCATCGTGAGAGCAGTTTGTAGTTGTGTTGTGTCGCGTTGTACTGATTCTCGCAGGTCGGTGTCCCGGGTGCGTTTACCGGAACGTGCAGTGCCCAGGTTCCGGGGTATATCGAGAATTATGAAGCATTCAAGGCGAAGGGCGTGACTGGGATATACGTCGTTGCAGTTAATGACCAATTTGTTATGAAGTGGGTTTACTGTTTGTTGGATATATGCGCCGGCAGTGCTGACTCTCGCTTAGTGCGTGGAAAGAGAAGCTGGCTCCCAATGGCACCCGTATGTCTTACCTGTCGTCAATAGCGAGTGTGGTAGGCTGACAGTCGTTCGCCAGCTATCCATTTCCTAGCCGATGACCAAGGCGAGTTTGCTGGCGCTACGGGCTTGATTTTTGACGCTACGCCGTTGTTGGGAGGTCCTCGTTCAAAGGTACGAGCTGTGCTTCATGTTAATCTTGAAATTGACGTTCGCCCATAGCGCTATGTCATGATTGTGAAGAACCACGAAGTCGCGTCGGTTGCAGTCGAGGAGGATCCAGGAAAGGTCACCATTACAGATGCAAAGACAATACTTGCGCAGCTGTAGACTGAACGAAAGTGATGCATGTACAAGTAGGAATTCAAAATATTCTGTGAAGTACTAGCCGTGACAAGAACCTCGCATCAGTAATCCTCGGGTACGACCTCCATCTTTTTAGTTCTGCGCCGGCGCGGTAGAGGAGCGAGTTTTCCAGTAATGCGATCCAGCGCATGTCGTCTGTCAGCGCAAACGTCGGCCTTATCTTTGGCTTTGCCCTTCTCTTCGAGTCGCACCTCTCTGAAGCAGATACGCTGCCGTGTGCTCGTCAAGAAGGATACTGCACCATCAGGAGAGGATTCTGTCGACATGCTAAGATATGGCAGCTCAGAGAGGCGATGGATGGATACGCACCTGAGAACAGCAGTTCTGTGCCCAGCAAGGTTTCGTGCCGACCTTTAAGCACCGTCCCAGCAAGCTGGAGGAATGGCGTCGGAGTATCTAATCCCTGGAATAGGGTGAATGAGCAGTTTTAAGTACGAATAGAGGAAGTACGGACGATGAGATGGTAGCTGTCACAACTTGGAATGAGAGACGGTTCGACATTTCCGAGTTCGAGGGTGACGTAGAATATCTCTTCTTCTTCCTCTTCGTAGGAGTCGTCTGGTCCGAATTGGGTGACTTGGCGGTAGCCTGGGCAGAGCGACATTGTGGTGAGAGAGAGAGGGCGCGGTGTTTGGGTGCTAAATAGAGAGTTTCGATGCGTCCCCGGCTGGATATCTTCCATCGCTCATCGACATTAGCTGTTTGATCGTCGCCTTCGAAGAGTGAGTCTTTGGTGTCCAAGCTGAGAACAGGTGTCAATTGTTAAAAGAAGAGGTTTGAAGTGACGGAAACGCGAGGACGGAGCCTGCAAGATTGCAGAAAAATGGATTGTCTTTCCCGGCCTGACATCTGCAGGGCAGAGACATCGTTGTTTGTCAATAATCGGTATCAGTTAGTCAAAGAAACAGAGCATACAACGTAGATGCGTCGAAGAGAATATCTTCCTATGTGGTCGTCACGAGAGAAGAAGAGATCAAGGACCGAGGTACATTTGAAATGCTCCTAAACAATTAGGAAAAAGCGACATTTAACAATTTCCTCGAACCTGGATTACAGCGAATACGATCACGTTAACAATACACATAACAAAGCAGAGTACACGAGTATATCTACAAAGGGAGCAGTGCCAGTCACGGATCCATCTCTATCCAATCATCCTCCTCCCCATCCACATCCGTCCCTCCTCCCCTCTCCATAATCCCCGCCAGCTCGCTCACCCCAAATCCCAGCCCGAGCTCCTGAACCAACTTGACCCTCTGCCACGTATCGTCAAACACCACCCTGCTCTGGAAGAACTTCCTCCGTGATTGTTGGTTGTGGGCAACGTCAAAGTATTGCCCTGTGAGTAGGCTCATGCGCTGTTTCTGCCGCCGACGATGGCGCCTTCGTCCGGTGGATTCGTCAGAATCCCACGATTCATCGTCTGATGAGGATGAAGCTGTGTCGGATTCTTGGAGTTTGTACACGAAGCGCGTATGTTCTTTAATTTGTGAGTCGAGGGTGACAGTCATCGAAGGCAGCGACTTACGAGCTAGACGTTCGTCCAGTTTGTCTTGGGTATCACTTTCTTTGCCGAAACCAAGATGCTCGAGCAAGCTCTCTTTAGGCGTGTCGTGCATGCCGACCGAGGGAGCGCTGTTAAGTTCTCGGAGGTGCTCTAGAGCGTTTATCCTGTAAATTTTATCAGGTGTTGAAACGTAAAAGAAAGTGGTGGCATACCGAACTTGCTCCAAAGATCCGTCTTTGACGTTCATATCTTCCATGTTGCTTGCTACGACCTCCAGGCGATATCGAGGACCGAACCATTCGAAATATTCGTTCCAGGGAAGGTTTGGGTCGATGGTGTCCTCTATGCCTAGCGCACAGGCTGTTTCGTACGTCCATGTCCGTGCAACGTTTTTAACAGTGTAGCCGCCTCCACCGAGGAGTATGAGAGGTACGTTTTTCTTGCGTAGAAATTGGACGCAATGGGCGTGTCCATGCATCGTCAGATTTAAGCAACCGAGCTTGTCACCTGAAAGAGAGTCTGCGCCACATTGGAGAACGACAGCGTTCGGTCGGAAGACTTCGAGTATTTTGTCAACGACCTGTGAGGTTTGTTAGGAGACACCGCCAGGAGAAAGGCAGTTGACGCACCGGTTCGAATATACTTTGGAAGGACTCGTCTGTGATCCCGTCCTTTAATGGAACGTTGACGGCGTATCCTTTGCCTTTTCCTCGTCCCTTGTCTTCTTGAGTGCCCGTACCGGGGAAGTATTCGCCGTACTTGTGAAAGCTGCAGGTCATCACTCGATCGGTGGTATAAAAGGCTTCTTCGACGCCGTCACCCTAGTTTAGTGGTAAGACGAGGGATCAGAAAGCAGAGAGAGACCATACATCTGTGGCTCAAGTAAGCGCAGGTACTGGAGTTAAGGGAAGATGACTTACGATGGCAGTCTATATCGACGTATAGGACGCGGGGATATGCACGTAAAAGTTCGAGTATCCCGAGAACAATGTCGTTGATATAGCAGAAACCGGACGCCTCGCGTTTCTTGGCGTGGTGAAGTCCTCCGGCCCAATTTATGCATATGTCGGAGGCACCGGAGGTTATACGACGTGCGGCGGCTACCGAAGACAGTCAAGGAAGGAAGTTTGTGGATGATTGGACGTACCCATGGAACCTCCGGCTGATATTGAGCAGAATTCGAAGACGCCTTCGAATGGAGGGTTGTCTTCTCCAACGAGGACTTTCGGGGGGGTCAGCGGAAGAAAGCCTAAGGGGATGGGGTTGCTCACAACGTGTTCCGTGGTACGTCAGCTCCTCGGACGTTTCAGGTGTAACGCGGTTGAGGAAGTGAACGTATTCGTCGGTATGAAAGGAGGTCATGGCTTCGGGTGATGCGCGTGGCGGTTTCTACCAAAAGTTGAGAGATAAAGACGAGGTAAGGCGATTTTGGGCCTTACCAGGACGTGCATCTTGGGTAACATTTCGTACGCAGTGATGAGATCGTGGGCGACCCGCATTCGATGGGGCTTCATGGGATGTCCGAGGCCATATGTGTACGCTCCGACGTCGGCTGGCAGTGGTAGGGCTTTGAGAAATGGGCAACAAGGAATTTTGGAGGCACTGACGGTCGTAGTAGTAGGAGACGCGTTTCTTGGACATGGTGGTGGCAGGCGAATGAGATGGGCCTGGGCGCCGTGTTATGTGTCACGGGGCGTGACATCTTTTCCTCCAACCACGACCATGTCTGCAGACAGCGATCCGTTTTACCTTAGGTTCGTCCTTTTTATTCTGTGCCGTTGTTGAAATTGAGCTTATGTTTGTTTTTAGATACTAGTATGTTCCCTCGATGCGGTTTTTTGATGCTGTTCCTTATGATTTCGCAGTACTGGCCATTCAGGCAAACATGGCCACGAGTTCCTCGAATTCGAGTACTCGCACGGTCGTCTGCGATATGCCAACAACTCGAATTATCGGAATGATAGTCTTATCCGGAAAGAGAGTGAGTTTAGGCGTATCGTTCTCGTGCTGCTGCTATTGTTGACAGAGGATCTCAGTGTGGATTGGGCCGATGGTGGTGAAAGAGCTAAAGAGGATTGTGGAGTCTAGCGAGATCACCAAGTGCATTTGTTTTCGTCGTGTTCTACCCCTCCCTAATTGATATTTCTTCCTAGGGAAGACGACACGAATTGGCCCAAGAAAAATATTGTTGGGAAGCAGGAGCTGGAGATTCGCGTTGGGAATGACCATATTGCGTTCGAGGTGAGTTGGTGTGGGTTCTTCGTTCGCTTGGTCTCGGTGCTGACATCACACAAGACTGCCAAGATCGGATCACTGGTCGACATTCAGGATAGTGAGGACCCCGAAGGGCTTCGTGTGTTCTACTATCTCGTTCAGGATTTGAGGGTGAGCCTTTCGTTGCTGTGCCTTAGCTGCGTCCTGTAACCCGACTTCATAGTGTCTCATATTCTCCCTGATCTCGTTGCACTTCAAAATCAAACCCATCTAATGGAATCGATGGCATGTTTTCTTGTAAATGGATGCGATGGATTGAGCGTTCTGCTCAGTACCGCAGGGCAACGCTCGCACCAATGTAAAACCATTCACTTTGGTCCATGTTTGTTCTGATGAACGTTCTGTGCGCACAGGTCTCTGAGTCCCTCAGCACCCGCCATCTTCAAGAAAACGCGCAAGTTACTTACGTTGTATGTCCACTTCTCTGGCATTCCCCTGCAGTCCACTGACGGATGTTCCAGTGCTGTAAAAATTTGATATATCTCTGTATTGTCGTTATACTTTCCAATTGCATTATTTCTTTGCTATAATAAAATGAGCGCTTTACGATACCCTTGAAGCTGACAAAGAAGGGAAAGAAATTGCCTCATGCAGGCAAAAAGGATTCACGTGATACGCGCGCTGTGGCCATGGTGCCAAACATACGCAATCCCACCATTGCGATCTGCTCCTCACCCTGGCGTCCTGCAATCTGGGCTCCTCACCGCCATGGCCAACGATCCACCACCGCAGAGCCTGGTGCTATCTGATATAATGCACACGCTGTCTCCGTCTCCAGGCCCGCAAAATACGGACCAGTCGCACCACGCTAACGGGACCGATGCTGAGGAAAGAGATAGATCGCTTGACCCGCCTCAGGAAATAGACTTGAAGAATTACAGGAATAGGATAGCGGAGATGGTCCTCTTGCCGTCTGATGGGAACGAGTCTTCGACACCTCGTGAACGTGAGCTTGCGAATATGGTATGTCTTTTCGTCGTGGAATTCAGATTTGTTACTCAAGAATAAATTTTAGGTGCTCAGTTTGTTGGATGCGAGGCAGTGGGATCCAGCGCAGCTTTTTGAGCAGGCTGATACTATTTCCGGGCTGATGCAGGAGCGAGAACTTATACTCCAGTTGTTCTCGGAGGAAAGGGCTCGGTGGAAATCTGAGAGGGAGGGTTGGGAGAGGTCCGCGGAGGCACTGATATCTCAGAAGATGAGGGAGGTCCCTGATGCGTTCAGAACCGAGGTGAGATATTTATTGAGTGTTTATTAGGTATACTGCTAATCCTGGATAGCAATTGGCGTATTTCAACGCGGTATTGGAATCGGAGAATAGAGCGAAAGCTGAGAAGGTGGGTTCTCTTCTCTTGCTACGTTCTTTGATTTCTAAAGTATGGACGTAGCTTCAGGAAGCACAGGCCCGACTGGCTTCACTCGAAGCGGAACTTGCGAAATTGAAACCGATTTTATTGCTCCAACCGTTTTCTCCCTCTGCTCGGCCATCTCATTCTGCGTTGACTAACGCGTCGACGTACCTTTCGTCTCTTCCCTACCCTGCCGCGACTGGGGATAGTGCTCTGGCTGCACGAAAACAACGGGGCGCGAAGAAGAAAAAGGAAAAGGATTCGAAGGTTCCCCTACCTGCTCCTGGAGGGGGTGATGATGGTGCTGAGGCTGCACAAGCTGATTCTGGCGTTGTGGCCAAATCAGATGCTGAAGCGTCCGGCGAACAATCAGCATCTACGTCGACCCTTCCCGTGTTAGATCCCTCTCTGTCGGCGTCGAATGTCAACGGCCAGACTTCCTATGTTGCTGCAGCACAGGATTCGATGACGGCCTCCCCTCAGTTCAGATTTGCTATTGATGTTTATGCGCATCTTCGGCCGAAAAATGTTCAGAGCTCTGCGCCTGTATCATCATATACGATGATTTCACCCCCGGGACAGACGGTTTATAGCAAGAAAGGTCGGCCAGCAAAGGCAAAAGAGACAAAATCATCACAGCCTACGACACTATCATCTGATGCGCGTACTGAACATATTTTACTTGCTGCGCGGAAGATCGGTCGACAGCGAGCCTCCATCGTTTCCAGTGTCATACAGGCGGAACGACAACGGGACATCGCTCGTGAACAAGAGAGACTAGAGAAGGAACGCGCATCGGAACGTTCAAGACCCGCAGCCGCAAGTGGATCGTCGTCTCATTATCGACGCGATGCTGGTGTGACTAGTCCACGAACGCCGAAACGAGGAAGCGCACCTACTGTTGCCCCTGCAAGTGGGTCGAACCATTATCTGCACGTAACGGGTAGTCCGAGGGGAATGCCACCGGGGTACTTGTATACGCCGAGTCCTGGGGCAGGGCTGTATCAGCATTTGCTGACACCACAAGCTAGACAAGTCGGACGGCCACCGAACCAATCTCCAGCTGCTGGGTCGAGTAAGAACCCGCCTACACCGCTGGATTCGCTTGTGGATGCCGCTCTTACTATGGCAGAGGACAGTCCACCCGGTCGGAGGAGAAGGAGGGCGGCGTCGCCGGAGAGCCCGTCGCAGAAAAGACGACGTGTGAGTTCTGCACGGGCGAATGCGAATGCTGGAGCGTCGAGCTCGCGGATGCGTAGTGCATTGGATGTTCTGGCGGATCAGGCTGCGGCGTATGGGGATCTAGCGGATAAGGAGAAGGAGAAGGAGACTGTTGTGGAGCAGACTAGTACGCGTAGACCGCGTACTAGAGCGCGTTTGGGGAAGGGAAAGGAGCCGGCTGCGCCTAGGATAATTTCTCCTGCGCCGAGGGTGATTGAGGCCGAACAAGCGAAGAGGAGAGGTGAAGATGAAAAGAGTGTGGAAGATGCTGCGAAAGGTGGAGTAGAAGGTGAAGAAGAGCAGGGTGAGGTTCCTCGACAATCACATTCTCCACCGCTGCCTCCGCCAGACCTCAGCGGACCTGGACCTGATGCTGATGTCGATGCCGATGGAGACATTGACCCTGATATTGACATGGAACCCAGTTCGTCACCGCGGCTAGCGTCGAGCGCTTTCCCGCTTGGTCCGGCAACTTTTCAGCCAACTGGTATGTGCCAGCCTGATTTAAACAGATGCGGTTTGCTGATTAATTATCGCTAGGACACAACCACCACGCGCCTTGAAAGGGTAAGTTGACGATATCGATGTATATGGTTGCGCCTCTAACGAATTTTTTTAGGTATAAAAATTTATTACGCGTAGCTCGCGATTGAGCGTTCGTTCGTTCCCTCCTGTATTATAAGGCATCTGTTCTTCGCTGGATTATCTTTTGGTGCTTATTGATTTATTGATTTTTCGTTCGTTACATTGTGTCTCATAGCCGTGTATGTATTGTTGTTGTTGCACGATGGATTATTATACGTATATTATTGCTGGCGTGTATAACCTGATGTAGCTATTACTTACTAGCATCCCATCGTTAATCATTGGATTTACTGCTCAGTTGGGTTGTCAAGCGAATATTTTGAACGTGTCCTGGGAAAGACAAACCACGTGTTTGGTGTTCCCTAACTTATACTTAACGACAAGCTCGAGACCCTCTTGAAGGCTACTGGACTTGCCTTGATTTTCCCGAACCAGTTTATTGCGTGACTTGCTATTCAGTGTGTCACATCAGACGCGCTTCACGCGACTTGAACCCTAACTTCAACCACGAGACTACCCACTAACGCGATGTCAACGAACCGGATTGTATACGGAATTATCATACAGGATGATCAAGTCCAGAATACCCCTATCAAAATCACAATCAGCGATGACAAGGACATGCTAGACCTCATAAAGCAGATCGGGAGGGAGTACTCACATATACCAGCGCAGTGCGTTGTCGTCTGGCTGGTACGTGAACGTTTGAACATTCAATTCTTTCCTGTCGTTGTACCCTGCTTACCCTCCCTTTACAGCCAGATGCATTCCTTCCCTTAGGGCCTTCAGCAGCAGAAATTTTGAGGGCGCGACTGGCAGACCGGAGGCTCAGTGACGTCGCCAAACGTGCAGACTTTAACCAAACTGTCGAGTCTATTGTTGAGATGAGTACGCGTCAGCCGGGTGTGCAAGTTAGGAAGGCGCACGTAATTATCGAGATTCAGCAGCTGTCTGCGCGCGCGCGGCTAGGAGAAGAGGTTGAGCTCGAAGACTTTGTAGGAGCGCTTGTTCAAAGTATGTGAATATTTCTTTCATAAGCACGTCCTAACTTATTTCTTGATATTTGGAGTACGAAAATGTCGTCGCTGGGACTAGTAAGGGCAAAAGTCCGTCCGTCAGCGCGCAATCTAAGTCTTATAACGCACATCAGGGTAAATGCCTTCCCATTTTGGATGGGCGGTACAATGCAGACGAGAACCAGTAAACGATGGCGCCGCCTATCGAACTGTTTCATCCGGTTTTTGCTCGGTTTCGCGCTAAGCTTGCGGATACAGAGGTTGTCCCCGAAGCTATCGTCCGTGATACCGTGAGCCTCATGCGCTCCATGTCTGCTATCCGGGCATCCGAACAACCACAGGGTCGGACGATGCTGTCCGAAATTCTTAAGCAACCTTTCCTCCGGGCCGTTGACTTGGATTCGAGTACGTCGACAGACCACATCGCTTTATGTGGAGAGACGACTGTTGATGAAATGGCTGCGGTCGTCATCTTAGAGGAGGAGGATGAACTTGGAGCGGGCGGATCAGAGCCCTCTGTCCGCGGTTCCTTCTCCTACATGAAGTTTTGGGCTGATGGAACTGTAGGCTTCCCATGTCACTGTGTATTCCTGCCCTCACACACTCTCGCAGCGTCGGAAAATTCGTGAAGGCTCCTGTTGTCCCTCATTCATTGTCGGATTAGCAGGACCGTGGCTGGTAATAGCAGGAGCTGTGTTTACGAGCCAGATCATTGTCCAGCGTCTTACGGACTATGTGTGGCTCGGTAATAGTCGTGTTAATGACGATGACCACATTCTTCGCGTTGCTCGTATTCTCTACTCCCTCCAGGGTTCTATCGAGGAGCTTCGAAAGTACTACGAAGACCTGAAACCCCAGCCTCTCGAAGCGAACAAACCTCATCCTCGTTTTTTCCCCTCCGTCACCCCTTATCGATCTAATAACGAGGACATCGGATTCACATACATTTCACCATTGGATTTGGATGAAATGTGTGTGACGTTTTTAGCGACCTTGGATGTGGAGCAGGGGGAGAGGAAGGTCGTGGTCAAGTTTGTCGAGCGGTATGGTGAAGAGGCGCATAGACTTTTGGCGGGGCTTGGGCTGGCGCCGGAGATTCTCTATGTTGGACCAATTGGCGGGTCGTATAGCAAGCTGCGGATGGTCGTTATGGAGCATGTCCAAGGTCGAACGCTCGTGGCTGAATATCGTGATGGACCCATACCGGAGGACGTCAAGAAGGCTGTCAAGGAGGGTCTGGACGCGCTTCATAATGAAGACTTGGTTTATGGGGATCTTCGTAGGCAGAATATCATGATTTGCAAAGGTGATGAAGAGGAACGGGGGTGATAGGGCTCAAGTTTATCGATTTTGACTGGGCGGGGAAGGTTGGGGAGGTCAGGTATCCTCTTCATTTAGCTTCTTGTATATCCGAGGTCTCTGGCGCAGTTGGAGTATGATCTTATACTGAAAGAACATGATATGAAGATGTTTGATGATTTGTAACGGATGGAGTAGAATATGGCACTTTCCCGGTTGTAATACGATGAATGTACGATTGATATAATACTCGTTGAACGAAAACAATCCGAGCCGTAAGATAGATACAGCTGTACGCAAAGCGTACAAATTACAAGCTCCTTTGTCTGGGCACAGGATCGTGTTATTCCACCCATGTCAATGCCCGAATTCTTCTAGTCCTCCGGTTGAGAGACCGTACCTGATAGCAGATATGCACGAGTCAATGTCAAAGCAAAGACGGAAAGAACGAACAAGAACATCTTTTTCGATAACGTTATTTCCATCTGCGACGTTTCTTTTATACGGGATGGATTGTATGAAGGCGTTGTGCGTAAATTCCACCTCGGCCGCTTGCCTGTGAGAATATAAGACTTGGGATTATCGACCAGCCACTGGGCGTCGTTTCTGTTGTGTTTTGCACTGACGGCGCGGAAAGTGTACCGTTGCATGTAGCCTTCTCCGCATGAGTTCCTGTGATCGTGGAGGGTGTGTAGCGGAAGGGAAGTGCGCGTCAGTGAAAACAGAGGCATTGGGTGAGGCAATGATGATGATGACGAAGGTATCCTTGCTCTGGTATCCTAAGAACGTTCAACGCAGTTGATGGGAGCAAGGTCGACAAGAAACCTCAGGGAGAAAGAACCGATTTTCTGCATTGAAGATTTTATTCAAGAGATGCAGTAAGGATGGGTAAGAGCTACGTACGGAAATGTTCCGCTTTGTCTCGATTGATTGCATGCTGGGCCCATGGATTTCGAAGGCTAGGGGCGTCTTGCAGTTTTGAATCATGAGTGAGGGCGAGGATGGCAGCCAGTCATACCAGAACGGAGCCATGCCACGTAACGAGATGTCACCGCGTTCGCCACGGGTAACGGGTCACTGGCGGCATGATGAACAAGTTGCGGTTTCTTTGGGTTTCCAGAACGCGTTCATGGGATTTCTTCAGCCTACAGTGCGCATCAGTTGATGAACAGCGGAAAAAGGAACACGCATATACCCACTCTGATCTACTAAAGGTGACCCCAAGATTTGCGTCGATGTTACGCTGATGCATGGCCCGGGGGTTCGTCCAGAAAGATGCCTACCCTGCCCTGCCCCAGAAAGATTATCGATTAACACTCTGTGTGACACCGGCTTTGTCACGGGAATGCACAATCCTCCTGTGGCTGGACAATCTCGTTACCAGGCCATGCCATTGCTCTATCACTAATGCATAATGATAATGTCCTAAGCGCTTGCGAATGAGTTGGCCCCGTCATCTGGGATTCGAGTTGTGCAACTCAAAGCTATTTGAAGCCACTCATTTGTGGCGTGAACTATTGGTCTACTCCAACGTTCCATCTTCCCTCCGTCAAAAATGCACCGAGTGATGAACCCGGGCGAGTATATTGGGCGGTACGACAATGGGTACGATACATGAAAACGGCGAGTGAAAGGCCGATGACGATTCGAGGACAAGGGTAGTGATTTACAGAGGAGTGCACCCCGCATGTGAAATACGGATACCCCACAGATCGGGAATCGGAGGTGTGATATCGACGAGAAACGTGTGACAGAGGAGGGCGCTTCTATTATAGACGATGGTCAGACACGTCGACGGCATGTCATTCCTTCTTGTTCACCCACGACTCTGCTTGCTGCTACGATAACGCTCCATTGCTTGCTGCTTGACGATGGAAGACGCGCTACGATACCCGGACTTGGACGGTGACCAGTGGCTTGTGGAAGGATACGGCGAGTCTCCTGTGAAGAACGCGTCATTGTTGTCTCCGGTAAAGGACGCTTCGCCTATGAAGAGCGTGTCGCCGAGTCTCTTCGAGTTGTACGCGAGCTATGGATTCGGCGGGGATGTGCTGAGTGGAGGAGAGGAGAGTCCTGTGCTGAGGTCGTCTTCGGTGGTGCCTGCTCGATCTGTGTCTCCTGTGAAGAATACTGTGTCGAGTCCTCTGTCGTTGACTGGCTCTCAGCTGGAGAGCGATGCTGCGATGTCTCCGCTAACATCCGCTTAGTTCGCCGTCGCCGCCAAAGAGGAAGAGAGACAACGACGAGGAAGAGTCGCCATGTCGCAAGAAACCGAGAAAGGTCGGGCTGGTCGGAGAGGGTGTTCAACGGGGAGAAAGTCGAGGTGGACCGTGAGCGATTCCCGTTGCTTGTATCGACGATTCCCGGTGAGCGACTTTGGCGGTATGGCAGGTGCGACTTGGAATGCACCGAGGGAAGGGTGGGGTGACTTGTACACGCCTCGATGGGTCAAAGGGCGAGGCGCGGAGAAGATGGGATTATGCGGGATCTGTGTTGAGCCGAGGGAACGGGGCGGGGAAGGTCGGGTTGTGTGGCTTGCCATGAAGTTCAGCGCGTACAAGTAAGTCCCACTGCCATCTTCGTAAATCCACACTAATGATTGGTTAGCTACCATATGCAATACGGCCACGGAATCAGTGCACACACTACAAGACCGTTCAGTCCTCCGCTGGCCTTCCGCGATGTGACCAGGCCAAATCCGGCCAAAGGCGAAAAAGGGTCTGTGACGGTGGGCATGTGCCATCATTGCAGAAAGTGGGTGCCCGTCGAAGGAGTCAAGGATGTCCAAGTGAAGGTCCCAGAGCTATTTTGGTGGAAACATGCTGCAGCGTGTCATGGTGCGAGTACGATTGAGGGCTGAGGACGGCGTGTATGAGGAAGACGATGTGTGGAATAGAGTAGTAGCGTCATGTGACGAATAAACGAATGCTCCCGATGCGGGGTAACCCGGAGTAAATGCTCCTTTCCTCTTGACCCCCACATTCCGACCATGAAGATTCAGAAGAAATTCTACACAGGCATACCGATACCCTATACGTCCACGGAAGCCTTCACACCGCCTCGTCCCCATTATCCTTCTTTGATAGCCCACCTACACCCCCACCGACCACTCCGAGGAATGCAAACATTGTCCGCTTCGCCGCTGAGAGCAAGGGTCTTGGAAGTGCTCTCTGTGGATTCGACTGTCGTCAGGCGTGGCTGGGAGGGTGCTTATTCTGTGGGCGTCGATGTGAGGGTCGGTCGACGAGAGGGCAAGAGCCGGGAGCGGAAGGGCAGGAAGCTCATTTTGGATGTCGGCGGGTACGGGATACCAAAAAGGTGTATGTCGGGATCTGTAGGTGGGAAGGCAGTCATGGTCGGCGAGGATGCTTTCTTTGTGAGAAGGAACGCGATGGGTGTCGCCGACGGTGTTGGTGGTTGGGCAAGGGGACAGTCCATTCCGGGTGAGTGCAACTTTTTTTTTTTACTAGCGATCTCGTGCTTATGTTTAGGCCCCACGCCGTCTGCGTTGTTTGCTCATCGATTAATGCATTTCTGCTCCGAGGAGATGGAGCTCGAGCCTCCCAAGCCGAGCACGTTTATTCCGTCCGTCAGTTTTGCTAGACGAGAGTTGCAGGAGGAACTCGAGGAAGAATTGGAAGAGCTCGAAGAAGGCATAGACGTGCTGATGATACTCGAACGGGCTTACGAAAAGACTATCAAAGCACATGTAGAAAAAGAACAGCCGGTATTATATGTCAGTAAAAATTTCTGCCCTACAGCTACTTTTTACTGACCAGTACTAGTCACCGTTTACACCCCCACCTCCGCCCGATACCCTCACATCTCCGATAATACCCCCAGATCCAACACCCAAGCCTCTGCTCGCTGGTTCATCAACCGCCCTGCTCGCCGTACTCGACCACGTAAACAACGGTGAGGCAGTCGTCAAAATTGCCCACGTTGGTGACTGCATGGGAATGCTCGTCCGTGGCACAGAATGCGTCTGGAGGAGCGACGAAATGTGGTGGAGTGTGCGTACCCTACCAGTTTTTTTTCTTCCTTCCCTCTCTCTGACGTCACTTTGCAGTTTAATACCCCCGTCCAGCTCGGACCCACAACCCCAGCACAGCCGAGTACGACGGCCCATGTGTTCACGCTCCCCGTGCAAGAGGACGATATACTCATCCTGGCGACGGACGGCCTGAGCGATAACCTCTGGGACGAGGATGTCTTGGACGAGGTGGCGCGTTTCCGGAGTGAGTGGAGTGCGCATGGTGAGGAGGGCGGGCGCGATATGCTCGCTGCGGGGATGTTGAGCGAGGCGCTGTGTTCTCGGGCGAAGCGGGTTGCTAAGGATGGTGAGGGTGATACACCGTTTGGGAGACGGGCGAGGGAGGAGGGGAGGAAGTGGAGAGGGGGGAAGAATGATGATATTAGTGTGGTGGTTGCAGTTATTTCGAGGGCGGGCGAGAGGCGTTAGCCTTTTTATGATAAAATGTACCAGTAGATGATGATCTTTTTATGTATTAGATAGGATGTACAACTACTAATTAAAATCAGCATGACACGGAGCCAAGTGAGAGCGGTGTGGATGTAGTGATGTGCATGTACAACTTCAAGTTCTGATGCTACGAATTCAATCAGAATACCGGATGGCTTTCCATAATGATTTGGAGTTCCAAATGGACTTTCAGATATACATTAAAATTATTTAGAACCCATACATCATAACACCATTCCGAGTTCTATATGTATATAGAGGAATTTGGTCCTTATATTGGACTGGGGAATGCCATCTGTCATCGGCAGGTACCTTGTTTCAAGTCAACTTGCACAGCTACTAGTGGTTCTGAGTCCTATATGTATGTATAGGTATTCGGTCATTATGCCAACCTGAAAGGATTTTTTTGATCATCCAACATGACATTTGCCACCTGATTCTCCCTGGGTTGGTCATGGGAAATTTTATTCAACCTTCATCATTTACATGTGAATTTCCTGCCCTTTTCATTTGCTTTTCCTGTTGCTGTATTCACTATCATTATCTTTCTCCCTCTTTCCTATTCTATTACATTATTTCATCCTCATCTCTCCTTAATGCCTCCCTAGTTTCCCATCTCTTATTACTCATCTTGTCATATTCCTCTTCTTCCAAGAAAGATAAACAGCTCAGTCAGTCACTTGTAGTAATAATGAACAGCTGAGGTGCATAAAGGGGTGAAACAATAGGTATATCCAACAGAAAGTAAAGAGGTTGTAAATCTATATATAGAATGTAAGTTCAAAGAAGAAATAGTGTGAACATATACAGGCTATAGTTGAATCCTTGACACCTCCTGTATGTGCCACCCTAGCTCTCACCACTGTCTATTTACATTTAAATGTTATATTGGGTTGGTTTTTGAATTTGTTATAGGAAATATCTCATTATTAAATATTTGTGTGAATGAACATTGGCACACTTCATCAGGAAAATGACACATTCTTCTTTAGTGTCTTTATCTTATTTTAGCCTTCTTTTGGCAGCTGTGTCTTGGCAAAGCTGGGCTTTGTCTTACCCACATCTGTCTTACTATTTTAGTGATCTTGTGTAAATTAACCAAGTCTCTCAACTGTTATTTGGCAGAGTGGTATAATCTATGCACTTTTCCAGCTCATGCTTGGGTTTGACTTCTAACCTATGCTTCTTTTTGGGATCTGCAAGGACCATCATCATCCGCTACTATCATGTCATCATCACTGGTGAAAAAAGTGAACCTTAACTGTAGATGACATCACTGGTGCTACTCCATGATAAATATGTCAAGTCAGAAGTAAAATATCTATTTATTTAAAAGGCTATTTCATGGGAATGGTGATCTGCATATTTATTTACATAGAAGTACTGGAAGGCATTGAGACTGTCTGTGTGTTTAAGTTCTACTGGCAATAATGTAGTTCCAGAAACTCCAATGAGATGTGCTCCATGAAGAATAGAATCAAGATGAATCACCAACATGAGTTGCCTGCCCTGAGGATCCATATCAGGCTTCACAATCCACATGCCAGTCTCTTCGCAAGGTTGGTCATCCACTTCTGAGAACCATGTAACAAGTGCACAAGGGTATGGTATATCCTCATGCTGAATACTGAAGAACAGGAGTACACAGGCAATGTGCAGACTCTGAAAGCTGAGTAGATCCTTATCTGCCTCTGCAAACATGCAATCATAATGAGCAGAGCTGTTCTGCCATGAATGAGTGGAATGAATGCATTCATGGTGCATTCCACTAATGCTAGAAAGGTCACTGGGTGTGTAGAAGGTTGCAATGGCAGAGGTGTAGGTGTATACCTTTCTGTGATATTTGGAATACTCATGAATTGGCACATCCCTATTGAGGCCCTCCTTTGAAGCTGTTTGCTCAAATAAGAAATGTCAAACAAGGTTTGGGAGCTCAGAAAGCTGTAAGTGTCATGCAAGCAGTCCCAAGTTCTGAAGCTGTTTGTGAACTAGAACATACTTTAGTACCAGAGCTCAAACACAAGGAGAAGAGAGGCTATACTATGATGACATGCAAGCTTTACCTCACCGAGAATATCCCCATGGAATGTATCAACTGCCCCACTATTGTCATCTTCCTTGGGTGGTGCAAAGCTATCCCTGTCAGGAGCATTAAATATAGACCCATTTAACATCCCACATGCCTGGAAGTTCATGCATGCAGCATGCAACTTGTCTAAATGCTCGTTGATTAGGAGCATCTGTGGTAGTGCATTTAACTGACTTGAGTGTCACCATGGTTCTTTGACAGCCTTGATATGCTTGGACTCAATTATTGATGAACAAAGTCCATTTGGAGCACCAAAATCCTGGATCAAGGATCAATAGTGGACTATAGAATGCTGCTGCAGAAGGGAGAAGTCATCTGGTCAAATTCCAACATCACAAAAGATTTCTCCTTCTCTGTGGTAGCATGCAACTGTGCTATCAAGCACAACCAGGTCATCTTCATTCAAAACTGAATGCCAGACCAGGTAGCAGAATTCCATAAATGCTGCAACAGTGCATATCCATCTGAGAGGGAACATGGCCAGAAATTGCAGGTAGATATACCTTCAAACATTGCTTAGTGACTCAAACACATATCTAAGTGATGAGTGTACCTTCATTAGAGCCTTGGAATCATCACCCATCCATTGTTTGAACCTGCCCTTCTGGAAATCAGCATAAACCTGGGAATGGCAGAACAGCAGCAATTCTGTCAGTTAAATGTTAGTATGAGAGTCTAATCATATTATAATCATCCATTTACCATCAGTCAATATCAGCTAATATCCGAGTTGCATCCTTTTTATCATTCTCTTGGACAATATACTCTTCAATCCACATAACAAGATGATCTTTAAATGTCCCTTTAATCACCTGGTGTAACAGGTCAGATGAGAGCAGCTCATGAATATCAGTGCATGGAAATCCATGTGTGAATGGCTTGGAAGAATATTAGCAAGCATTAAGGGTCAGTCAAGGTAATTTTGGCATACCAGGATCCCATCTACTATCCCATAGTTGTCCCACAGTTCCTTTGGAGACATAGCTTCAAAACATGCCATGGTATGGACATGCAACCACCTAGCAGCTTCTCCATCAAGGTCACTTTGATGGCCTGTACATTTGCACAGTAATGAGATTGGGAAGAACTAGAGATGCTGACAAATGAACCTACTTTGCACACCATCCTTGAACAATGCAGGTGAGTAGAACTTGCTCTGGGTAGTCACCAATATAAGGACCAAGACCAAAAACAGTCCTTCTATAGTGTCCATCACTGTATCAGACAATTTCTGGTGTAGTCATTTCAGGTCACAGACTTTGAAGAATGTAATTGAGTGAGCCATAGAACAGCTGCTGGCAAAAGCAATGAAATCCAGGGCTATCTTGGTGTTGGTGATCCACTGTAAGGACAAGATTTAATGACTTTGTTCTGAAGAATACTGAAAATGAATGACTCAATCTTTGGTATGGACAGAAAGATGAGCAATTCAACACCATTACAATGTGCACACTAGACATTATTGTGAATAATTCTATTTGACAGATACAGCAGATAGTATTCGTTCTGCCCAGTAGCAACTGAGACTGTTGTTTTATTGCTACTGAGAATAGCTGGACAGAATGTTGAGTCATGCATCATAGGGTCTTTGGCGATGAGATCCTAAAGCCTTATTAGTAATATGTAGTAAGACTGAGGTGGACAGATGATATACAGCTTGTCACCAGGCTCAATTGCCAGACATAAAGTCCTGATATCAGCACTTTCCATGAGAATTCACCACCTGCTTGGGTGTGAAATCCATCTCCTGAGCAAAGTCAGGATTACCAAGCTGATTAATGAGGAGAGCCCATAGATCTCGGAACCAGACATCATATTGCATCATCATCCAAGGTGCAGGTTTACTGGTTCCTATATCACCATTATATGATACTGAAAAGGACTCCTAGGAGACAGCGCCAAAGGTTGTCACATCAATTGTGGTATAAAGGTTGTTGTGGTTAGCATAGGGAGGTGATTCTGTGTCAGAGAGTGTTATTGCCCAAATTTACAGCAGATCATCCATCTGAGATGCTGGTGTTTGATTACAATGATAAATCAGATCAGCAAGCTCAAACACAGCTCAATTTTCATAAGAAGAGAAGTCCATCAGAGGAGGATAAGTAAAAGGGGGTGATGCAGTATGAGCAGGCAAAACATTTCCATCCTTATTGCATGGCTTTCCTATAATATCATCAGCAGAGAAGATATAGATAGTAGATAGTGTGCATGTACCATTAATTACAGGGTGGTAGTGAATATGTTCTCCAGTCCTTGATGGCTGTGCTTCTTCCTGGTCACTTTCTAGTATAGGTGATGGGCTGCAGCTTGGAGAAAAGAAATCTGTAAGGTTATTGATTCCTGCATCTTCGAAGTCAAATGCATTGGTACTTGATGATGGTTGTTGTCCAGCCTCAGGAACAGGAGGAAAAGGGGTAGAGGCCAATGAACTTGAAGGCCTATCAGAGAGGTGGAGATCACTGGGACCAAAGGTTTTTGGCATGGCCTTGCAGGTGGGCAGGTGTAGAGAATTGTCGAGAGGCTCAGTCGACACCCACATGGTCTTCTTGGACATGGGCTATTATTAGGTACCAAGGTTTACATTGAGTCACACGATCACTACCATAGCATTTTCCCATTTGTTTTTCACTAGCATACCTTAGTCTTTTACCACCATATCGAGTGGAGACTGAGTTTGTTGTTCCTTAACAGGTTATGTTGCCCTATTGTGCTTGACCTGCTGGATTGTGATCTTAATGACAGTGATGAGCCTAAACTTCCATGGCAATGGCAAAAAACCAAAACTCTAGAGGAGTTCACAGCAAATGGCATGTAGCAGCAATAAAGGCTTTGTTGTTGTGCGAGTGTTTCAGTGCACCTCCGTGTGATGAATTCCTCAAGAACACAAGTATACACTGCAAATTTTCAGTCAGCAAAGTAGTACCCTTAACAAACAAGTACTAGAAAGTGTTGGCTGTAAGCCAGGAAGGGTCTCGATATATGAGAAGGAATGGAATCCGGTATAACTGGGAATACCGGCAAACCAGAAACAAAGTGGCAGCAATTGACTAGTAAATGCTATGGGCAATGTTGGCAGAATTAATGGAAATGCCATCAAAGAGAAATACCATTTGGCAAGATAACAAATACTGTGACGGCAATAGATGAAGACTGTAGTTGAGAAACTGGCAGTAAAGCCAAGAGAGACTGGCTGACAGAAATATGATGAGAGACTAGCAGCGGCAAAATGATGACTGATACTGGGTGAGGCTGAGACTAAAACTGAGCTGAGGTTAACTGTGGTAAAATGAAACTGATACTGATCCTGAGTCTACATGAAGACTATCCTATACTGAAGCTGATGGCAAGATACCAAATACCATGACTGAAGGTCCTATACTGAAACTGTTGACCAAAATTCCTGTGACAGACACTGCTGATGGCAATAACAATCCTAATCTGTGTCCACACAGGGACGTAACTGTACTGAGCTGAACTGGGGTGAAATGATGGTGACATAGAAAGTGAAGGCTGGTAAAACAATGCTTGCTGGTGAAAGTGAAACAATGCTGGTGGAATAAAAGATAAAAGTGAGTTGTGGACATGAAATTCCATGTATTGGCACAATATGAGCATACACCAATACCGTTAGAAGAAAAGTCATGACAGAGAGTATAACTCGGAGTGACTATGCTGTTATTGTCTGTCTCCTAGTGGGTACAAGAGATATCAGTTGTAGCAACTTAGTTACTTGTCATTGATAACCCCTGTGTCCCTGATAACTACTACTACACTAGCTTTTATACTACAAGTCTGGAATAAAATTAGAATACTTGAAACAAGTCCTTAGTAAGTCCTTAGTACATTGATTGGTAAGAAATGATACAAAATGCATGCTCCCAGAGTTCTAAAGTAACAGCACCCACATGGTTTTACCACGTATAGACTTAGTGATCAGAAAGAATTCCACTGACATATGGACTCTTGGGCTGCTGTGTTACTGTGGCAAAGTACACTGAAGGTAGTACACTGAAGTAGATGCATGTGGCATTGTCTTGGCATTGTAACAGCCTTAGTAAAGCTGGTGGAAAGGTCACGGTATTAAGTCTTTTGCCATGGAATAGGTATTTTGACTGCGGCATTCTATTAAGTGATGCTTGATGCTGATGTCAGCAATGGCTGTGCTGAGCAATCAATGATGGGCCTAATTCTGTGAGATCTGCAATTAAGTGCCTGGCAGGCATTAAGGAAGTGGCGCATATTGATGTGGAATATGAGTTGGGATGGATAGTTGGCGGTAAAAGTGGGTATTGCCATAATTGCAATTGTTGACTTAGGGAAAGTCCACTAAGTGGACAAGGCATTTATTATAATGCTAAAATCCACAAATTCTGAGCATACAGAGCCTTGAGGCTCATCAATGGCACTCGAACATACTCTCAAAGACTCAAACTATTGAACCTCGAATCTCAAAGGATGAACAATTGGAACCACAGACAGTGGCCATTAGACCCCCTCACCAAACTAGACCCCTATAAAATTTTTTTTCACCACCATGTCAACATTGGCAACAGCCCAAGTCCTACCTTTCAAGCTGGAAGCTGATGAAAAGTTCAATGGAGAAAATTGGGTGGCATGGGAAATGATTATGATTGCAGAAGGTGGCCCTCAAGGACTTGTCAACTACTGGGAGAACAAGGTTGCAATACCTCAGCCCAACCTGGTCCCAATGTTGGCTAGTACTCCATTGATGAGCCTAAAACCTCTAGAGCTCGAATATGCTCAACACAAAAGTGCTGCACTGTTGTCCATCATCTGCAATGTTACTGACCCCTTCAGCTTCGGTCTAGACCCCAGAGGAACCTTGCATGATGCCTGGACAAAACTGCAAAAGGAATATGGTGCACACTCAGATGTAGTTCACAAACAAAGGGAAGACATACTCAGAGCAGCCTGGTACCAGGATGGGGAAAATGTCACCAGTGATGGAGGTCATGTTGAGAAGATGAGGCATCTATTGAAGGAAGCAAATGATGCTGGGGTGAAGATCACTAATGACAACTTCACAACTATCCTTATTGACTTGTTTCCAGAGTCTTGGGATCCAGTTGTCAGCATGTTACATGGTGAAACTGATATCGTCAAGATCATAGCCTGACTCACAGCTCATGGTGACCGCATCCATGGTCGTGGAAGCCAGCACACACATTCACTGATGACCAACTTGTCAAACCAAGCACTACATGCCTTGATCACCACATTAGTGCTTCAAATCCAGAACATGAACACGATGACTCGCCATGAGCAATGCCCATCCAATGGAAGATCCCATGAGTCAAATGAACACTGTAAGGGAGTTGGGCACACCATTGACGAATGCTGGAAAATTGGAGGCAAGCAAGTATTATGACTTTACCCCTATTTTTCTTATCTTATCTTATCCTTATCCCTCAGAACCCCAGACCTGCCTATCTTATCTCTCGGACCCATGATACTCTGCCTGGCACCCGTTTACCTGGTTGCCATCACCCCAGTTCACAGCTGCCGCACCCCAGATGACCGACGACCTGCATGTGCTATTATGCTTCTCTTGATGGCATCACACTTCTTAGTAGTTGGACTGAGAGTAGACCACCAGTCGAGGGCTGGCCTATGGGATGCAGCCTATTCAGATGGGGTCCCACGCAGATGCAGGTGATATGCACTCTTTACTCTCATATGTCGGGAGTACACTTCTTTTAGTGTCCTCCCTCCTCATTCGTTGAAAGACGCACTTCTCATTGCACACACCCTTGTAGATACTATTCTTAGTGCGAGTCTAACATGTATTTAAACTAGCCTACGCTGTGGCCTTAGACCCCAGCTTCAGCTAAGGTTATATACTCCTAACTCTTACAAGCTCCTTGCTTTCACTATAAAGTGATGCCTAACTTCTCGCAATCTACCAATGCCTCTCTAACACTGAATCACTGAATGCGAGTGACAGGATAGAGACCAGCCTTGGTTCAGATTAGAGTTAGTGCTTAACAATTAGCTGAAGCTTGCCCTTACTACCCTTACCTGTCGTCAGCAGTACAGTCAGTCACTGTTATACTTCCAAAGAAAAGAAACCCTCAGCCCGTTATTCAAAACGGCACCCACCGTACCCTGAGATCATAAACATTCGTTGTGGTACAACGAACTTTATGCCACTCACCCCCTCAGACCACGCCTGCCATTATCTTCAGAAGTACCTTCAGTATCTTGACATTAGTAACTGCAGTCACAGTTCTCCATATCCTCTGACCAACCCAATGCCAAAGAGCACTGACCCCCGGAAGAGGGAGAGTACACGGACTCAATGGCTCATCAACAGGAACCTCACGAACAACAAGCACCATCCGGCTCCGCTCCCTCACACCCCGGCCAAGGGGGGAGCGAGATGCACTTTGACACCCCTTACCCAACAGAGAAGAGCAAGCCCCCACGCTTGAGCTTCAGGGCAAGGATCAGCGAGACAGTGAAGGCGAAGAATCCCTTTGGGAAGAAGAGCTCGGATGACTTGGCATCCCTCCAGATGATGGAGACGACTGAGTCGACCCCAGATTTACCATCGCATATTGGACCAATGCGGATGGGTCCTGGGATGACACAACCTGGGGCAATGACAATGACTCCAAGGAGCCATCCATCACCTCCACAGAGTTATCCGCAGCTGTCCCAGGGTTCAACGATGATGGAGAGCACCTCTATCGAAGAGGAACTGAGTGGGCTCTACATCGACATATTCAATTGAATCATCCATAGATGAACCAGGTGAAGAACCACCTTCGAAGAAGGTGAAAACCCATTCCTCCCTGCCCAGGGGAC